AACCTACATGAAAACACACACACTTTACAAAACGCTCTCCTGTACACACGACGCAACACACGCAAGCTATGTTACCATCCACCAAAGTGCTGCTCTTCTTACTACCGGTTCATGTAACGGAAGCGATATGTAAGACGTATTGACACCGCTGCCGACTTGTCAACATGACCGTCTGCTTATCCACCGCTACGGACTTGTCAACACAACGGTCTTCTACTACGCGTGTCTTTTGTTTGGCAGTCTCCTGCCGATATAACGCACCCAGCAGATGACACTATATCTTCCATGATGAGGTCACGGACATGGACATAGATTGCTTATTACACCACTGCTGCGGGGTCGGTCGAGAAATTGTGCTTGAATTGCCTTGGACTTCTCGTTCAAATCAAAGCACGTCCTGGACCGCGGTGTACAAAGGATACACAGGAGCTTGACGCAACACGAGGTGTGCAGATTAATGCATGATTGTGTAGGCAAGCCAGTGAGTGACAAGCAATCTTGTGGGTCGCGAATGCAGAGCAAAGACGGGCCTCACCGGGAATCGAACCCGGGACCTCTCGCACCCGAAGCGAGAATCATACCACTAGACCACGAGGCCACTCAACCTACATGAAAACACACACACTTTACAAAACGCTCTCCTGTACACACGACGCAACACACGCAAGCTATGTTACCATCCACCAAAGTGCTGCTCTTCTTACTACCGGTTCATGTAATGGAAGCGATATGTAAGACGTATTGACACCGCTGCCGACTTGTCAACATAACCGTCTGCTTATCCACCGCTACGGACTTGTCAACACAACGGTCTTCTACTACGCGTGTCTTTTGTTTGGCAGTCTCCTGCCGATATAACGCACCCAGCAGATGACACTATATCTTCCATGATGAGGTCACGGACATGGACATAGATTGCTTATTACACCACTGCTGCGGGGTCGGTCGAGAAATTGTGCTTGAATTGCCTTGGACTTCTCGTTCAAATCAAAGCACGACCTGGACCGCGGTGTACAAAGGATACACAGGAGCTTGACGCAACACGAGGTGTGCAGATTAATGCATGATTGTGTAGGCAAGCCAGTGAGTGACAAGCAATCTTGTGGGTCGCGAATGCAGAGCAAAGACGGGCCTCACCGGGAATCGAACCCGGGACCTCTCGCACCCGAAGCGAGAATCATACCACTAGACCACGAGGCCACTCAACCTACATGAAAACACACACACTTTACAAAACGCTCTCCTGTACACACGACGCAACACACGCAAGCTATGTTACCATCCACCAAAGTGCTGCTCTTCTTACTACCGGTTCATGTAATGGAAGCGATATGTAAGACGTATTGACACCGCTGCCGACTTGTCAACATAACCGTCTGCTTATCCACCGCTACGGACTTGTCAACACAACGGTCTTCTACTACGCGTGTCTTTTGTTTGGCAGTCTCCTGCCGATATAACGCACCCAGCAGATGACACTATATCTTCCATGATGAGGTCACGGACATGGACATAGATTGCTTATTACACCACTGCTGCGGGGTCGGTCGAGAAATTGTGCTTGAATTGCCTTGGACTTCTCGTTCAAATCAAAGCACGTCCTGGACCGCGGTGTACAAAGGATACACAGGAGCTTGACGCAACACGAGGTGTGCAGATTAATGCATGATTGTGTAGGCAAGCCAGTGAGTGACAAGCAATCTTGTGGGTCGCGAATGCAGAGCAAAGACGGGCCTCACCGGGAATCGAACCCGGGACCTCTCGCACCCGAAGCGAGAATCATACCACTAGACCACGAGGCCACTCAACCTACATGAAAACACACACACTTTACAAAACGCTCTCCTGTACACACGACGCAACACACGCAAGCTATGTTACCATCCACCAAAGTGCTGCTCTTCTTACTACCGGTTCATGTAATGGAAGCGATATGTAAGACGTATTGACACCGCTGCCGACTTGTCAACATGACCGTCTGCTTATCCACCGCTACGGACTTGTCAACACAACGGTCTTCTACTACGCGTGTCTTTTGTTTGGCAGTCTCCTGCCGATATAACGCACCCAGCAGATGACACTATATCTTCCATGATGAGGTCACGGACATGGACATAGATTGCTTATTACACCACTGCTGCGGGGTCGGTCGAGAAATTGTGCTTGAATTGCCTTGGACTTCTCGTTCAAATCAAAGCACGTCCTGGACCGCGGTGTACAAAGGATACACAGGAGCTTGACGCAACACGAGGTGTGCAGATTAATGCATGATTGTGTAGGCAAGCCAGTGAGTGACAAGCAATCTTGTGGGTCGCGAATGCAGAGCAAAGACGGGCCTCACCGGGAATCGAACCCGGGACCTCTCGCACCCGAAGCGAGAATCATACCACTAGACCACGAGGCCACTCAACCTACATGAAAACACACACACTTTACAAAACGCTCTCCTGTACACACGACGCAACACACGCAAGCTATGTTACCATCCACCAAAGTGCTGCTCTTCTTACTACCGGTTCATGTAATGGAAGCGATTTGTAAGACGTATTGACACCGCTGCCGACTTGTCAACATAACCGTCTGCTTATCCACCGCTACGGACTTGTCAACACAACGGTCTTCTACTACGCGTGTCTTTTGTTTGGCAGTCTCCTGCCGATATAACGCACCCAGCAGATGACACTATATCTTCCATGATGAGGTCACGGACATGGACATAGATTGCTTATTACACCACTGCTGCGGGGTCGGTCGAGAAATTGTGCTTGAATTGCCTTGGACTTCTCGTTCAAATCAAAGCACGTCCTGGACCGCGGTGTACAAAGGATACACAGGAGCTTGACGCAACACGAGGTGTGCAGATTAATGCATGATTGTGTAGGCAAGCCAGTGAGTGACAAGCAATCTTGTGGGTCGCGAATGCAGAGCAAAGACGGGCCTCACCGGGAATCGAACCCGGGACCTCTCGCACCCGAAGCGAGAATCATACCACTAGACCACGAGGCCACTCAACCTACATGAAAACACACACACTTTACAAAACGCTCTCCTGTACACACGACGCAACACACGCAAGCTATGTTACCATCCACCAAAGTGCTGCTCTTCTTACTACCGGTTCATGTAATGGAAGCGATTTGTAAGACGTATTGACACCGCTGCCGACTTGTCAACATGACCGTCTGCTTATCCACCGCTACGGACTTGTCAACACAACGGTCTTCTACTACGCGTGTCTTTCATTTGGCAGTCTCCTGCCGATATAACGCACCCAGCAGATGACACTATATCTTCCATGACTGAGGTCACGGACATGGACATAGATTGCTTATTACACCACTGCTGCGGGGTCGGTCGAGAAATTGTGCTTGAATTGCCTTGGACTTCTCGTTCAAATCAAAGCACGACCTACCGCGGTTAAAAAAAAGCTAGAAGACCGTTGTGTTGACAAGTCCGTAGCGGTGGATAAGCAGACGGTCATGTTGACAAGTCGGCAGCGGTGTCAATACGTCTTACATATCGCGTCCGTTACATGAACCGGTAGTAAGAAGAGCAGCACTTTGGTGGATGGTAACATAGCTTGCGTGTGTTGCGTCGTGTGTACAGGAGAGCGTTTTGTAAAGTGTGTGTGTTTTCATGTAGGTTGAGTGGCCTCGTGGTCTAATGGTATGATTCTCGCTTCGGGTGCGAGAGGTCCCGGGTTCGATTCCCGGTGAGGTCCGTCTTTGCTCTGCATTCGCGACCCACAAGATTGCTTGTCACTCACTGGCTCCCGTCATCATGCTATTGGTCCGCAATGGATTTTACATTCTTTAGACCTTGTAGGGAGGCCAGCTCAGTAATCTTTGCCCGTTGATGATTAGTGAGATAAGCAAATTGCCCTATTTAAATAGAAGAACAGCTAAACGACTTGGTTGTTTAATTGCCTACAAGTGCTACCAAGTCCAGTTGTGCCGCAAACGGCAAGCATCAGAGAAAAACTTAGACTGAGAGTCTCTTTGCTCTAGGATCTAACGTTATTAGACCAGAATGAAACGTTTCAAAGACCCAAGGATATGCTTTGAATAGGAGTTACTATTTTTAGTAAAAACGCAAACTGAACTTTATTATTGCTTGTGACCATCGCTGACCGGCACACGCGAGTTATAGACTAATAATAGTTTATGCAATTTTATGAAACGGTGGCTGTAACGGGTGCCTGGATATTTCTACAGCCAAATCAGACGACTTAAGGATGCTTACTTTCAATGTAGAAGATCGATTTAATGGGGATTCGAGTAAGGTGGTGACGGATACGAACGAAATTGCTGTTATGAAGTAGAAAGTAAGATAGAAATGGTTGATATGTGATGAGGCTAGATTCCCAAACGAGCTACAGGCTCTTACTGTTCCGCTGTAATTCCCCTTCTTGCATACGCGATGCTTATGATACGCGTTGGTGTCGCGTCGCCGTTGCTGACTGCATTTTCACCACCTAGATTCATATTTAATGACCCAAGATGATGCCTGACTTCAGCTTGCAAGGTATGTACAGGCCGTAGCTATTACCACTGTTGTCATCTCCGTTTGTCACACGCCCTAGAGCGCCAACAGCGCTTGATGACAGATCTAAGTAAACATGAGACACAAACAACTGCTAAAATATGTTGGTTACGTTTCTAATGAGGCGATTAAGCATATATGCATCACACAACGATCCTCCAGACTGTTGCCAGTAGATTAAATTCGTTGAAGAGCGGGTAGTATATTTGTTTCATAAGACTACCGAACAAACAGGCAAACAAAATAGTGGGTATGACAGCTGCTTTGAACTAATCGCAAAGACTTTATTCTTCGTTCTACACGCAGAGATGTCTCAAATAGCTGATGGCACGATACTAGATAAACAAATGCAGCTTCCAATGTGCACCTTCACGACCAGCATGGTTCAATCTGCTTTCAAGGACTTATATCAAACACATGTTAACTAAGTAAGCACATTATCACAAAAATCAATTTCTTTACTTGGCAAGCGATGCAGTTGTAGCAGCTTGAATCGCTGCCTTGACTGTAATCTCCCGCTCGTCGTTGCTTCCACTGCTTTCGCCATCGCTTACACCATTTGTACCCAAACCATCCAATCTAATGTCACTGTTACCGTCTCTGAGCGCCGTTGCAACTGTGGTGGTTGCTAACGCTTTGGCTCTGCCCTTCTTCTTTTTCTCTTTCTCCTCTCTTGCCTCTTTCTGTTTACGCGCAAGGTCAATCGTCCGCAACAAAATTGTCATGATGTGCACTGTCTCCTGAGGATTCGAGATCCAAATTGTCGTAGCAGCATCCCGAGAGCGGGTGTCATTGCCTGTTATCGTGAAGCGGTCACCCACATGGAGACACTCTTGACCCTGAATGTAGCGCAACTCATCACTATTGCGCAATTCATTCGGCAAAAAACGAAACACGTACTTTTGCAGTGCCTGAATCCCCAATGCCTTGTGTCCAATATCCACCCACACGTCGTTGCCACCGTTGAAGGCGCAGAACGGTACTCGAAAGTGACGCAGCTCGTCTTGCAGCGTGAGACTAATCTCCTCTAAGTTCTCGTACCGAATCCGCTTGTCGGACGTATTAATGATGCCAATCGCTCGCTCTTTTCTCAAAATCCTCGTCGACAAGTGCAACGCCTTGACCATATCCTTCAACACCGTCTCAGCTGTATCCAGCAGCGCCGTCACTTCATCTTCAGACCATCGTTCACCACGACCGTCTTTCCACACTGCACCGTCAATCTCCCTCAGTCCCACAACCCTTGAAGTCTTGTGCGTGTACGTCTCAAACAGATAATTACACTCTCCTCCCATGACAAGAAATCTCGCTCGCTCCTCGCTCTTCAGCTCCGCCAGAGCGTCCAAAATGCCGCCAAGACGCTGTTCATAGCGCGCTGGGTTACCCGGGTACCCGGCTGCCGTCACGAGAGACACGACAATTCCTCGCCGTAGCAGCTCTACGACAATTTGTACCATCTCCGAGCTTTTACTGATGCTTCCGCCGTCTTCGTATATGGTGTCGTCAGCGTCAAATGTCACGAGTTTTAGCTTCTCAGCGATAGCATTTGTAGTTGCCAGGTTGAGGATATGACGAACCTCTCTAAACGTGGGCGGGACTCGCTTGCGCGCAAGAAAGTGCGTTTTAGTATCGTAATCAAGTGCAGCACGTGTCAAGTCCAACGGTAAAAAGAGCTTTGTGGACTTTGGTAGAAACTCGCGGAGACGACTACAATCCGGACTGTGTACGTGCTCGGAGATGAGTTCACTCATAAAGCGGAACACCTCAAGCACAGACTTGCGCAATTCAGCCGAATCGCCCACGTGTGACATAATCCACTTTCGCACAAGCTCAATCATTGGGTCTTGCTCTTTTAGCATGATCGGGCACTTTGACTCGATAAATGAAGGCGTTATTTCGATAATTGCAGACTGACACTTTTGTCGCAAGGCAGGACTAATATTAGGTTGAATGTAAGCGTATTGTCACTTTTTTGGAAAGACTGACCAACACGTCGTCCTAGCAATAGAAATGACTATCTCGGAAGCTCTATCAACAGGCTGTGGTAGGATAGCGTGCAATCATTATTGCGACATAATACTTGCTCCTTCAGCTTGTGCCCATATTAGAACTCGCGTGTAACTTCATATTGAGATGTCTCGTTTGCTTTGTCTTGTCGTGCGCTGTCATTGCGATGAGCTGAAATTTTCAAACAACGCCAGCATATTGCAGCATCGAAATGCAGTGGATTGTCGCCGACGACAGTAGCTCTGTTGTTGATCAAGTCTATCTTCTAAGGCAGAGTGATGGCGACGTGTTGTTGCGCGAGACACGAACGACAACAGCTTTTTCAAGTTTAGCATGACCTTCAAGCTGACGTTCTATTAGGAGCCTTACGCCTGTGGGCGACGAGATCATCCGTATCATTCAGGATCAGCGCCAGCTTGAGAGCAAATACAAAAAGCTACTGATTCCCCAGCGGGTGGCGCCAAGAGGCTTGCGAACAAGGTTAAGAATGAAAACGCGAGATTATGTAATCAGTTGCGGTTGCGTTTCTACTAAACCCCTTGTGTTAAAACTTTTTCAGAGAACTTCAAATTTGTTACGAATACACTCGTCTAAGACAAGCAGGAACATGACGACCAGTTTCTCTGTTGATACAGATGTTGACAGAAGAAGCACGAAAGCTTAGACTGGACGAAAAAAGATCACAGTTAAAGGTCCGTGATATCTTTATGAAGGAACGAGATGCAGCAGGCGAAGTTAAAGTAGTGCCAGGGACAAAGCGAAGATCATCATGACCAATTGTGGTGTTGAAATCGATGCATCTTTTTCTATATTTTGCAGATCAAATGCTTGCCTTTATGTCGTCCGACCGTGTTGACGATAAGCAATTCTCTCCTGGTCTCTCCTCTGTTGCCCTAGCAACTAGTGCTGGGGTTACGGTCTTTTTTCAAGACCTCCAGCTGGACATGTAGCCGAGAAACGCTTGCGATGTTTATATCACTGCGTTGGCGCTCGACCATATATATCGTCAAATTCATCAACAAAAAAAAAAAAAAAAAAAAAAAAAAAAAAAAAAAAAAAAAAAAAAAAAAAAAAAAAAAATTTTTTTTTTTTTAAAAAAAAAAAAAAAAAAAGTTTTTTTTATAAAAATTTTTAAAAAAAAAAAAAAAAAAAAATTTTTTTTTTTATTTTTTTAAAGGGATGTATTTTTATTGTATATATTAATTATTTTTTTAATTTTAATTGTTTTATTAGTTATTTAACGGTGATCGTGTAGCTACAGTCTGGTGGCAGATTGCTTTCTACTGTACCATCTCCACCAAATCGTTGGAATGGAGTCAGGTGCTGATATCACCAGAAACCTGCTTGCGATGAAAATACCAAGCAGCAATATGGACAGGTCTGCTAGATAGGAACACAAACAGCGTAAAGTCTGTAGTGAAAGTATTCTATTATTTGAACGAAACGGACCAAGCCCTTATAGCAGAAATGTATCCATAATATGGTGCACAATGTCAACGCCCGAGTCAAATGGCTTGTTTAGGTTTGCTCGCTTGGCAATTATGTGCTCGTGTGCCATTACACCTCCAAACAGCACGTCGATACGCCGCCAGCCGAGACTTTGTACAGATAGCAGCATGCCACGCAGCTCATCTTGTTCAGTGTCAGCCTTGAAAGCGTACGGAAGCTGATCTAGAATGACGTCACCATCGACAAAAGGTACCGGGCGAGACCCAGTAGAACAGTGTGAAGGCGTACTGCAAGCAGAATTTCCGCGACGACGGTCATGAAAGAGGTGACGCCGTCGACCGCTATCACAGGAAGCTGATGTAGAATGCCTTCGAGAGCCAGATGCGTGGCGGTTGTCGTGGCTGCTGCTTTGATTGCTTGTGCCACTTCTGATGTTACTTCCTTCAACATCGTGATCACTATGCGGCTGTTCCTCAGGATCCAAAGTTGATACCTGAGCTGCTCGCTTGTATGCTTGGTGCTTCATGGCGAGACGCTTCACCTTAAAAGGAATTGTTTCTCGCAGTTTCTCCGCACTCTTGAGAGAGTCTAACGCGATGTGGGGGTACATGGGAGACATCAGGGGCTTTTTCAAGCCGGAGCGGTACGGGTTAAATGCTCGTACCGCCGCGCATGTGTACGGCACCTGCATGTCGAAGAATATGTTCGAGTACAGCGTGCGCACTTTGAACATCTGCAACGCCTGCATGAACTGTCCTCTAGTCAAGCAGCTGAGGAGAGGTGGTATGGCAGAAGTTTGCTGCTTCAGCGCGTTTGTACTTTCAGTTGTAGCTAGACAGCGTACACCAAAGCAAGCGTTGCTAAGAGCAACGAGCCATTTCCAATCGCGATGAATATTGTCTTCGAGAATGCGGAGCACGCAGAGGCGGGAATCCGTTGATTTTTTCGTGCGAGTAGGCCAACGGATCTGGATGTCGAAGTTTCCAGATCTGTTGGAATTTCCGTTTTCTTCTTGTTCCCCCCATCCGATAAAACTCGAGTAAAGATTGGAGCCATCGCCGATGTTCCGTCCACTGGGTAGTATGATCTGCACATCAGTGCAGCACAGGTCGATCTCCAGCTTTATATTGTTTTCGTCAGCCTCCTCCTTGCTCTCAAAAACTTGTAGCTTTCGACCGCTGAGGACGCACTTAAACAGCTCAAACGCCTCTTGAGCATCGTCGTGTCGCTTCCCTAAATTGGGAAGACGTACTAGCAGCAATCCACTTTCGTCCGTCCACGCTGGGTATAATCACAAGTAAACATCATTATGTGTACAAGCAAAAGAAGACAGAGGATAGCAATCACTTACATGGATGGAAATGCTTGCCCTGGTACGCGTTCGACGAATGGCTGAGCGCCTCGGTTTTCTTCGTTGCAGCATCTGTCAGTGTCAACTGTGCCCCGGTTCGACTAAATATATTCTGCATAAGCGCATTATATATGGCATTGGTTGCACCACGACGAGGACGACGGATTCCAAGATGTGGTGTTGCTAATGTCACAAAATTCTACACAGGCACGAGTCAGTAAGCAATTTCATTTTATCATACGTTGTAGAACACATTGCAACGTCAGAGCGTACCATTGGCTCAATTTTATCAAAGAATCCACGGCTTAGCAATACTCCAATGCAGTAGCGGTTGTACAGACCACCAAGTGAGTGTCCAATCATGGAAAACTTCTCTAAGTTTGGCATTTTCTTTGCCAAATCCTGAATCTCATCAGCCAAGCGCTCACCGCCTTGATCCACACCGTCGTAGGTTTGGAAAAACCTCGACCCGTTGCTTTCGCTCGCGTGCAGATAAAGAAAATCTTTGGATCTGAAGTAAGTGTAAAAGATCTTTACAAAATGAGCAAAGTCATGTTTACTACCAAGCAATCCATGTTGTAATATTACTAGGTGCGTGGCAGTCGTTAGCTGAGTGGCAGTATTGGAAACGTCATGGCGTGGAGAGGACATTGGAAGTGATAATGGATGAATATGGCGAAGGAATATTGGAGAATGAAACTCCTAGGCAAAAATCCAGACTATAATTTTTTCAGTGTCGATTTCGTCAATTGACATATTTCATAGGACATTTAAAAGTAGATTCATTTTAAGAAAGGCAATAATAATAATTAATTTCACCAAAAAGGTCTTACAATTATGAGATACACAGGGTATTGCATCAATACTGGATTCTCTTATTCCTACAACGTTAATGACAACGGCACTGATGCTGTTTTTTTGTGGTAAACAAATCCTATTATTTTGATCGCTTTTTTCTTGAATATACCGATTGAGTCAAATTGTCGATTGCTATTGTTGCTGCACATAGCACAGTAGTTGACTGTGGTCTAGGGATTTGTTTTAACTAATATATAGCCCTTTTCACAGCCGACTTACATTTGTAACGACTAAGAATCATGCTAGTCGTCTTTATTTTTTTATCTGATTCCCGTCCAATTTAACTTCTAAAGACATCACCTGTTTGGACAGAATCATGTGGTCTAAAATTTGGCAGAACTCATAAACAAATTGCTCCATTCCGTAAAAGTAGTCCTGCTTAAACGTCACTATCTGCTGTTTATCTTCTACCAACCTCTGCTTCCCTGCGGCAAACGCTTTTATAATCAATTGAGTCAAGTACCTGCAATAATCATGGTGACCGCATTCCCTCGAAAGACAAAGACAAGTCTGTGCGCGCTGGTTGCGTGCTGCTTGCAGCCGTCGCACACGCCCGAGCCCAGTGATGAAGCTCGGTGCATGGTGCAGGAGCAGTCGAAGCACCGCTACTACCAAGACCCGATTGATGCACTATTAAGACCCGCTACCATTCCCTACTACCAGAATCCGCCACGGTGGGTCAAGGACGATCATATCAAGGCTTGTGTGAAATGTAATGTTGAGTTTGACTTGATTAAGCGCAAACATCACTGCAGATGTTGCGGCCTCATTTTTTGTGGCCATTGCTCTGCCAACTTTGATCGCGTGGTCAAATTTAGCTTTATGGATCCTGTACGGCTGTGTAACAACTGTGCCAGCATGACTAAGAATGAGAATGTCTTTTACGAAAAGTTTCTACCGCTGCTGGAAAGCGGAGATATGTTTAGCAAGTATGGAATGCTGCGGAAGAGACAAGTGTATCTTAAGTATGTGCGAGCGAAAAACATTTTTCAGTACCAAAAGTTCGACCCCGAAAATGGAACCTGTGAGGGCGACATCAAAGCTCTTTCGCTTGATGGGATTACAGACGTTCGTGAGGTGGATGTGGCGCACGACAATGCTGATGTGGGGATCATCGTTGCGGTAGGTCCGCAAGAGCACAGGTTTGACGCTACGACAGGAATCAAGAGGCAGCTGTGGATAGAGGCGCTTATTGGAGCACGACAGTTGCGTGAATTAGTGCTAGCAAAAGAGCGCGAGGAGCGATTAAAACAGGTTGAAAAAGAGAACAACGAGATTTGCAAGCTGTCTGAGAATTTGCAACTGATGGAGGAGCGTCGCCTTACATTCCAGGAAGACCGTATGCGGCACCGTGCTGCGAAGCGCGAGCAGCTACGTGCTAAGTACCACCTGGCATCAGCAGTGGCGTAATCTATCAGAGCAGAATTGACGCTGCCAAGCTCGTAGACTTGTATATTTTCTACATTCGTGTTTTTTTTCGTAGGAAGTATCTGTCTCCTCATCAGTACATGTATATAGTCGACATTACCAATGGCTAAAAGTTTTTTGATGCAAAGCTGGTCAGCGTATGCGCTATATTAAAGCTTCAACTACTTTCTTTAAGAGAAAGCAAACAGCTTAGACAGCATGCAGCTTCATTTGAATTTGATTGTTTGTAGTTATTCATAATATTTAGTTGGTGACTCACTGCCGCGACGAACATCAGGTTTTCAGCACTTACTTCTTGCTTTTGGTATTGGAGTCACGAATAATGGCTTCAAAATCGTCCCACTTTTCCTTACTAACAGAGCGAAACATGTTAAACTCGCCAGCATTCGAGACCGTTTCTCCTCCATCAAAGCGAATAATCTCGCCATTGAGCCAGCTGGCGTAGTCGCTCATCACGTAGGTTGCTAAATTGGCCAGCTCCTCCACTTCACCAAAGCGCTTCAGCGGGTTGTTCTGAAGCATGACCTCTTCATATGCTCCCGACGGGTCAAGACGGTCAAAAGCGCCCTTGGTCTTGATCGGACCAGGAGCGATACCCACAAATCGGATGCCGTACTTGCCCCACTCCACCGCCAGCGACTTAATCATTGCCTGGAACGACACACAAAAGATCATCATCAGCATTGCAATCCAGCAAGAAGTAACTACAGACGTAGCATAGACGCACGCTAACACCAGCTTTAGCTGCAGCAGAAGGCACAACGTAGCCTGAGCCCGTTTCGGCGTACGTCGTGGTGATGTTAAGAAACACGCCTCCTTTCTCGTGATGGATCATGCGCTTGCCCGCATCCAGCGTCACATTGGCCGTTCCCTTCAGTACAATGTCCACAATTGTGCTAAATCCTTTGGCGTTTAGTCGCTCGAAGGGTGAAATGAAATTCCCCGCTGCGTTGTTTACCACGACCGTAGGTATACCCGCCTGCTTGTCCAGTTCGTCTAGCGCCTTTTTTACCTGATCAATGTCACGTACGTCTCCTATGAGAGGAATCACCTTATTACCTGTGAGCTCCTGGATTTTCTTGGCTTCCATATCCACGACAACGCGCTTTCGGCTCATGATGGCAACGGTGGCGCCAAGATCCGATAATTTGGTTGCGATGCCCTTGCCCAAGCCCGTGCCGCCACCAGTGACTAGAGCTACTTTGCCCTCAAAGGTGCCGCGAGGCAACATGGTGCTTTGTACGGGTATCGTCCGGGGTTTTGCTGTGCTCTGAGCACGAAAGAGAGAGGATCGCAGCAATGACAACGAAGAGACGCCCTTGTTCCACATTTTGGATGACAAGTTAGAAATGAGTTGAGACCCTGATGGAAAAACAAATTTTACGGTGCTTGTAGAAATATGCATATGATTGGTAAAAAATAGAGATCTGTCTCGACCAATAGTCGAGTGCTAAGACTGCGACCAAACGATGATAAGCGGGCAATTGCAAGTGTTCGGTGTGCTCCGTCGAGCGGCGCGTAGTGTCCGACAGACGCCGTTATTGCAAGCTCAGCACTCTTTGTCTTCAAACAATGTACACGGTAGTTCTCTAGCTTTAGGCGGTTCATTTTCGTGCGATAATCGACGGTTTTCCACCTCTGATACGGCTTCTTCAGCGCTCGAGCTGACAGTGACCCACGGACAACTCACAGGTGCGCCTAAAAGGAAGTCTTGAATTGATTTGAATGGTTGAATGAGGCAATTGATTGGTACACATGCTTCAGCTGCTGTGGTAGGCAGCGGGACGGGTCAAGAACACTGGGCTATCGTGCAGGGCGTCCAAGCGGCTCTTGAGACGGTTCACATGACCACAGGACTCCCGTGGTGGGCGACACTGATGGTACGAGTTAAGGAAGTTGAAAACAGGTAGAATGTCTGAATGTTCCTCTGTGTTGTGATGTTTTAGCTCTCTGGTGTGGCATTGCGCGCTGCTATCTTCCCTTTCTACGTGTATCAGATCCAGGCGACACAAAGGTACCGTTTTCCTCTTTGTTCTTGTGTAAAGGCATTACTGGTGCTGATAGAATTGTTCTGGTGCTCTTAAGGTTGATGAAGGGAAGCTCTGACTTTAGAAAGCTGCACTCGGCGTACAAGTACGCGCGTACATTTACGGTAGGAAGGCATTGAATGGATTTATTTTTTGCTACAGGTGGGTCACCAACTTTTGTCTACTTGGTTATGTAGCCCGTATCAGACCACAAGAGACATCTTAACGCCATGCTGCTTTGGCGACAAGGTGTTCGTGCGGTCATAAAAAAGTACAATACGCGTCCCATTCAAACTGTCATTGGCGCAGTTGCATACATCCCTATCTTCATTGTAATGGCGTACAGTGCACGTGATATGGTACGTTGCGGAAATTTTGCAGGCCTTGACACTGGTGGCTTGTTCTTTTGGAAGAATCTGATGGAAACGGACAGCACATACATGCTGCCTGCTCTGGCGGCGTTGTCTACTTACGGTAATCTGGAAGTCTCTGCACGAACAAAAAGTGGTTTCTGGACAGAGCTGCTGCGAGCAGGGCAATACGGCACAATTCTTGCTGTCCCGTTCCTGGCTAATTTGCCGCAAGGGGTTTTCTTTTACTGGCTGGGGTCCTCATGGTCGTCTATGGCGCAGAGTATTGCCATGAACAACAACAACTTTCGCAGGTGCATTGGACTCAAACCCCGAATCATGAAAATCAAGTCAACTATTTGAAATGCTACAAAAGGCCTTACACTAGACTATTTTCAAAGCAAGGCTGCGTGTTGGCAGACTGGACGAAGAGAATAACGATATAACTAACAATCAAAAACCGGCAGTAGAGTTTTGTTCTTTATTGTGGTGTCGTGTGTTATTATTCGAAGCTCTAAATCATTAGCTAAACTTGCATTCCAATTGGAAGGCAAGTTAGCTACTCTAGTGGCTTTAGGTCCACTGTCAACAACTATGCTAGGTACAGCACCACCACGACGACGTGTGCAATAGCAGCAATCGACAATTTGATCAGGCGGTGTATGTTCAAGAAAGTTCCACATTAAGCCAAAAAAAGCCATTGAAATAATATCTGTGTGCTGGATTTGTTTTACCATAAAAGACAGCATCAGTGCTGTTGCATTAAAGAGAACTCAGTATTTATGAAAGCATTCCGTGAGCCTTTCAAATTTGTTGGAAACCGCACAGCTAGAATAATCAAAAGCATATTATTTCATTATCCCATTTCAAAACAGGTCAAATCGCAAGTTACTTCTATTTGTTGCACTAAAATCGGTATGACTGCCTGTTTTGAATCGAGTCTCGCAAACATCTAGCAACACATTGTCTCAACGTAGTCACCAACAGCAAAACTGACCATAGTTTGCTCGGTTTAGCCGCAACAGCAAAACTGACCTTAGTTTGTTCGGCTTAGCCGCAACAATGTCGCACCGCTCAATTGAGCATCCTCTCGCACTAACTTGACCAGCTTGAAATCTCTTGCGGACTGTAGCACAATAGCCCTGGTCTCTCAACTGTCAATAGGATACCCACTTATTAAAATACCTCTCGCATGTAAAAGGAGACCCAGTCATCAAGACTGCCTACCGGGGTGGCAGCGCAAAGTGCAGTAGACCTGCCAACTCAGTACTGCTTCAACATTCTGTATAGTGTCGTGTAGTGAGAAAGCAGTCACGACTCAATGAGAACAGTACCACCACGCGTTAAACAGGGCGCACCCTGATCGTGAACCATTAGAAAGTGCAGAAAACTGTTTCTTCTGCACGTACGAATGATACTACTACCCGAATCGTGTCAGAGTACCCACAGCCTGCCACGAGCGCAAGCTAACGCGTTTACCGAGAACACCACCAAGTCTTACCCGCGAATGCTATGATCTTGTCACTGGCGTGTAGCACTCACGTCTGTTTAAGCCCTGTTCTGTACCCAAACGCCTCGCTATGTGCGGACTCAGAATATTTACAATCCTTCATTTGCGTCGTTCACTGGTTTCATTGAAAGTCTGTGCCAGGTCGCCCGTATTGGCCTCAACGTTCCGTCCAACCACAATGGCCACTTGGGCAGTTGATACCGGAAACTCCATCTTATGTTTCATTTAATAAAAACTGCGGGTAGCGAGGTGAGAAAGCTGGACAAGTTAGCTATTTCTTCTTCACCTCCATTGCATCATTGACCTTACGACCGATGCCGACAAACATTTGTTAGTGCTTCCGAATGGACGGCTTAAGCAAAGGTGTTGCAGATACATCGTAATCACTCAATTATAATAAGAGACTGCCTTTTGAGGCAAATTTAGAGTTATCAATTACCGGAAACCGTCACAAAAGACTTTCGTCAAGATTTTTGTTACAATCGCCCGTACCACAATGCCAGCACTGTATAAATAATGCAATCTGAATATTGCCGCTGTTACATAATTGCGCATCTACCAGCTCACCTAATTCTTGTCTGTTAAGATCCTCGACGGTAATCGCAGTTTCTGTGACCAATTGCATCTAATGCAATGATTCATAGCGCGGCCACAAAACTGTCGACCACTTCTCAATTTACTCCCTCGGGCACACATCGTTCCCGAACCCTCCCCTGTTTTTGTCTTTCGTCGGACAACTACCGCCGCCTTTGGAGCACTCTTTGCGGAGCGCTGCCGTCCACCCATCTCGTCGCCTCCACCAGTTTCTCCTTGCGGAGTCTCTGGGACTACGTTTGACGCTACTACCCGCAGACAGTTAGGCGCATTCAGTTTCGGCTGCTAGCTCATCCCTGCTGTGTGGTAACTAGTTTGCGCTAAGTCTTCTCCGAAAGGAATCGACTGGGTTGTCTATAACTAGCAGAACTACTATCATCGTAGTGTGGTTATTGTTGAACGCTAGGCCGTTCTGCAGTATTCACTGTCATCCTCTTTCAGCTAACTTCCTGTTGACTGAGGCTACGTTGTTAGCAAGCTACTAGGCTGCACAGACTACTTTGTCCTAGTATTGAGGTACTTTCGACTTGAGTTTGTTTCGGTGCTCTTGCATCCGAATTGCAGTTGCAACTTCCCTCTATTTGCACGTCGCCGCCTCACTTGAGGATGGCAGTCACACGTAACTCTCCCGTTGGCACGCCTTCACAGGCGGCTACGGCTTCTAGGGCGGCTCCCACCCCGCCCCCACGATCTGTTCCCGATGACTCCTTTTTTCGGGCGAGTCTTCAGCGGTTCAATGACGTCCACTCATCCGATGTGGACCGTCGCTTTGCTGCTCTTGCGCCACTACCTACCCCTGTGGAGCCTGAGCTATGTACCCGCATGTGGATCCCTGCCAGTCGTTTAACGGCCGAGCATAATATTCACGAGATTCTTGAATCTCTTGCGGCTGACAGCCAACCATCTGTCTGGCGCCAGTCCCGCGCCCATCTTCGGGATTTCAACCGTATCCCTGGGCATGGTATCTCTTTCGTTTGCACGTCAGACGATGCTCTCCGCCGCCTTGGCGAAGTGCAGCTTACTATCTGTGGAATCACGGTTACTATTCGCAAGTACTCTAGCTTTGACAAGCTTTACTATGTGGATCTGCAGCGTTTACCCGCTGATGTTACTGACTTGGCGGTGTATGACTGGTTTGTTGCCCGGGGTGCACGCCCGGTCTTGATCACGCCTACCCAAGTTTTTGGGGAACTCAACTCAAGGTCACGGACAGTCGATTTCCATTCTGTCGCCTGCCCATCCCCCCTCTTTGAGCCGAATGGCGACCCACTTAGTGAAATTCATTTTCTTGAGGGGGAAAAGCCATGTTTTGTTCAACATCGGCTTCAACGATTCAACCGCGTTCGGCCTCCTTCCCTCCGGCCGACTGTTCACCCTTCATCACCTCGCTCTGACGCCACTATGCGTAGCGATGACGGGGCCACTACTACGGATGAGCTGCCGTCCACTGCGGACTCTGTTCCATCCGTTTCCTTGCCTACCTCGGGCCCGTCCCCGGCTACGTCAGTGGTACGGGCTATACCACCACCAGCTGTTCCATCTGGCTCTACCAAGGACAGGCTCCTTATCTTGGGATCAGTTGCTACTGACGAACCTATGTGGAAACTGGTTCAACACTCTCAGTATGGGATCATTCATCGGGACGGGCCTAAGTATCTTGAACCTCCACGTGCTGTGCCGTGCCGGTTGTATGAAGGCCCAGATGATCCCCATTCACTACTTTATTCCATTCCCGTCATGCCCACAATGTATGACGTTCTTTACGACTATGGTTATGACACATCTCTGCCTCGTGATGTGGATATTAACCCGTCTGAACTGGACAAATTTACTGACTTAACCGAACAGGTTTCGGGTTTTACTGAGGACTCCGACCTTGTGCTTGCTCCGAAGGCCATCCGTTCTCTTATGAACACACGGAAGTTGCCTTTACGGGTTGAGCAAGTCTCGGTCCGTGAACTCGAACGCTTCATCGATGAGTACTTGGCCGGTGAATTTTCGTCGTTCACCTCTCACGATGATGCTCTCGCCGCTGTCCAAGTCCAGCCGGCGTACTTTCGTCGCCTATTCAATTTACCTGTGGAGCATCAGACTCGCTTATTCAAGAGGCATGCGGCCTATCGCTCTGTGAGTGCGGAGCCTCTTCAACCGGGCGAGATTTGAAGCGTCGCCACTCGTCTCTCCCAGGGTTTTGCAGTTGACCCTATGGACGTCGAAGGCACCTTCGACAGTCTCTTTCGTACCGATGAACGCAAGCTCGCGGCTCTTTCTAGCACGACTTGTGATTTCTTTTTGATGATCTTTGCACCAGCGATTTACGTGGATCCTGTCAAAGTATCCGCTTTATTACCCGGACATGCTGTCCCCAAGCGTATCCGCCACTCGCCGTTTCCCCTTTGGAGCGATATTATTCTGCTTTATTTGGCACGGACGGATGTGGGTGGTCTATTTCTCTCTGATTCACGGACACCTTCCCATGTGGTAGATGCTATTCGTTATCTCGCCAATGCCGCGCTCCCCCAATCCGCGGCGACCGGGTGTTTTAGTCTTGTGCGTCCCCGGCTATAAGTCGAAGATTTCGCTTTCGCTCCTACTATATGGATACATCAATTCTCCCCCCCTTCATGCTTATGGTTATCTACGCTGCCTGCCTCAAGCTTACGACCCAGCATCACTGCAACGACTTCCCTCACCCGCTTCCATTGCTTTCCTGCACACGTTCAAGCTTCAAGGGGTTTTTAGCCTGTACATCACTCCCCACACACCCTCCTTACAAGTGCCACCTCTTCTTTGGACTCGGCTCTCAGCTAAGTCGTACTCCTACTTTGGTCCATCTATTTAGTTTTTTGTTGTCATTCTACTTAGATCTAGACTGTTTTGACTTATCATCAACATCTAATACGTTAGGTAGATTTTTTAAAAAGTTAATGAAAATCAACTTACCCAATCCGCGGCGACCGGGTGTTCTAGTCTTGTGCGTCCCCGGCTATAAGTTGAAGATTTCGCTTTCGCTCCTACTATATGGATACATTAATCCCCCCCTCTTCATGCTTATGGTTATCTACGCAACCTGCCTCAAGCTTACGACCCAGCATCACTGCAACGACTTCCCTCACCCGCTTCCATTGCTTTTCCTACACACGTTCAAGCTTCAAGGGGTTTTTAGCCTGTACATCACAGCTCTTCCGCACACACCCTCCTTACAAGTGCCACCTCTTCTTAGACTCGACTTTCAGCTAAGTCGTACTCCTACTTTGGTCCATCTATTTAGTTTTTTGTTTTCATTCTACTTAGATCTAGACTGTTTTGACTTATCATCAACATCTAATACGTTAGGTAGATTTTTTAAAAAGTTAATGAAAATCAATTTACACAAAACTGTCGACCAGAATGGAAATAGTTGCTCCAATGTTATGGGTGAGACCTTATATACATACTTACTTACAAAATGTATGAAGTTTACACAAACACATTAAACGAGCTTCGCTATGTCCGTAACCCTGTCATTTTACAATTTGCCCAACTATACAACGTTGTCATGGACCGAGACTTTTCCAGAATGACTATTTCAGAGCATTCAAACTCGCAAAAATTAACTGGATTGTTTTGATGAGTGCTGTGCCCTTTGGCGCGGCTATGACGGAAACCAACTACGAGACTGCTCTGAGCGACTTTAATGGCACCAATCTCCACATGGAAACCGATGACTTGAGCCCAACAACGAGGCAACTTAACAACTTCGAATCAAGAATGTTCAATCTTGCCTCATTCACGAAGGATATCCCAGCAACGCTAGAGAAAATTCCGGAAGCGGAGGTGGCCACGTTGAGTAGAAAACGCGACTTGGATTTTGATCTCAACAAAGTGCCCCCATCTGATTTAAATCTTAATCAATAGCTCCCATCTGACGTAGAAGCGAGTACAAGCCACGTATTTCCTTTTGGTGTTGTCGCGAAGGTAAAATCGACCAGCTCCGCTGCTCTGAAGACTACAGACGGTGTCGATGTGATGAAAGAACGTTTGATTCGCCCCGATGACTACCAGGTGGAAACAGACAAGCTCTATAAACGTCTTAAGTTGTTTAAAGACCACGATAGCTTTTTGGCAGTGACCGTTATATAAGCTGGTGTCAAGGAGTACATACTATCTACAATAACGACCAAGCAAAGGCGATAGACGCGATGCTTCTATCTTTGACTCGTCGGTTTGGTGATGGGGTCTACGAACGATGTTGCAAAATCCGAAAATGGCAAACAAGGCGCGAAATGATGTCTCCGCGTTGGACCCTGCGCAGATTTCATACTGGGCAAAGATTAGAGCGACTGAAGATGTATTTACATGTCGCAAAAACATCAGCGTTTTGAAAGATCCAGCACTACAAAGCTGGAATTTTTTCTTCATCGCGCGTGGTAATGTGGAAAATACGTTCGATTACCTAATCAACCAATTGATCTCGCACAAAGTTTATATGAATCAATTATTTAAGATGGTGAATGAAGTTAAGCTGGACAAGGCATTGCTGATGATGATATATATCATTTTGCGTTTGCGCTAACAAAGCGTAAAATAGAAAACGTAGCACAAAAAAGGAGCATTTTCCTATTTGGTTCTCAAGGTGGAAACTTGTTTGGAAAACCCTCTCTTGAGAGTATGGTATGAATATGAGCTAAGTATTGGTCCACCTGCAGCACAGAATTTGCTTAAAAAATTTAAAAGAATAGGGTTGACAACGAAAAAGATATCGAAGTTGCGAGGAGAAAACGATTACATTCTTGACGCATTGGAAGAGATGGAGTATTTGCAGTCTGACGAAAAGCTGGACGGCAGTTTGAAGCGTCTTGACCAGACAAATAAAAAGGCTAGACGCGGCGAGGAGCATTGAGCATCGTACGCTGACTACCAGTGTAGCTGAGCTACTTAAGCTATGCTACTTATGCACTATGTGCAGAAGAAGTAGTCGAACTACTGTAGCAAAGCTACGTATGCACTATGTTCAGAGGAAGACAAGCTCGCAGAGCTTCTACGTCTTAGGGCGCTTAACCCCTCCTAGGCTACCTCGTAAGCTTGTGCCTATCGGTATTAACCAAGACTCAGAGAGCCTAGTATCAAAGATACTGATTTCTTAGAAGGTATAGAATGCTCTAGCAACAAATGCTAACGGTTTGAAACTGATTTATATTTATGTTTATCTTCTAACACTAAATATAGAAGCACCTACTATATACTCAGTGCTAGTCACTATTACTGGCTCTTTAGCCAGTTATTATTATCAAACATGTATACTCACTATACTTTACTAAGTATAGTGACCACGTGGCTCTCTGCCACGATGTGACCCTTCGTACTTCAGGTACGGTCACATCACCTACCTTTGTACCCAAGGTACAGCCACACCACATTGGTGTGGCAGGTGTGTATGTACAATACACACCTTCGTGTAACCCCGTTACAACCAGCACCGTTCTTTTGGTTTTGCTCTATGAAATTGTTATCTCAAGTACATAGCTCTTGTTATTGCGTTCCTCAGTAGATGTCCCTGGACCAGCGTGTTCTAGTTTATAGACAACAAAAAGAGAATCGTTGAACCAGTCCAAGTCTCACTTACAACAACTAAGAGGTTGACAAAATTCGACGTTAATATCGTTACGAGCACGTCACGAGCGTTCTGCCAGCTCCTCCTAACGCACGACACAAGAATTGTTTCAAAACGCAAGTTGAGACGTCAACATTGGCGGTCATTGGGTCTTCCACGTGTCGAACTCATTGGCCTGGGTGTTACAGTAAGGACGAATAGTGTCGCTTGATTTTGGATCACTTCGGTGGACAGCAAGCTACTCTTTCGTCGCACCTGAAAGCAATATCATAATTTCAGTTCTATCAATGGTCTATTAAGGCATCAGCTGTCACCTTGTGATCTCTAAAACAGAATCGATTTCCTGCATGGCATGGATCGCAATGCATATTTTCTACAGGCATCATAATGCATCATGGGTCGTGAGAAGACAATATTACGAATGTCGGACAAAGTTTGGTGGTTTCTCCTGCGTACAGTGTCAGCGCATTAAGGCACTGTTGCCGATACCAGCTGATTGTGGAAGTCGGTACGTCTAATGTTATTTTTGGCAAGACTCCTGGTGATAAAAACAAGACAAGACTTGTCGTCCTTGTTGAAAGACTGAGCAGCATGGTGCACTTGGCTGTAGCACCAAGAGCACGGAAAAGGAAATAGCCTTCTTAATCCTGGATCTTGTAACGGGGTTACACAAAGGTGTGTATTGTACATACACACCTGCCACACCATTGTGGTGTGGCTGTACCTCGGGTACAGTAGTAGGTTGATGTGACCGTACCTAAGGTGCGAAGGGTAGAGAGCCACGTGGTCACTATACTTAGTTCAGTATAGTGACTATACATGTTTGCATACTAATAGGCTACAGAGCCAGTAAATAGTGACTAGCACTAAGTATAAAGTAGGTGCTTCTATATCTAGTGCTAGAAGATAAACATAAATCTAATCAGCTCTAAACCTGCTCTGAATAGCATACGTGCTAGAGCGTTCTCTTCCTTTTATAAGTAGTTGTATCTTTGATACTAGTCTCTTGGAGACGTGGTTGTTTGCAACCAAAAGGCATAAGCTTACGAGCTAGCCTAGGAGGGTTAAGCTTCCGTAGAGCTTGTCTTCCTCTGCGCATAGTGCATAAGTAGCTCTGCTACAGTAGTTTGACTACTTCTTCTGCACATAGTGCATAAGTAGCATGGCTACAGTAGCTCGGCTACAGCTGTCTAGCAGTGGTCGCAGCTAAATACGTCGCAGGAATGCTTTTTCGTACTGGTTGATTGTTTGTTTGGAAGCAACAGGGAGATGTGGCCAAGCGCTTTTCGCTGTGACTTCCAATTACGGAAGGAGCCGCAATATGTATGGGCGTCAATGGTGGCGCGTTAAAATCGGTGCGTAGAACAATCCTCTCTTGGCCACTCGGATGGTGGTGGCAGGGTGAAATGCTACCTCAACCATATCAACCTTCAAGTGGCGCGTGTTTGGTACCGCTGAGCACGGTTCAGTGCCGTCGGTGAATCTTTCAGCTCCTACTTTACCGTTTCAGGTTCTGAGCCCTTACTCCAGTCGAGGTTAACTCCTTCGAGGTGATAGTGCCTTCGCATACTCATGTGTAGAGGCGACTGTGGCTTTTAGAGCAGCGCATTTCTTAGCGGTCTACTCATTAACCGCTGTCACCACTGTGTGGTGAGTACAAAGGTGTCCCTTTAATCCACCACCGTTAAAGACGGATTTTCGTCCGCACACTAGGTGCTTGCTGTCGACACTGCAACCGCAGCAGTAGCTGTCGACGCTGCGATAGCAGCATTTTGCAACCCTAGGTAGATACTGAGACTACGCAGAATGCAAGCGCCAAAAAAGTGAGTACAGCGATGAGTTCGTTTGCTGGAAATCCGAGAACTCGACGATTCAATGGAAACATGGCATTTTGTTAACTGTAACGCATACGTTAGGTTCAAGCTAAGCTAAGAGCATTAAAGGCAAAGAAAGTCACGTAATTCTGAGATAGCTGTCAAGTGGTCCGAGTCAGAGCTAGCGCCGGTTGCTGTCTGGAAAACCCTCGCAAGTTGAAGTTTGAACCGAAAAATAAAGCTATGACAGAAAATTGTTCATTGTGTGAAGCAAAAGCTACCGAAGACAAAGACGATGGGACGTGTCTTTGAAGAGTTTGTAGACAGTACCCGTGTCTTTTGTTGCACAAAGTGTAACGCGCATCTTGCTTGCAATGAGGACATCATTTCCAAAGTATATGATCATTTTTTATTTCTGTCTTTGTATCTTGGAAACGTGCAAATTGTTCTTTTGCTTTATTGTGATGTAGAATTTCCAGGGCACTAGTGGCAAAGCTTATCTCTTCGATACGGCGTAACGCACCAAACTTATAACTCTAATGTTGTTAACTTTTCTCACTCAAGCGTACACTATATATATATACATACAGAGTCAATGTATGTACGGGTCCGCCAGAAGAGCGGATGCTCATGACCGGGCTGCATGTTGTACTGGACCTCTACTGTAACACCTGCTGGAGCCCAGTGGGCTGGAAATACGTACGCATTCTTACGGCATCTCTATTTGCTCTCTTCACTGTGACCAGCTAATTGTGTGTGTCGTTATATTCTTGTTCTTCTTCTTTTGGGAGACTGTGCCTACTTGTAGAAAGAAGCACAGAACGCGTCGGAAAAGTACAAGGAAGGCAAGTTTATTCTTGAGCTAGCCAAGACGAACCAATTGCCTTGAACAGTGTAAAGCTTACGACATCAATTCAAAAGTTGAGAAGGGAAAGAAAAATAGCTACAGAACAGCATGAACGACACAAAACAAGCAAGCACAAAATGAACTTTACCGTATCTGGCCACCACTATGTGTTGTAAGCAAGCACTCTGTTCATCCAACCGCCGCTTCGCTCTCCTTTTGTCATTTTCCAACGTCGGTTTTTACAAAAATCTACTCGTGTAACGCTGCTGCTCCAACTCGCACAGAGGATAATAGTGCACCTGCACCTGATTACCACCAAAAAAACGGCCGTGCAACGCCTGCTTGGCTTTTGAAGCTCCAGCTGCATCGCCAAACACCACAAACACGCGCACGTGGTCTGCCATTTCGTGGATTTCCACTTTCTTAACGAAACCGAACTTGCCACATTCGCCACGCACCTCATCTTCGATCTCATCGTCCACTTCACCGCAGCTTACAAGGTTTACTAAACAGAGGCAGCACTTGCTGTCGCCATCTGCGACATCCTGCACTCCTTCGACGTCGTCTTCAGCAAAAACGGTTTTTTCTTTCGGTTTGGCTACTCCGTTAGCCTCACCCACAGTGTTGCCTGGGCCGTCGCGCACTACCTTGTCCTGGCTGATGGCAAGATTAATCAGCATAGCTGCTTCGCTCGCCTTGCCCACTTTGAGCGGCTGACCAGCCAGCTCAAAACCGTTCATATGCTGAATTGCGCTCAGTGCACAGCTCTCCTCTTCAAACTCCATGAAACCATATTCGCGATGCTTCAAAAAATAGTAATAGTCTTAAGCATCAATTGTTGCTTCAATCATCAAACATCGCGATCGCTTACCACTCTAGGTTCCAAAGGCGAGATCGCCGCCATGACACACGCACGAATAGCACCAAAAGGGGAGAAGATGCTCTGCATTCAGAATTCTTTGAGTCAAAAACGCTTAATAAACACTAACAACCCATTCCGACACACGAACCTCCAAATGCTGACTGTGAAGCTCCACACGAACGTTGGCAATGTAGACGCACTTTGTCGGTACGCTGGTACGAGTCACAAAATCGGAGTTCCATGTCAGCAAGAACATCCCAGTGAAGACTTATCAAGTAAACGACTTGCTTTTTGATCGCCTCTTGTCCAATTGAAAGCGAATCATTCGGGTTTGAATTTCCTCGATGCGGTCGACCAACCTGTAGTCAGAAATAGCAACACGTAAGTAAATCTGCTGCGAAAGAAGCCTATTGTCTCATAACTTACTCGCATACTTCGGTTAGCCAATGGTGTTCCGTTAAGCACTTGCACAGCACTTTCAGCTGCCAAAACATCTTCATACTCCAAAAAGCAAAACCCCTTGGAGCGCGACGCACTGCCACAACATCACTATTGAATCAAAGCCTGCCTAAACAGCACAAAACACTATTCACCTTCTTACCCGGGCTCCAGCGACAGGTCAATTGAATGTATTGCTCCGAATGGCGCGAATGCGTTGCGGATGTCTTCCTCCTTTAGGTCGTAGTACAAGTTGCCAATGTACAACCGTCTCGCCAGGTCATTGGGTGAAACCTTGGTCCCCGATAGATTCAGTGACAGTAGACTGGCCTGAGCCAGTGCTCTTGCCCTGGCAGCCTGTGCGTCTAATTGGCCACTAGCACCCTAAGCAACAGCGCAGACACGAGTATGAAACTAAAGCACAAGAGCATCAAACACCGAACAGCAGACAGGACGATGCACCAATAATAGCCATGTCCTGAGCGCAGCAACATGTTCATTTTAACAATAATACTCACAACAAGAGGGCGCGTTACTGCGGCCTGTAGTTCCTCTGGCACCGTCTTTTCCTTCACGACGCTAGATAACCGCTTCACAATATCATTCAAAGATTTCGGATTCACAATATTCTGACGCCTTGACGTTGACGTATCTTCACCCTTATTATCGTCGTCTTGGCCCCAGCGAGAGCGGCGTGAGCGCTTTAACTGCTCGTGGCTGTCGCCAATCTCATGCCCACGCTTCATCCGAGCAATAGAAAGTTTTGTGTACAACACTCACACTTGATGAGCTACAGACATTTACCTACACAAACCAAGCCAAATTCAAGACGTAGTTCAAAATTTCTAGACTCTCGGCCCATTTTCTTCGGCACTCGGTAAAATGGCCGCTATGTCATCGCAACGTAAGTATGCTGCCTACTTGATCTACCTTACTATTCAATCATATCTGCAGCTTCGGTGTCTATCGCCTCTAGCCACGAATATCTTCTCGAGGATTCAGCAGACTGCGGCGTGACAAGGATGGCGAAAATAAAGAAAAGTCGTCCTCCTCGTCGGCAAAACTGGCGAAATTTTCGGCTCCAAGGTTACCTGGTGCATCAATCTCGTCAACGTGGAAGCCGCCACCGTTCGTGACCGCTGTGGGCGACTCCATTGAGCTTAATCGAGCCAAGCGGCGATTTATCTGCATTAATGTGCGCGGAGAAACCGTACCGTGCGCCAGCTCGTACAACTCAGCGTTAGACAACGTGCCATTTTGTATCCCCGCTGCCGTCACTTTTCCACCAGCTCCGTTTGCACTGCTGCTGTTTCGTGACGCAAGATGGAACAGGTTAAAAGGTTCGACCTCGGCATGTGCACCTCCATGAGCTTCAAAACACGCACGACAATGTCGGACAGGATGCAGCAAGCCTACCTCCGGAATCGACATGCGTTGCGACGTGCACTTGGCACACATCCATTTTCCGCAGCGCTTGCACGAGTGCGGACGACGGAAGAGCTTGAACAGCGTGTTGCAAGTTGGGTCTTGGCAGTGAGTAACAGTCTTTTTGTCGGGTTTCTTAAGTTTCTGCGACAGCACTGAATAATCGCGGGACATCTTCTGAATTGTGTCAGCTGCGTTTGACAGTAAGTCCTTCCACAAATCTCGATCCTCGAGTTTAGTTACACTGAAATGCATCTCCTTAGCTGAAACGTTGCTGTCCCCGTCACTTTGCTGGTGATCGTATGCCGTTATATATAAACCATGATGGCCCACTGACGTGTGAGTTTCATCCTGACCGTGTGTGTACCGGCTGCGTACAGACAACGGTACAATCCATTTCCACTTAATCACATGCGTTTCATCCACTTCGCTCGGGTAAAAGTACCACAGCTTGTGTGAGACGTATTCGTACACAACGAGCGCTTTATTCCACTCACGTCCGCCCTGGCGCTCTTTAAATAGATACCCTAACACACATCCGTCGCCCTCTAAGAATGAGGAGCCAAAGCCATGAGCGGTAGAATAGCTCGGTCGGCTAATCTGATTAATGATATCTTCCTGAAAAGTGGGGTGTGTAGGTACAGCAGCTCCAAATGGCAAGGCCGTCGAGTTTGTATCATCTGCAGAGGATAGCGTAGGGAGTAGTCCAACCGTCAAGATACAGCTAAAAGGGTCCTTCTTCGCCAGTTCTTCCGATGCATGAACTAATTTCCGCCATACCGGATTGATCTTCATATCGCACTGAATACGTTCTTGGCTCCTCGTTTTTGGATCATTATAGCACATCTTAAGAGCCTCCATAATAAGCTTTAGGTTAGAGAATGCATCTGTACCCGCCATGATATTATGCTTTTGTTTCCCATTGCTATCAACTGGATCTTCATTTAGATACACCTTGCAGAGTAGTGGCGCCAATTTTGCGTCTGGACCCTCTGTCTGTAGGATACGGCCGATAATCGGGCATCGGCACGAGCGTTTGCTCTTGAAATCGCCAATGCAAAACACAAGCATCTTAGTGATTTCACCAAGCAGCAAATTCCACATCGGATATTTGTCGTAGCATGTAATGAGCGTGGTGATTACATGAGCACCAACAAACATTCGATCAAGACGCTTCGACTCATTTGACAACACGGAGTTCAGGCACTTTACAACGGACCATAAATGGAAACCCGACGCCCTGCGGGTATTGGTAGTAATGACCTGCTTCAAAAAAACCATGAGCTCGTGTCCTTTGCGCTCCATACACGTAATTAAACATTCACGAAGACGACGATACTCGCGCACGTTGCTGCGCCAGTCATCACTGCAGAAGATTTCTAACTCGTTCAGATCGCCATCAATTACCGCCTGCAACAACGTGATCCACGCCTGCTTCTCTTCCTCAGATGACGCTGCAAAGTATTCGACAGACTTCATCTCCGTCATTGTAGACCCATTACGGCGCTGGTGATTATCCACTATCGCGTTCATAGAAGGTCCAACTGCATGGTGCGATGCTGCTGAACTCTTGCTGGTATCAATTACCTTTTTCTTCACAGTCAAACTAAAGCCAAACTTGTGCCAGTTTGAGCTTTGCACGTTCTCCATTTCGTCCAACGTAATTACGACCTGATTGCCTAACTTTGGAGCAAATGCTTTATCCAGACTGGACAGTGAGCCTGATTGATCTTCTCGCACTAGTGTCATTCGGAGTCCCATCATGCAATTTAAACTCACGTGGCACTGCTGAAGTTCATTCTTCAGTATCTTTCTTACCAGCAAATTTCCCTGACGCATCAAATGCGTGGAGCACAAAAAGTTAAGGCAGTCAATGCCCACTGATGCTGCCGAACTACCGCCTGTGTTCCGAGTATCCGTAAATTCCACCGTTTCAGTCAACTCAAATAGGTGCATGAGCATTGTAATACACGTCGGGCGTGGGTGGCCCTGCGACAGCAGCATTAGTGGATCAGGTGAAGCTGCGTTACCATGTCGCTCACTTGTCAGCGGTGTACTCCAGAACGTTAACTCCTTTATCATTTGCACGAAAAGCAACTCGAGTGCTGCCTGGTGTTCCTGCATAAACAAGTGAATGAGACGTCGCACCTTGCGCGACGTGTACTTTCGCAACACAGAGTTAGCGGTCTCACGCGAGGCGCCGCAGATTGACACGTACTCGTCCTGACCAGTGACGTTGTCCACTGGGATGGTCTTGGCTGAGATAGCTACGCCGCGTCCTGTCAAATACGGCGCGTGCACGATCTCACGCAACAAGAGGAAAGTATTTTCAATGCCGTCTCGCTCAAAGGCGTTGCGTGGCGGGGAAAATGTTACTTGTTTTTGAATCAACTTCTGCATCATGTGAGTTTCAAAAAGCGATGTGATGGCCGCTTCTGAGTGCTCCGCGTAGATGAGGTGCAGGAGCAGCGTGCAGATGTCATCGTGGCCGACATTAGCCAAAAGCATGTCGACCGTTGCGGGGTGGTCGGCTAAAAAGTGCAAAATGCAGGCACCTTTTTGCCCTCGAATGGCAAAGTAGCGCAAGATCTGCGACGCAAAATTGGCCGAGTCGTGGCTAAAAATGCCATACATGGCCGTCTCGTTCACTTCAGTCGTAAGTGGGGCCGGGATGCCCGTGTCGTCAGGTTCGTCTGAGTCCGAATCTTCTTCATTTTCCGTCACGCCCGAGATCTCAGCACTGTCCCTCATCACCACTTTGTCTCCGCTCTTTTCCACCGCAAGCAGCTGTGTTTGTTCATTTGCAGGCGACTGCAATGGTGACACAATGGTCCGAGCCTTGGCAACGTCTGTCTCTGTCCCAAGTGAAGATGATTTTCTCCGTTGCTTTGCGTCCACTACCGCTTCGTCAGTCACGTTATGCTCTTCCTTGTGATCGGCAAAACTTTGCTGAAGTGTCTGTGCACCGTCCTTTTCAAATACTTGCACAGCCACTTGGATAATTTCCTCCATCTCTGCTACCGATGCAAGGCGTTCTTTGCGTCGCAATGGCGTACCGCACTTGGACGAGACACCGTCTGCTTCTCGCTGTAATGTATCAAAGATTGAGTCCCAAAATTCGGCACATTGATGTGGTTCATCGGGTTCACACGTTGCAATGGCATTTACAGCGTCACCCAAGACAATAAATTGCGCTGCGAGAGCGCGTGTATGGGATGGATAAGAAACATCAAGTGCCAAACGAATAAGCTCCAACGTCTTTTCTCTCGAGAACAAAATGCCACGTAAACGATTTGTCATACGCTTAAAGAGCAATTCTAACATCTCGAGTGTAAAACTTTTATTTAGCAACTGTGCCAATGTATATTGTTCACTCATGAGCCCATCAACGAATTTTTCAATATTTGAACGCGTTTGCTCTGCAATTTTCTTACGCTCTTGATGAAATGAAACCTCATTGTTTGTTGGAGACAATACTGTCGACTCCAAAGGCGTCGCAACGCTCTTCTCCAGCATTCAGCTCGTTTCTGCTTCTGCTTCTTCTTCTTCTTCTTCTTCTGCTTCTGCTTCTTGTCTTATGTGAAGGCGGCATTGGATCTGAATAAGAAATGTATTATAAGAGGAAATGAAACGTTTCTAAATCCATTGAAAATGAAAAGATATTAAGGACAAAGGATTTGCTTGTCTTATTTCTTAATTTAGAACAAAAAACGTACGGAACAATATAAGTTTTTCGAATGACATGATGGATGGTTTCTTTTGTAGTTTTGAAAAAAAGATTCTTTTTTTACAAAGGTGGGTTTTTTTCCGCGAGTAGATAGAGTTTTTTCTAAGTCTTATGTTGCTTGTAAAGATATTCCATTGATCAGTGTTTGACCATAAACTTATCTAGTTTACTGAATTTTAAAAGATAGAGAGCATTAGCAATGGAAAACATGATGGTTGACAAAGTGAATGGACCCTACAGAATAAAGTTATTGAGGTGCAACATATGATTGCGCAATTCGATTGCACCCATTTGTATTTAATGTCCTTTTTAGCTCCTTTTTATTTATTTTTGGATTGTTTAAAAAGTGCATCGTTTTATGCATATGATTATGCACAAAATTTGAAAATAGAAAAGAATAAATTAGGGCTTGACAAGTTTTTAAATTTAAAAGATTTTTCATGTAATCCTTAAGTAACATTTCCCCCCCAAGCCTCTACCGCGCGCAAAAAGTCGCTCTCCTGTTGTATTTGTATCGGTAGGAGCAAGCAGCCCATGGAACGTACTCGGAGCGAAGGAGCGGGCGACGCCACACGCAAGCGTAAACGTGGAGCACTGCAGGATATTAGCAACAATTCCAACAAGTTGCCACAGGTACGATCTCCAAAGCGGCGCGGTGTCGGCGTCGTGAAGAAAGAGACAACGGCGAATGACACCACGTCCAAGCTCAAGACAAAGGCATTACGAGCATCTACACGTCACAAAACGATGGCAGCAACGGTCAATTCAGCGCTTAAGAGCTCTATGGGGTCTACGGCTGCAAGCAAAGCGAAGAAACGCACAGTTGTGAGCAAGAAGACAGAGATAACACGCGCGAAAAAGCGGAAGCTTGAGGGGACGGAGAATCAAGCCCCACTACATCAAAAGATTCAAACGAGTATGTTGTCGTTTCAAGCAACATCGTTGAAAGTTACGGAGAAGGCGACGGAACTGGTCAAGAAGGAGAAGGAACTGAGGGTGGATGCTGACAAGGAGAATGTTGAGATACAGGACCAGGATGTGGACGTGAAATTCGAGGTAGGATGGGAGATATAGAGTCTAGAGAATAGGGATAATGAAAACTAATTGAGACAATGTTGGTCGCAGGTGGACAATTACACTCACACTGACGCTGTGAAGAAAGAAGTGGAAGGTAACAAGAGAGAAACTGATGAGGTAACAACCGAGATGGAGCAGCAAAAAGAGACGACGGCAATTCAGGTACCGCTAAATTGTGGTACCGAGATTGCTAGATATGCTGCTGCTGTTGCTGAGGGACGCAACCAGTATGCTCCTTGTCCATACAATTTTACATATGATCACAAGACCTCGTGCTTTGACGAGGCCACGTACGCGGCAGCGGTGCGTGATATTGACGCTCCATCTGCAACAACAAGCTCGCATTACGCGAAGCTTGTGAGAGAGCTGGACGCTTATTACAAAAAGCACGAAACGAAATATTTACCCGATGCGGACTACATCGGCACAGTGCAATTAGACATTAACGAAAAGATGCGCACGATTTTAATCGATTGGCTTGTCGAGGTTGGCGAAGAGTACGAGCTCGACTCCCAAACGTTTCACAAGGCGGTACGCTTTATGTATATCATAAGGTGTTAGCATGATATGTTTCTCATTGAGTTTAATTTAGGTCAATTTGGTGGACCGTTGCCTTAAGAAAATCAAGATCAACCGTAAGCAGTTTCAGCTGCTTGGCTGTGCATGTATGATGATTGCAGCGAAGTTTGAGGAAGTTTACGGGCCAAATGTAGAGGAATTTGTTTACATTTCCGACCAAACGTACACGGCAGATGAGGTGCGTTGCTAATCTTTGTGTTTCGTGCGTTATGTACTAAGTGCTGTAATGACTATAAAGATGCTGGATATGGAGGCACAAGTGCTTAACGCACTAGAGTACCGCATTGCATCGACTACCTGCTACGGTTTCATGCATCGTTACATGGAAGCAGGGTGTACGACGGACAAACAGCGGTCGCTGGTGTTGGTGCGTGCACGAGAATCTGTGTGTGGGCTCTTTTTTTGACAGCATCGTCCTCATGAAGTTGTCATTGCTTTTTTGCAGTACCTTTGTGACCTAGCGCTTTTGTTTTACCAGATGGTGCAATTTAAACCTTCAAAGCTGGTGGCCTCTGCTGTATACCTCGCTCGATTCACCACGAGTGAGACTGAGGCGTGGACTCCCACGTTACATCACGTGACCAAGTACAACCCAGTAGATTTTCAGGACTGTGTCGAGGAGCTTCATCGTCTCCACACGATTGAGTCTCAGGTGGTCAACACTCAGCGCGACAAAGCGAAGGCTGTTAGCGAGAAATACTTGGCAGACAAGTTTGACAAGGCGAGTACTATTCCAGCATGCAACAAGAACCAGTTGGTGGACTCTTTTACCCGTTACAAGCCTTCCTAGAGAGACATGATGAAGGAATGGCTAGTCGTTTGAAGCGCCGCGGTATTGATATTTTGTTGGGAGCGCCAGATGAAGCATTACCGGACAAAGACAAAGACATTCAAGAGCATCGTAGCACTAGAGGACGTAGGTTTCCTCTTATTATTTTTTCATCATTATAGGTTAGGTTTCGTTTTTGCTAGTCTGTTTCATTGTTGGCAAGAAGCGCTTAAATGTATTAACCTGCCGCAAACGTTCGTGCATGTAGAGGCTGCTATTCTAGAGCGATAGATCAACAAGCTAAGGCTTAATCGATGCGCAGTGCTTTCGTCGCAGGCAGATTGATGTCCATACCATTGGTAGTCAGCTCAACTGACTTTTGTAATAGCTGTCATCAATTCATGTTGTCTTACGACACCTCATTCTATCACTACGTTTAGAGCGATAGAAAATGTCAAGCTTTTGACGTAGCTGGAATATTGAGGTCAAGGTACTGGACAATCAATAAGGTAGCATATCACATAACAAGGCTGGGGCTCAGTTAGTTACTTTCGGACATGTGAGTATGAATTATCAAAGCAAGTTCATTTCAATAATGGTCTTGTCGGTTCTTCTGCTTCTAGAATGATACATTTCTATCGATTGCGTTGACACCGTTTCCCAATCGGTCGTGTTGGTCGGTCGGGGCTCGATGTAGAGAATTTTCCAGAAGACATTGGACTTGTTTTTTGTATACTGACGATCTTTTCGCTGATTTTAGTACTGAGTGGTGTTTTCCACAATCCCTTTCTTCCTCCCCTTTATACCCTCACCCTCAGCCAGCCAGCCAGCCAGTCAGTCAGCCAGTCTTGAACCCGCGCAGTCCACACATAAGCAACAGAAAGAAAAAGGCTTGAAGAAGTAACAGTCAAATTAACAAGACGGTTGTTTGTCGAATACATTATAAGATTCCTCTTTAGAATATTAAAGATAACAAAAAAACAAGATGTTTGGTGGTGGCTTTGAGAGTTTTTTTCGGCGGTGGTTTTGAAGGCGGTCCAAGTGGACAATCGAAGCCCGTTGACAATAATAAGTTTTACGAAGCACTTGGTGTAGCGAAAACAGCTACGGCTGCTGAGATCAAGAAAGCATACCGCAAGCTAGCACTTAAGAATCATCCAGACAAGGGTGGAGATCCGGAACTTTTTAAAACGATTACGGTAGCATATGAGGTTCTCTCGGATCCAGAGAAACGTGAACTCTATGATCAATACGGTGAAGAAGGACTACAAAATGGTGGAGGGGGAGGTGATGCCAGTGATTTGTTTAGTCAGTTTTTCCGTGGTCAAGGTGGACGTAAATCACGTGGTCCACAAAAGGGAGAGGACCTGACACACCCACTTAAGGTGTCGCTTGAAGACTTGTTTAATGGCAAAACTGTTAAACTGGCAGTCAATCGTGACGTACTATGTAGTCGTTGTGAAGGTCGCGGCGGTGCAGAAGGAGCAGAGAAGACGTGTGATACGTGCCAGGGACGTGGTATGCGCGTACAGCTCCGCCACATTGCTCCAGGTATGGTGCAACAGATGCAGAGTGTTTGCCCGGATTGTCGAGGCCAGGGTAAAAACATTCGTGAGAGCGACCGTTGCAAGGGTTGTAAGGGTAAAAAGGTGACAAAGGAGCGCAAGGTACTGGAGGTGCACATTGAAAAGGGTATGCGTAATGGTCAGCGGATTACATTTGCAGGCGAGGCCGACCAGGCACCTGGCACAGTACCAGGTGACATCATATTTGTTGTACAAGAAAAGGAACATGCTACCTTTCAGCGGAAGGGTAGCAATCTTATCATGGAAAAAAAGATCAGTCTGGTGGAAGCTTTATGTGGCTTTGAAATGATTGTGGAGCACCTGGATGGCCGTCACTTACACATTAAGACCCGACCTGGTGAGATTATTAAGCCGAACCAGTTTAAGTCGGTCCACGGAGAGGGAATGCCCACGCACGGCAACCCGTTTGTCAAGGGCCAGCTTGTTATCTTGTTCAAGGTGCAATTCCCGGAGAGCGGCAGTCTGTCGGAGAAGCAGCTAAGCATGCTTAAGAATACGTTGCCTGCCCCTACACCCTTGGCTCCCCTGGCCGATTCAGAGGAGTGCTTCTTGTCAGAGTTTGATGCCGAAGCAGCCAAGGCCGAGCAGCAGCAGCGTGAAGCGTATGACTCGGACGAAGAGCGTGGCGGCCAGCGTGTGCAGTGCCAGCAGCAGTAGGTGGATTCTCTGTGTTAAAGAGAGAACGTTAGACTGCAAGGACGCGGAGATGTCTGCGGTGGTGTGCTGAATAGAAGGTAATCGTCTGGTAGTTTTTAGGCTGGCCGACTGCCTTCGTACGATCATGTGCACTGGCGCTTTCTAGTCGCGAACGATACGTTAAGGAGAAAAAAGAGAAAATGCATAACATTTTTTGGGTTAGTTGTGTTCAGGGTTGATTGATAGTCAGAGATCTCAACTACTTGTTGCATCAATGTCAGTTTCACTTCAATGGTAAAGGTCATGCGTATGGCTTTGTATCCTGTGATTGGCATCACATGTACAGTAACACACTATGACAAGAGATCTGGGAAATCGCAAAATGAGAAGGTCTTGCATTGATTCTTCCTTATCAAAAAATGGTCAACACAAGTCGTCTTTTCCACCTTTTGGCAATAAAGAAGTCGACGCTAACCCTTCCTCTTCCACCTCACGTGACTCCACTCGACAAGTAGAAGAAAAGTCGAAGATAATGCAACGATGCATCTCAATCCAGCAGTAGTAGTAGCTTACTCATCAACAGTGTCGTTCTGAAGGCCTTTGAATGTAGGCACCTGTACATGCTGCACAAGCGTGTATAGCTTCTCCTTGGCATCCTCATCGTCGTTACGTTTACGTGAAAGACGAACACGGACGCGAAAAGGCACGTTACGCACACCCTTGGACCAGATAAACTTGTTAAGCTTCGAATCAATGCGCACGTCCTGAGTCTTCATGGCGACCTGGGCGAATTTCCTGATAGCACGCACGGCACGAGCTGCTTTCTTCTTAAACACGCTGTAGAGTTACAATAACAAGTACAAAACCAACAGCAGATATAAAGTCAAGGAAGTCTCCAAGGTGGGAGCTACGGCGAACCGAGTGGAAACAAAATGCACTAAACGATAAAGCAAATGTAGATAAAGAGGGGGTAAGAAAAAGGATACCATCCATGAAGACGCTTGTGAAGATTAATAGTGTAGTCGCGAGCAACTACGTCAGGTGCGCGCTTGGTATTGCGAGTCTTCGTTTCTTTGACCATGATGAGTGTTCCTACTGAGTTGTTAGCTTTTCCCAAATGTATTGATACAGACAAGTGGCGGCAAAAAGCTACGCTCCAGGGCAGCCAACCGATTGATCCGAAATACTGAGTACATACCGGTATGAGTGGACCATAGAACAGGTACACTTTGGTGAAAGTTACATTGTGAACAATATGACACTTCATGTAGCCATCTCTACATCTTGAATACCGGTGCTTGTCATTTCTACCTTTTCCTTGTCTATCACGTAACGGATTAGACAACGATAAGATGGTATAATATGATGACAAAACTTGCATCGAAATTTAGATACTATGGGTTAAGAAACTGCCGAGATGAGCTCATAATGAGGCCAGTAAAGCGATGATCCATGATCATCACCAGCATAGCTACTTTTTACTTTGTGAAAAGTACTCTTCAACTCTTGTCGCCAGCTTATTGTCCTTCATAATCTCTTTAAAAGCCATTGATAGTACTTCTTTGCTTCGATTTGTTTGATCTTGCAAGACACGTTCTCCTTCATGTATCCGATACCTTTGCCACACTCGAAAAATTGACCCCGCGAAAGTCTCAGGAGCCCGTTATTGCAAACCAAAAGTGCGGCGAAACTTGCCTACAACCTTTGTGGACACGAAGAAACGGACTGCATGATCGGTTTTTACGTGTCTCAGGCAGCAAAACGCTTCCTGTAGGATGATACATCCTCAGAGAGCATCGAGCAATGAGTTAGAGAGGAAGGGCGCCACTTGTGTGGCTACTGACGGCCTCGTATATCGAAACGGTCGATCCATTTTCGTCGTGATGAGTTAACTGCCTGCTTTTGGGTAAGTTCAAGAACTACTCACTCGGTATCGAGCAGTACTTATTCTTGCTGCATCTTAAAAACATGTACAGCGCGCACATGGAAGCTCATTCCTGTTTCTTCGTACTCAGACTGAAGTTGATCTTCTTATCACCACTACTACCCATTCTACCATTCAATCATGGGCTGCAGCCATTCCAATGCAAACGGAATCGTCATGGATCCGATCACACAGCCTCCACCCGGGTATGGTAAGGTCTCAATGGACACTGTGTGTACAGACATCATTGTGGATGAGACAAGCAAGAGCGTCCCACTTGTTGACGATGAGGCTGAAGAGCACGGAAAAGAGGTCAATGATCAAGCTATAGGAGTCGAAGCTGAGCCGATTCTAATCGAGCACCTTGCAAGGAATCCCGAAGCAATTGAGGAGCTAAAGTTGACTCAAGAGCTGGTATCAATTCAAGAGCCCAAAGCACTTCAAGAGATCAAAGTAATCGATGAGCTGGAACCAATACTAGTGACCAAAGCAATTGAGGAGCTGGAACCGATACAAGAGCCCAAAGCAATTGATGAGCTGGAAACGATACAAGAGCCCAAAGCAATCGATGAGCTGGAATCGATACAAGAGCCCAAAGCAACTGAGGAGCTGGAATCGATCCAAGAGCCCAAAGCAATCGATGAGCTGGAATTGATACAAGAGCCCAAAGCAATCGATGAGCTGGAATCGATCCAAGAGCCCAAAGCAATCGATGAGCTGGAATCGATACAAGAGCCCAAAGCAATCGATGAGCTGGAATCGATACAAGAGCCCAAAGCAATTGAGGAGCTGGAATCGATCCAAGAGCCCAAAGCAATCGATGAGCTGGAATCGATACAAGAGCCCAAAGCAATTGAGGAGCTGGAACCGATACAAGAGCCCAAAGCAATTGAGGAGCTGAAACCGATCCAAGAGCTCGAAGCAATTGAGGAGCTGGAACCGATACAAGAGCCTGAAGCAATTCAAGAGCCTGTCATGGTCGAAGCAGAAGCGATGGAGGAGCTAACGTGGAAGAATGAAAAGGTATTAGTCGAATACGAGGCTCAAAACGAGCTTGAGCTGCAAGAGGAAAAGTCATTGGTGCTGAAAACGCTGACCGCAACGAGCACAAGTGCCCCGATCTGGACGTTTGTTGCTGAGAAGGTCACTTTTTCCGTTGGCGTCGCCTTCTTTAACATCTCTGGATTCAACCCCGAAGAAGAAGAAGTGCATTTGATCAAGAGATACTCGGAATTTAAAGTGCTGCATGCCGAGATGGCCAAGCTCATGCCTAAGGAAGAGTTGATACGTCTGCCCGGCACATCATTTCTGCAGGGACGCAACGACAAGGCTCTGCTACAGGAGCGCGAGGATGCATTCGTTAAAATGCTCAACGCCATCGCGCAGCACCCGGAGGGCTCGCAGACTGCCGCATTTACCGCATTCCTGGCATAAGTAGCGCTTGGTTTACTTGTTGGTAAGTATGAGAAAGAGAGAGACAAACGCGAGATGCAAACGGTAGCTTTGACCACAATAAAGCCATTGCACAGCACAGTATTAACCCTGCAGCAGATTGGCAACTAAGATATAAACGAGTAGTATGTACAAACATGTAACCATAAGTAAAGGCTTCTGCAGCTTTACACTCTTTTTTTTGCGGCTTCAACCAACAATCGAACGGTACTAAGATAAGCATTCCGATACCAGATCGAAAAAGCTTTGCAACGGTTGCCATGTTGTCATATGACCCTAGCCGTGTGTAATGCACTGATTCATGCGCGCGTAGGATCGTTTGCCGGCCAGATGGTTTCGAGATACGCGTGGTACCTCTAATTAATGGAGACTATATCGCTTTGGCCCTCTGCCGTCAAATTTATCGGTTTGATTTGCTCTGGCTTGAGAGAGGTTGTTGATTACTGATATTCATTCCTTCATTCCCGAATTCTCTCCATCTCGAGTCCTTTCTCCACCTTATCTGACCGTAACAACATTAATATGGGCTGCAGCCAATCGAAGACGACGACGACTGACCAAATCGTGGAGCGTGTATCAGCTGACACTCCGGTGGTCGAAGACCAAGCATGTGTTGTTGTTTTGGCCCCTGAGGTTGCTATCGAGCCCACGCTAGCGTCGTCGGAGGAACTTGTCACTGTTCGTGCCACTGCTCCCATTGATGATGTTGATGAGACCTTAGTGACGGAGGAAGCTGCTATGATACCAGTTGAAGGGGAAGCTACGCATTTAGCCGAGTCTACTACTGAACACGTTGAGGACGTAGTTGTAGAAGAAAGAACCGAATTAGTTAAGGAGACTTTTGTACTAGAAACGGACGCGCTTGTGAAAGATGTTGCTGAAACACCAGTCCCAGTTGTGGCTGAAGTTGTCAAATCGGAGGCGATGGTTTTTGAACAAGAAGTTGGAGCTCGTAATTTAGAGTCTCTTGATGAAGAGATAGCGCTCATGGCGAAGAACGAGAAGACAGCACCCACGTCGGAGGCTCTGGTGGACGTTTTACCACCCATGTCGGAGACTGTGGTTCAAATTTCACCGGCTAAGGCAGGCGTTATGGTCGAAGACTCAACACTCAAGCCAGAAGACGCAGTCGACGACACAACACTTAAGTCGGAGGCTGCAGTCGACGACACAACACCTAAGTCAAAAGACGCAGTCGACGATACAACACTTAAGTCGGAGGCTGCAGTCGAAGGCACAACACTTAAGTCGGAAACTGCAGTTCAAGACACAACACTCAAGTCGGAGGCTGTGGACGAAGACACAACCCTTAAGTCGGGGGCTGCAGTTCAAGACACAACACTCAAGTCGGAGGCTGCGGACGAAGACACAACCCTTAAGTCGGAGGCTGTGGTCGGTGTTTTATCATCCAAGTCGGAGAGTTTGGTCGAAGAAAGAACCCACAAGTCGGAGGCTGCAGTTGAAGTAACAACCTTCAAGCCGGAGGGTGTGGTTGAAGAAACAACATTCAAGTCGGAGACTGCGGTCGATTGTTTGGTCGATAAGGAGGACGAAGCCAAGTCGGAGGTGGTGGCTGTTGCTTCTGTAAGTGAAGTAAAGCCTACTGAAAGCACACTAACTTTCAAGGCTGAGAACGTAACGTTCAATGACGAGGGCGTTGCTTTCTACAACTTTGGCGGCTCCGATTCAAGAAACCCAGCGAACGACGTGCACATTTCGAAGCGCTACTCGGATTTTAAGACTCTGCACGCGCAGCTCAATGGCAACAAAGACGAGGTGGCGGACTTTCCATCCCTGCCAACTGCCTCGTTCCTGCAAGGTCGCAAGAACAAAAAAATGCTGGAGGACCGCAAGATCCAGTTTACTGCCCTACTGAACTATATTGCAACACACCCGCTTGCATTGCAAAGCGACGCATTCAAGGCTTTTTTGGCGTAGAGACATAGAGCTTGTAAGGTTAGAACGACCTTAACGCACGACCCTACATTAATATTTTTACGATGTATTATGGAACGATTTAATTGCCACTTGTCACGAAATCACTCATGTGTTTGATTTCTCTAGCCTTCGTCTCAGGACAACTCAGCTTATTTAACGGAAACTGCTGACAACACAACACTACTACGGCCAACGTAGCACTGTTGTATCGTGTACGTCGCTGAATCGTTCATTTGTTACAGCGATTTTTAAAAGTTCCCATGCGGTGCTGGACATTACCACGTCAGACTAAAGTTCAGCTAAAGATAGGGTGCTTGGTGGCGTTGGTTGCAGAGAGCTGGTTTGTGCAAATTCCGATCAATTGGTTTGACTGCTTCATGTAGGACATCCGTTTTCATCGCATATGTGTGCTGCCATATGAAGACTATTCTCAGTAAACGTCGTGCTTAGGCGACGATAGACGACGTAAAAGGGGGCTTGCGCCACGTCCAAGAACGCTCATTCTACAATTTTTACCTTCCTAGAGTCAATCGAGTTTTTAGATATCTCACTATAACTAAAGCATGGGCTGCACTCAATCCAAGACAAGCTGTCATTTTCCTGCTGAGGCGTCTACCGCAGCAGTCGAGAATCATGTCGGATTAAGCGTCACGGAAGCCAAGGCAGAGTTGATCAAGAATGAGACTGTGGTCGTTGTGTCTCCCTCTGTGAATGTGAAAAAGACTCCTGACTTTGCCTTTAAATTCGTGCCGGGTGAAGTCAGCACTAACGAGTACGGTATCGCCTTTTACAACTTTGATGGCTACAACCCTGCAAATCCCAGTCAAGAGGTGCACGTGTGCAAACGCTATTCGGAGTTCAAACGCATGTACGCGAAGATCTCAGAGCTCGTAGCTAGCGAGGAAAACGTTAAAGTCGAGGATAAGGTGACGTTCCAAGCGTACCCGGCACTTCCGTCAATGCCTCGGGCTAACGTTGTCACGTTTGTACTCGGTCGTGGCAACCAGGATGTAGTAAAGGAGCGTGAGGCTCAGTTTGTAAAGATCTTGAACGCAATTGCAGCTCACCCCATTGCCTTTCAAAGCAAGCCTTTCACGGATTTTATCGCTTAAAATAGACGGGGGTGGGCCCAACGGAAGGCTACCAATATATGTATACCAAGTCATTGTCTCTATTACATTCTAGTGTCATGTATATTCCTAGCTGCATTGTCGATTACATTCCAGTGAGCTGCATTGCCGATTACATTCTAGTGTTATGTATATTCCTAGCTTTTGTAACGTGATGGCTGAGCAACCGAAAGCCAGGTGTCAACATCGGCTATCGGTGGTAAGTTATCACGTCTCAATATCGTCTGGAATGACATCTATGCTCTCGCCCGTAAGAACAGGGAAAAGACGTTCAGATGGAGACCGGATTTCAAATTGCATACTCTGCCATCCCTATACAGTCGATAGTTGTAGAAACTACTTTAGCAGCTTCATTACGCGTCTTGCGCCAAGTTTGCCACTAATACAAGGTTTGTTTTACTATGGGCTGCTCTTACTCTACTACAAACGACTATGAACAGCTGACGGACTTCTCAGTCACCGAACTGTTGATCGCCAAACGTCCAGGAGGTAGGGAGGTAGGGCCCATTACAAAATTTGAGCGTAGTTGCGATAGATTTACTCGAAAGGCGGCACAGATAGAAGGGGGTCCAGTCTTAAACAAGAAGCTGCCATTTGGTATGATTATCTTTTCAGTCGTCAAGGTCGTCGTCAATGACGACGGTGTCATGTTCTACCATTTTATCGGCTCGAGTGCAAAGGATCCGACCTTCCAGCTGCATATTGCAAAACGATACACAGAATTCAAGACTTTGCACGAGGAGATATCGAAGCTCATGGTCAGCGAGAGGATGGTGGCAGCAGCGCAGCAGCAATTGAATGATATGCAGCCGGTACTTCCCGAGATGCCTAAAGCGGACGTATGGACGTACTTGCGTGGGCGCTTCAGTAATCGGATACTGGAGGAACGCGAAGAACAGTTTACAAGGATCCTTAACGCTATTGCGAGACACTCTGTAGCATTTCGGAGCACATCGTTTACAACTTTCTTACTGAGATAAAGCTTTGAGGTGTTGAAGTGTAGCCACATACGACATGTACGAGCATCAAATATGTTGTTCTGGCAGAGAAACGAAATATGATTGCACTCGGTATGGAGAACATTAATATGTTTCGCAACAAGGTCATTATTCACCTGCTGGTACAGCAGAAGTTCATAATCTCATCTGCCTTGTGTCGCACAAAACTCTCAGTGATCTGCTCAATTTTCTTTCAAATTGACCGCCTGTCCGAAGGTAGTAAACCTTTGCAGTCTTCATTATCTCGAACTACATACGTCCCCACCACTGACTCGTGTTCGTCTGTCTGTTTTCATCAGCAAGTGATCTACGCACTCGCTTGACGCTTCTTATATCCACTAGTCCTTTCCAAGTTCGCAGTGTACTCTGTGTCTATGGGTTGCAAACACTCCAGGGATGCAACGCTCGTTTATCGCGCGAAGAGAGTTGCAATACCCTTGCGACCTTCGACGCCATCCTTTCACGTGCAACAAAAGAAGGTCTGGTCTCCTGCAAGCAGTTCTCAGACCAACGAGGTCCGAGAAGAACTGCCATCCTTCGTCGTCTCAGACAGCGCCGGCTTGGTTGGTAGCTCCGATGGCGAACCTGTGCACGGAATGATGAGTGCCTTTACGTTTTCTTTCATCCAGGCGTCCGATACTAACAGCAACAACTCCAGTCTAGGAAGCATCTCGTTCACCTCCGTCGAGCAGACATCGCCCGAGTCGTCCGAACCACCGGAATCGCTCGCGTTTGCCATGACCGGCGATTCGATTGAGCTGATGGTCATTCCAGAAGAACGGCTTGGGAGATTGAGAGACGGCTTTGAGGTTTCAAGCGGCACTACACAACAGGAAAGTGCGGAGCCGAGTACGAATGACAGAGGTGCGACGGAACCCGAGGAAGAAAAATCACCTTCGAATCCATTGACACACGTCACAATGAGTGAATTGGCAGTGACGGAATCGAGTGAGTCACTTACGTATGAGCTGGACGCGTTCGGCATCAGCTACCGCAGTATAGATAATAGGTATAACACGATAGAAACAAGACGATCCGTGGAACTGAGTGAGGGCGATTACATGGTTACGGAGATGGAAGCTGCTTTTCGTCGTAAGTCTGCAGTTGAAACTGTTCAGGCAACTTTATCGGACGAGAGCAGCCACAGAGTTATTGAATGCCAATCGATACAAGAGGTCGCTGCTGCGGTCGTACAGGACATTATCGCTGCTGCCTTGTCTGACACATCAAAATTGTTGATTGATGAAGATCGACGGCAGTCACGAGACTGCAAAGCTCTTGTTGCAAGCAGCAGTCTTCAGGTAGAACCATCGAATACGACGACGACAAAATTGAGCATGAAGACGGAGCAACCAGAGAACGCACAAGAGTCGAGCTTTCGCGTACCCATCTACTCTATTGTGAACACCTCGACGAAAAATGGCGTCGTGATGTATCACGTGCAGCTCCTAGACGAGTTTACGGACAGCGCAAAGTGGGTGACACCACTGCTGTTCCGCTATTCCGATTTCAGCGAAATGTACTTGAAGTTAAAGGAGACCAAGGTGCCTGCTATTGACAAGGTCCCAAAGCTGCCTGGAGCTGGCGTTGTACACTTTGCGCGAGGTCGAAAAAGCAAGAAAACGATCCAGGAGCGGCAAGAGCAGTTTTCCAACGTGCTAAGGTACATCGCAGAGCATCAGGAACTGCACGACAGCGCTGTGTTCCAGAACTTTTTAGCTAAGTGATCACTTTGAGTCCATTGCATCCCGAGTCACAGCACGAATCGCTGAATTAGTCTTCGTTTTGAGGAAGACAGTTACCCATTATGATAGTTGAGATCAAGGCATCTTGCAGCCCCGACTGCAGTTTAATGAAGTGTGTGAACAGAATGAACCGTTTCACTAATTTAGAGTCATAACCGATGAATACTATGCTAGTAAGCAATCTAGCCATCGATGTCGACATGGAAACTATTCGCATTTGCAGAAAGTTAACACAACAGTGATCAAGTCAAAGTCTTAGAAGCCCTCAAACCAGCTTTGCACGATTTGTGATCTCGTCTGAAGCCTTCCGTCTAGTCTTGTCTCCTTTTCAAGGAGTGTAGCAGAAGTTCTCACGATGCGACTAGATGAGAAAGATTGGAGGAAGTACGAAAGACCAATTTCAAGACATCTCGGTTAGGAAAGCTGCTTTAAAGAAGTACGAGTAGATGGGATTGCTTATGCTGACATTGCATGTTGTAAAGAGAATACACAGAGATGTTTGAAGCGGAAGAGATGGTCGATGAAGTGTTCACTTGATCGTAAAAACTAGAAAAGCTTGGGAGACAAAGACAAACTTATGCAGTAGTAGCTCAATACAAGCCTACAGACAGCGTGGGCAGAGGCATTTGTTGAACATCCTGTCGTGGTGGCTATTTGAAAGAAATGCCAAGGCAGACGAGCAAGATATTGCGTCGAACGTGGAGGAGACTGTTGCTCAAGCTGCGATGGATCTGATTGTCAGCGCCTTGTTTGAGCGTTTGATTCATTTAAGTCGAGCATTGCTACGAATGCAATTCAAGTGTTGTAATGCTAAAGCAGCAAGCACCAAGTTAATGGTCTGAGCTTTAATCAATCTATGCTCGTGACAAGATGATAGATATGGAGAAAGTAGCTGCTGGGCCAGATTGAGTGGGATCTATCCGCCATGTGCAGATCAAAAGTCTGGTTTCATGCATGTCATAGCTTGGACATGTGCATCCTATTTGCTGAAAAGAGACTCTCCCATCCTTACGATTGCAAATCAAGCCAACGTCTCTGTCTGGCACCAACATTCTATATCCTTCCACCGTGAACGAACATGTCAACAAGTCTCTGGTATTATTGCAATCTCATTGACCACAATGAGGCTCTAGACGTGGTTCCTGTTGTTCAAAGTCGTCAAAGTGCCGTTCAGATAGACACGAAAACTTTGAGGCCGACAGTATCGTTGGTGTTGGAAGCTGTAGTGGGCGACGAGCTGGCCGTCGGAAGATCAACGTACGTGTTATCAGCTTTTATTGCTGCTATATCATTGGAGGAGGAACGAGCTGGTATCGAGCACGTTGGGACTGAGTTGGGCAATGTGAGAGCTGTAGAAGCTGTTGTTGCAAAGACGGTGACTCACCTTAATACAGTCAAAGAAGAGATCCAAGAGAATATGAATGAGGTGCCAGCAATGGTGGAGACTGCGCACAATGCTATTGGGGAGCTCACACGTGTCGATGTTGCTGCAACTGAAGAGAAAAAGCTCGTATTAAGAGGTGATGTAGCTCAGGATCCTGTCGCTCTGGAAGAAGTAGTGCCTCAAGCTGTTGCTGCTGACATCGTAGCTCCTACACCAGAAGGGACAGATCTTGATAAGATCGAGGACATGATGCCTGGTGTGATTGCAGAGTCCAAGACAAAATTTTCGATTGACAAGGATTTGATTTCGGAAGGCAAAGAGACTTCTGCAAGAGTTGCAAAACAGAGTGTTGAAGCTGATTGCGTGGATGAGCGTATTGATGCTGCATCTGTGGAAAAGACTGCGCAAGCCAGTGAAACAATTGATGCGTCTCCGACAGTGGAGGTGAAAGCAGCAAACACTGCCACCGATAACGAGCTGGATCCTGAACTGCAGTCAGAGAAAGCGGAGGTGCTCGCAATTGGGACAGTCCAAGAAGCGCCAGCTCCAAAGATGAATGAGACGCTTGACTCCGAGATTGAAGAGACAATGGTCATTGATCCAGACGTTGCAGCAAAGGAGGCTGCTGAAAGCGAGTCACAAACTTCTTCGTTCAGTTTCATCCCCGAACAAATTCGCAACAACAGCTATGCAATCTCTTCAGTAGCGGTCGCTCTCGCTACAGCAATAACAGCGACCCTGGTGGCACGCAGGTAAAGAAAACAAAACTATGTGATCGCGTGTCAATTTGTTAAGAGCTCAACCAGTGACTTCGTCGACAACAATGCTATGATTTCGCTCTTCTTTGCATTCTTTCATACGTTTTCAGGTATACTTGACATTGTAGAGTCTTTGGCATGCCAATCACTCAGTACACCAATTCAACATGATAAACTTGCACGAGCTGTAGTTGCTGTATTATGGCAGCAAATACCCTCTATCTATCTGCTATCATCACAATCAACATAGTCTCCAGGCTCCATCAAGCATAGCAAAGGTTGTTTGTGTCACTTACTGCTAGTGTGCAAGCTACGTTTTTCGTCGTTGTTGGCATGAACCAAATGTTAGCAAGCCATGAAAGCATTTCAATCTGTAGGACTAGATGCTTGTTTCCTACGTACTTACATGAATGGGCGTGTGCTGCTTACACGGAGTGAGCCACAGCTGTTGGAAGCTCATTTACCGTTAATACAAACGTTGCGGACTTCATCCAAGGAAGAGAATCATGATGTAGCTGCAGAAGTGGTTTAACGCTTCGGGTTGCCACGAATTCACACTGTCAACGAAGAGGAAGAAGCGGCTATAGAAGTGTTCTAATCGTTTGCATATGGAAACTTTGAGCACGAGTCGAGATTGTAGAGTCTGAAAATGACAATGGCGCTAGCTAGAAAAGACAATGAAGATTGAGAGCGTCATCACTGCTTTCAAAGGCACCACTAAAGAGGCATCGCTCAGTTGTAAGATTGCAATAGCTATCGACAAGTCTCCAATGAACAAGGACAGCGTCATTGTCGCTTAGGTGCTATAAGTGACGTGGTTGTCAAGGCTCTTCTGGAAGCCATCGTTTCAGTCTCGAAAGCTAGCATTGATGAATGGGCAAGTGTTGCTTACACATGAAGTATAGGACAAAGCAGCTACCACCAGAGACGTTGAGCACTTTGTGGACGAGGTTGTTGAGGATCTTGTTACCAAGATGGCGAAGGTTAGAAAAGCTTCAGTTCCATGACATGAGTTACCAGGTCGTACTGACGAAGAGGTGTTAATCCAGGCAAGACTACGAAGGATATGTTTACACCATCAGAGTCTACAATGTCACGTCTGGTATGCCGCAAATCGCTATCTTGCTGTGGTTCAGTGCAGAATTTATCAATACGTAGTGCCGATGAAGCTGTTGTGGCTATAGATTGGTGTAAGTGTCTCGTGCATGCTTTCGATTCTATCGTTACATTAAGCCATTGTTTCAAAGCCTCTGTTTTCAAAGAGGTTTCTGCTGTAAGAACACGAGTTAGCCGACGGGCTTGCGTGTATGGTCAAGACGCCCTATTTCGAGTGACGAAACTGCTACAACCGAGACTAAAGTGACTGCAGAGGCTATCGACCAAGAACGTACTGGCAAAGAGCCTGTCCGAGCAGGGATTAATGCTGAGCCTGTCGTGGTCTAGACTTTCGCTAACGCTGAATCTGTGGCCGAGCTTTTATTTGAAACGTCCACGACCACCAAGAACGTCGTAGAGAATGATAAACTGCTCTTCTCTTACCACAGGAGGTGGTCTCTATAGCCCCGAGCTCTCGACTTAACTTCAAGTAGTTGCTGATGTTCAAATAGGGAGCACCGTTGACGATCGATAAGAAAAAAGGCAAAGGACTCGGCCAGGAATGGTCCGCTGCAGCTGAGACGGATGTGAGTATCCACTGTTACAGACAACAACATTGAAGCGCCTGTCCTTGAAGACACCGCCGAAGCCATGAGGAGTCAGGAAGGTTCTGCTGTCATTCCTCAAGATTCTTATCAGGCCGAAAGAGTTGTCAAAGAAAACCACAAGAGAAAAGAAGAACTGAGGTCGGTGACATGAAGGGGACAGAAGAAACGTGCCAAAACGTGAACAACATGTTACAGACTGACGTAATGTTGGACACGAACAATATCGTGGAGATTACACAAGAGGGGATTGAGACTCAAGTTGATGAAGGGGCTGTGGATGAAGTCGTGGCCGCAGGAGGTGAGGTTGCGTCTGCTGGAGTTGAAGTCGTGGCCGCAGAAGGTGAGGTTGCGTCTACTGGAGTTGAAGACGTGACTGCAGAAGGTGAGGTTGCGTCTGCTGTGGTCGAAGTTGTGGCTAAAGAAGACATTGAGTATGCTGTGGTTGAAGACGCGGCCGCTGAAGAAGAGGTTTCGTATGCTGTGGTCGAAGACTTGGCCGCAGAAGGAGAGTCTGCTGTGGTTGAAGACGTGACTGCAGAAGAAGAGTTTGAGTCTGCTGTGGCTGAAGGCGTGGCCGCACAAGAAGACAGTGACTCTGCTGTGGCTGAAGGTGTGGCCGCACAAGAAGACAGTGACTCTGCTGTGGCTGAAGGCGTGGCCGCAGAAGAAGAGGTTGAGTCTGCTCAGGTTGCGCAGGAATGTGATGGGTTTGTCACCAAGCAGCCACAGTTGAATGAAATGGAGGACAAAGAGGTGGTCGACGCTTTTGAAGCTGCTGAAAATGAAAGAGTTGTAACAAAGTCTGCTGAGACAAAGAGAGTTGAGCTAGAGGACGCTGTTGTTGAGTGTTACGCCATTCAATCTAAATTTAATGAAGAAGAAGCTCTCACTGCCTGTGTGAAGACAGACGTCACGGACGAGAAAACAAATGTGTACGCTGGTAGTAAGGAGGACCCGTACGCTGACGCAGCTGCTCAGCTGAAACATTCAGAGAGTACAATCGCCGTTGCCGACGTCAATAGCGAGATTAAAGCTGCTATAGACATTTCAGATGTTATCGCTGCCAAGGAAGGTGCTTTGAACGCTGATCCAGTCGTCCTTGTGACTGACGAGGAACTTGCCAACAAAAGATGTCTTGTCAAAGAGGCCGCTGTTGATGTCGAAGCTAATGATATCCAAGCCATTGCTTTAAATGAAATTATTGACGCCGTTGCTGAGGAAGCAGTGTCCGCAATGATACCATCAAAGTCTCTCGAGATCGAAGCTCTTGATGAAGCAAAAGCTGTTACACAGGGCATACCACTGCCCTTACAAGCTACTGTGCCCAATGCAACTATTGAAGAAGTTGCCATGGAAGCCGTAGCGATTTTACAGACAGATGACTCAGCGGTTATGACTAAGCTCGAAGTCAGTGTCAAAAGTAACATCGACGACAAGAAAGTGGAAGTCACTAAAGATGAGTCTCTACTTGATGATGATGAATTTGAGGAGGCAAATGCTATGCAGGAGCAAGAAAAGGATGACGAAGAAGACATCGAGGCCTCGAATACAAAGGCGGATACTGCGACCAAAACTACCATTGATACGCCGGCCAAGCGAATTGTCGAGACAATCATGGAAGAAGTCGAAGCTGAGAAAAGTGTTGTCGTGGAGACTGATAAACGCATCGACGAGGATGCTGAAGCTGTTGGAATAGAAGCCAGCACGGAGGCTGTCCCTCTTGATATTGACAACAATATGGTGAAATACGAGACTGACACTGCTCTTTTTGGCGAGCGCACTAAGTTTATTGTGCCAGAAAACGAGACCAAGACTGCTGCATTTAGTTTGAAGATCGATGAAGCTGTTGTAAAAGAGACCAACGCTGAGATCGCGTCTGTTGCTGAGGTGAATGAAGTGCAGCTAAAGGAAAGCGGTCATATTGAGGTCTTAGCCGTTGATAAGAAGTTTGCGACTGAAGAGGTACAGAAGACCGATTGGGCCGTCGCTAAAGTGCGAGAGGAAGCCCGTGATGATGTTGCGCTCATCAAGGCCAATGACGATGAGCCTAGTATAGTCGAGCAAACGTCTGCTGTTGAGGTCGGTCAAGCTGATGCGAAACCTGATGAAGCCAATCTTACAGCATTAAATGCGAGCGACTGCGAGGACAGCTCAAAGTCTTGTGACAAGTTTGAGGTCGATACTAAGCCCATCATCGCCGTTTCAACCCTTATCGGCCGCTTTGAGCAGATTGCGAAGCACAATGCCACAAAAGCTGCAAACTCGCGCTCATCATCACGCACTTCTTCTCGTTATACTTCGCCGCTTCCCTCTCCACCTGCGAGTTGGTCCCGTGGAAATATTTTTGAGACTGTAGCAAAGAGCAATGAAGAGAGCGAGAGATTGGAAGGACCACTTGGCGTGGATTTAGATGAGGAGGATGTGTTGACTGAAGATAAGAAAGACCAAGAAGAAGTAGAGGTCGAGATTACAGTCACAAGTACGGAGTCCGTGTACGAGTCTTCTCAATTTGAGGAGGCACCAGCTGAAGATGATGTTCTTGAGGATGCCTCAACATTAAACGAGACGGACACAATTGCTCTCGAAAAAACGCCGGCCGTTGCTGACATTGCTGTGGCCGCTAAAGAAAGTTCTGTGGTAGAAATACCTGCTGTTAAGACCGATGAAGATAAGTCTGAAGCTGCTATTGAACAGTCTGACGCTATTGAGGAAGCTCCTATCGTTGAAGTGAAATCGGTGGAACAAGTATCAGTCGACGAATCTACTGAACCAGAGGTGGAAGTTGAGAAAGATCTTTTTGTTGAACTACAAAAGGCCGAGAGCATTGCTGAACCTGAGGCTGAGGATGTCGACTTTGAGATAATAATCGAAGAGGAAATCGTTGAGACCGCAGAAGGAGCTGACGCACCAGCTTCTGAAGCAGTTGAGGCTTATGATGCTGTTGAAGAAGTCCCAGTTGCTGTCGTACCTGTTGTTGATACTGCTGAGACTGACGCCGATAAAAGTGAGACACGCGCGGTCGTACCTGCGCCGTCGATTCTGTCCGTGGATGGATCAAAAGTAGATGCAGTCCGGAAAGAGGCTATCACGGAAGACGAGGAAATTGTTGAGGATGCTGCATTAACGGCAAAATCGTTGGTCGATGTGGAGGAAGCCGTGGTTATGGTTGATTCTACAACTGATAAAGCTATCGATAGCTCTTGTCTAGTAACCGACCAAGATGACTCGAACGAATATGCATCTACGAGGAAGGAGGCCTTAATGACCGAAACCAGTTTAAAGGCTACCGTGGAAATGACACTGACAAGTCCAGTGACAAAGGCAGAGAATAACGACACGGAGATAACGCCCGAGTACGATTCATTTGAGCCGATTCCATTCGAGCAACTGACGTACGAGATATTGGGTGTCACGCGTGTAAACAACGTGGCCATGTATCATATCTACACTATCAATCGTGCGACTGGTGAACAAGCAATGTCGATTCCCAAACGCTATTCAGAGTTTAAGCTATTGGAGGAGCGACTTCAAGCATTGGATCTACCGAGTACACCCGGCCTACCAATACTACCTAAGCCTACCGTAAGCAGTTTCTTCCGTGGACGTCGATGCAAAAAGACAATTGAGATGCGCGAAAAGGCTTTTGGAGACTTACTGCACTACATTCGAGACCATGAAGACTTGCATCGGAGCATTGTCTTCCAACAATTCATTGGCAATTGAAAGGTGGAATGGATGAACTCATATGAAGGAAAAGAGGTACAAGTGGTTTGTATATGAAATAACAAAGAGGTCTCATGTTCATTTGTGCTTTACCCATTTGAGGAACTCAATTGAAGGCGATTTTGGTCTAGAAAGCATCATAGCCCTCATGTTTTAGCTAACATTGATCATTTGTATAGATCGAAATAGTAACGTAAAAATATCAGTCTGTTAATACAAAACGGGTATTTTACTATTTAGTTTTGGATTTACTACGTCAAATGATACTATTCGTACTTTGCCGTACAATCAGTTTTGTAATATAAGAGCATTAAGACTGGTGAAGAATAGTATTACTACATAAATGTATAGTATACTACTTGTGTAAATATGATATTACATTCATATATTACTACTGTGCCCTTTCAGTGGCTCATCTTCTTGGATACACCACTGACGACGAAGCCAGTATAATACAAAGGCTCTTTCGAATAAGATTAGACGAATAATAAGACTGGTGCTAATGATGATGACAGAATCAACATATGAAACATCTTTGATCTGCAGCATTGCTTACAATAACTACAATTGTAGCTTTCGATTGCAATAAAAGCTTTCTGTCCCAAAATGATTGCTCCAGAGAATTGTTGTAACAAAATGTTTACTGTCCAGATAGATAAGATGATGGTCACTTGAAGCTGTACAGTCGTGATTGTATCACCACCATATATGTGCTCCCTATACAGAAGGCATGTCATGTACTGGTACGTACGAGACCGTGACGTGTCTCACTTCCTGTCGTTTTTGTCGTAAACGACCGTAAAGACTAGCTCAAGCGCTCTCTGTTGTCATTTCAGGTCAACATGTCAACGTTTCTTCTATGCCTTCACAAAAATTAAACTCAAGTCATGTGAATCGTCAAGAGGTAGACGAAACGTTACAAGTAGTAGTCGACTGAACTCATCTGTAAAAGACTTACGGTCTCATCGATTTCGACAAGTGATTGCGACATATGAAGATCCCTCTAATATAGCAAGATGGCTCATCTGTAAGCGACATTTGTTTTTCTCATGGCTTGACGGATGCGCTTGCGGCCGGTATATTAAAATTTTAATGCCCACTGGGTGCAATATATTGTAAAGTGTATGGTAGAAAAGACGTCTTTTCTTTTTACTGGCTTTTTTTGCTTGACGAAAGCATATAGCATTACACACACGTATATATATATATTCCCACCCCTTATTACTAAACACCAAAAGTTTTTTAGACTGGATTGTTCTATATAGTCAGTTAGTCAGTTCGCAACGTCTTGGTCACAATTCATTCACCCGTTTAAAGCACAAGTAATTCGTAATCAATTGAGAGTTGAATTGATTATGGGGTGCAGTCAATCGAAACCTACTGATGTATCAGTCCCTGATGATAATAACGCTTATGTGACGAAGAAAGAGGAGTTCATGGAGCACAAGCTGGAAATGTCCAAGATTGAAGAACCTGAAGCTGAAGAGTTAAAAGCGAAACAAGACGAAGAAGAACCGATGGACGAAGCATCAAAGATACTAGAGCCCGTTGCCCACACGATTGACTTGACAGCTATGGAACGGACACCAGGGTCGTCACCTGTGGACGTACCTGATAGTGTACGCGCCAATTTTTCGTCCTTTAATATCTCGTTTATTGACCCAACGGTGAGTGCCCCCACGAGTGCCACGACAGAGCCGAATATCGCATCAACAAGGATGACAGTGATGTTTAAGGATTTAATGAAGAACGACATGGAAGAGATAGTAACGGAGAAGGATACTGTTCACGAGGTAGAGTCGAATGGGGAGACACAGACGGAGGAAGCTGCTGGTGAACAAGATGGTGTTGCCGATATGAAGATGGTCGAGGAGCAGGTAGCAAAGGAGATGGAAGCGCCGGCTGCGAGGACCGAAGAGCATGTTGCGACCATTGAAACGGTAAAGGAACTGACTGAGACTGAGGTGATCATGGATGATGTAGCTGCTCCTCACGAGGAGGAGACAGGTGTTGAGGAGCAGAATGATATCAAGGTGGAGGTTGCAGCTTCTTCTGTAGGAACTGAAGCGACAACAAATATTGAGGAGGTGAATGAAGTTACGGAAGTAGCTGGGAAGGTTGAAGAAGGGGCTTGCATGGAAGCTAAGGAGTTCGTTGCTGGTAGCGAGGAGACAGGAGCTGTCGTTGAAGAGTCTGTTGCTACTGTGGAGAACACTGAGAAGGAGTATGTTGTCGAGCCTGTCGTGGAAGTGGTAGCTGATCCGTCTGCAGAGAATGTTGCTGGATATGGAAAGGAGGAAATGATGTTTGAGCCGGCCAAGGACGAAATCAAGGTTGATGAGTCAGCTTTGAAGGAGGCCAGTAAGGAGGTTATGACGAAGGTAGCAGAGCCAGTTGTTGCTGACTCTGAAAAAAAGACTGATGATGAGTCTGCTACGGTCACTGCAAATAATGATGCTTCTGTTGCTGCTGAAGAATTTGACGTTGGTGTCAAAGCCGTTGCAGCTGCAGCAAAGCCAGGTAGTGCTATGGAAGAAGTTGCATCTGTGACGACTACACAGCCTGAAGCCGATGTTGAGAAAAGGCCTACGGTGGGGTGCAAGTCGGGCGGCAGTAGTACTACATCAGAGGAAGACACTGAGACGGAGTACTCGGGCGCCGCGCGACCCAACATAGCTGAAAAGGCCGCGTCTGCTTTGGTCCCGGTGAAGAAGGAAGCGGTTGAGACCCAGACGATTGAGATGACGCCTGCCAAGGAGTCAGTCGTCTTTAACTAAGTCTTGCTGAACATTGCACGCAGCGATACGAGTCAAATCCAATTTCCGCTATTGCGAGGCTGGTGGTGAACGCCATTACGACCCACACACATATACAAATGTAGGGATTGCACATAAATACAAGAATTTCGTTAGCTACGCCTTGTTTGCATCCCGGCAATGTGACGATGCAAGAACAGGTTGACGATCGTCGAGGGTCGTTTGAACGAGCATTATGCAATGACAGACAGTCCGTGACAATCTGACAAACTCCGTCTTCTTCTGCTCACTTCGCAGTACGATATACTAACAGACAGCTCAAGGTAGTCTTGATTGAGATAGAAAAATGCTGGAAAGCGTAATTGTTTCGTCGTTGCTTCCATGGCACATGCGCTACAAAAGCAGAGAATAAGCGAATGCCATGTACATTTGAATCGAGATACTTTGCGGCAATTGCAGTGTAACTAAGGTGTTGCATAATGACGGACCGCAATCAACTCTAATGTATCCAAGTCAAGACACTCTTGCAACTTAGCAAGAGTTGGCTATAACATCATGCTTTCAGTATTGACACATGAAGAAACCCTTTGATATAAAGGCTAGACGTCTAGTGTGAGCTGATACCACTTGGTCATCGCAGCATTGCTGACAGTAAAAACAGAAGCCAGGCAGCCTTTGAGGAGGCACAAAATGATTGAAAGGGTTCAATTGAAGGTGTCAGTACAGGTCGACCAGCCTCATTACATGTTGTTACGAGTTCTAAACACTGACAGATTTCGAGAAAGCTTAGCGCAACGCTATGTCGTGGGCTGCTGGCAGTGGTATGTCGTGGGCTGCTTGCAATGGTATGTCGTGGGCTGCCTGCAATGGTATCTACTAGTGTGGCCACCGACGTACGAGGGGACCACACGTAGCTCATAAGCTTTGACTAGGCCGATGCGGCTCCTAACCGACGACCAACGTCAGGTCTGCAATCTTGTGTCACATTAGCATCGATACAAGCTTTAGGACGTTCAGCTAGTCGCATATCCCCACCTGATATGCGTGCTTGTTCTGCATCTTCTCTGCTATCTTATGGAGTATCCCGACATGCTATGTCGGGATGTACCATTATGTAATGCTCGACATCTGTTCGCATTCGTATCGGCTTCCTGTGCACCCGTATGCCGCGACAGATGCTGGTGCTTCTGTCATGAAATGTACTGAAAGCCTCACGGATACTGCATTAGCAGGTGCGGTGCAGTGTGGACACTAATGTTTGCTTTAAATGGAGACATCCCCATAGGATTCATTGAGTTCTGTGAATAGAGAACAGAACTAAGTGTGCTGCATGCAAGTCGTCTGTTCAGCTCGCTCCAAGGTCAAGTATTCACATACTAGCGGAAACGGTTGTCATGCAACGCCACCTCTTGACACAGCTGCCAGTTTTACTCAAGTTCTTATGCTTGCAGCATCAACCATTTACCTTTTACAAGGTGCAAAGTATCTTGCAATAAAAGCGGGCTTGAACGATAAGTACTAGATCACCCGTAACCAACCACAAGTAAGACAACGACCTGTTTGGAATCAAAGCGTAAGCAACGCAGTGTAATACCACATACATGTATTTCCCCATCGCCGTTTTGTAAAAGCCGGCCTAAACGCCTCAATTGTATAAATGCTTGTCGTGGTTGTATACTCGAACAAGTCTTAAAGCAAAGGAGCAATCTCAATGTTCAAACGCTGACGCAACTCTTCAATTGGTGTCTCAAATTCCTCTTCGTACATTACGCAGTGCAAAGAGCGTGTTTTCTCTGAGACGCGGCTGGCCCAGGGAATATACACTCTCACCAGCAGACAGCGCTCCTTGCTCGAAAGACGAAGTGGGCCTACAAAGGCACTAAGCGCACTCACTGGCATCTTGGAGTGCACCATTTCAACGTATTTAAGTGCAATCTCACCCAAGACTGTAGGAGGTAGACCAAATAGTGTGTGCCAGAAATCATGCAACTCACGATGGCGCTGCATCACGTAAGCCAACTCTGGGTCGTCCACAAAGCGGACAAGTGAGCGACCATCAGGATCAAATTTGTGTAAATCCATAAACTTTGCATAATGATAACCAAACGTGTTGACAGGAAGATTGCGTAGGTAGTTCATATCCATCTTGTCATTGCGGATCACCGGTTTCTCTGCCAAAATACGTGCACCCACGGGATCTGCACACATTCGTGCATGAATATGACGTAGTGCATCATGACCCGTCGTTTCTCCTAGAATAGCCAGCATATCACCACGCTCAGGGTTGGCAAATACCACAAACGCCGATGTGATTGACAATATGAATTTCTGCAGTGGTGTCGTGGGTAAATGCGAGTCATACTGGGCACGAGGTTGTGGCTTACCGGCAACAGGATCTACTACATAGTCTTGATAAGCAGCAGTGTGTAGATAAGTTGTCGTTTGCCCTGATGGTGAGCGTATAAGCTTACAGACAGCTGCCATAGACACTATACGAGAACGCCATATGTTCATTACGAGCAACAATGGTAATTTATCTTGAGCTTGTTCCGAGGAGTGATAATGTGGTGGACATTAATCTAGTCACGAAGGAAGTTTTTATCTGGAAAATAGGAAAAGCAATTAATTGTTTTCAATTGCAAAAAAAAACAAAATCCCATGGCAATCACTCTCTTAAGTACGATTTGAAACATATCGCGCAATCTATAGAAAGCATCAAAAACGGCGAGCAGACGAGCAAGAACCGGTGATGACGGACAGTCGACGCGTGTTTGTACAGCTTGCTCTTATGAAAGGATCACAGGTTGAGGTAAATGCACCTGTCATGGCCTTTGTTCTACCCACAGATTCATGGCTTTCGGTTGTTAACGAATTTCTCATGGTTGGTAATGAATGTTGTGTGTGTGTGTTTTTTATTGGTGGTAATTTATTTCATACATGTAATTTTCATTTCTTTTACATTATTGACTAGCGTTTTGTATTGTATTGTGTCTCATGTTGTGGCGTGGTTTTTTGTGTGGCGTTAGAGCTGCAATGATGACGAGATGGAGGTAGCACAGCGGCCGCTGGGATTATTGGAAGGCTGCGTCGTACTACATGCATCATCATTAAACCAGATTATTGAGCCAATGGCGTGTGAGGATGGCAAACAGTATATTTTGTGTACAAGCGCAGACGATGCGGTGCTGTTACAGAAACAAAGGTTCGGGGACAGTAGTGCAAGCAGTATCACTGGAAGTTGTAAGACCAACGCGTTAGCCCGTGAAAGTATCGCCTTTACGGATCAACTTGAGTCCTTGGAGGAGTTAGACTATTATTTTGATGATCATGGTACACTACGTCATTGTCGTACGAATCAGGCTGTGTACGAATTAATGAGTGACGAGCGAAGAGCAGGCGAGTTGGACGACATTGTGAAAGCTGCAATCTTTCATATTCAAATGGAAATGCTGGCGGAGCTTGCATTCAAGCAAGCTTGTGTGCCACTCGATCCACAGCCAGATGAGCCGAAAGAGGCTCGCTCGAGTGTGTTTCTTACATCAGATTGGCGTACCAATACAGACTTATTGGTGGTCGTCAATGGTGGCCGTGGTGCACAACCTGGTATCTGGAGTCGGGACTTGCTTATTCAAGAGGGTTTGGAACTAGGATCCATGCTACCGGTGATGCGCCGTGCTGCTACGTGCAACTTTGCAGTAGCTGTGCTTAACCCCTCGACGAACAATGTGACTATCGGAAACGAGACATTTCCGATTCGCGGAAACTCATCGCCGGATGAGCACATTCTATACGTGTGGGATAATATCATTTCGCGTGCGCAGGCTCGCAACGTGTATGTATTGGCGTACTCCTTCGGCGCAAGGTCTGTGCTGACACTGATCCACCAACGTGAAGAACTGGTTGTCAAGCGCGTGAATGCGCTTGTATTTGCCGAGGGTGCGTATCACATGGACCCGTCGACCACAACTCCATCTGTTGTTCAGTTCCTAAAGCAACGTGCTATTAATTTCAAGGGTGACGCGCAGATCCCCGTCGGCGGGCACATTCCTGCAGAAGAGGAAAAACTCCTGTGCAGTTGTTTATCTGTCGGGAATCTCACAGCGCCAGCTCCATCAGCTGACGGTAGGGCGTCACCGGCTGGAGCTTCTGCATCTGCGCTGTCCAAGCGCAGTAGTAGCAACAAGGCTCGCACGATCAGTCTTTCATTGGAAACGACTTTCACATATTTTGTAGCAGCGCGCGACCGTGGCTGCAGTGCAGCACAGTTTATATCTGAGTCCGAAGCCAAGACACGGACATGGCTTGGAAACGTCATAAGGCATCGTTTGGACTCACTGAAGCCTCGGAAACAGAGCCGTCGCCTCAGCAGTACGATGGGGGCCAATGCGAGCGAATCCCCGCATCACCGGAAAACAGCTCGCCGGTCATCTTCGGACACTGATGCAAGTACATCGGCAATGCGCGCATCGATTGTTAGCAGTCGTGGCAGCAATAGCACTAGCCACCATTCTCATGGTGTTTGTGTGAGTGATTTCGACTTGATCAAAGTGATTGGAAAAGGATCAATTGGAAAAGTATTTCTTGTTCGCAAAAAAGACACGCATGTCGTTTATGCCATGAAGGTGCTGCGCAAGAGGAATGTGGTTCACCACGGCTTGGAAGAACACATAAAAATGGAGCGCTTGATTCTTGAAGAAATTGACCACCCTTTCATTGCACGGTTACGCTTTTCGTTTCAGACCAAAGATAAATTGTATCTTGTGACCGATTATTGCTCTGGCGGAGAACTTTTTCATCATATGTCCAGCAACGGTTTCTCCTATGAGCTTTCTCGGTTCTACGCTGCCGAGTTGGTGCTGGGGCTAGAGCACCTCCATCGGCTGAAGGTGGCATATCGTGACCTCAAACCAGAGAATATCCTTATTGAAGCCTCTGGACATTTGCGCATTACAGATTTTGGATTGTCTAAACTAAACGTGGTTTCGGACAAGGGTGCACAGACACTTGTCGGTAGTCCTGAGTATTTGGCACCTGAGGTATACAATATGGAGAAATATGGGTTTGCTGTGGACTGGTGGTCGCTCGGTGTATTTCTCTACGAGATGCTTACAGGTGTGCATCCGTTTTTTGACGACAATCGTGAGATTATGGTGAAGAAAATCATGACACCAGGTTGGGTGAGTAAGACGATGCCGCCCGAGATGCCCCCCGGAAGCTGCATCGCTAATTAGTGGGCTCCTCACATTCAATCCGTCGGAACGCCTTGGCTCACGTGGTGCTCAAGAATTGCGCGATCATGCGTTTTTTGCTAACGTATGCTGGGATAAGCTAGTAAAGCGTGAGGTAACACCGCCTTGGCACCCAGTGGTTCAGGATGAGCTAGACGTGGGTAATTTTGATGCCGAGTTTACATCAGAGCCTGTTGTTGACAGTGTGTGTACGCATCAGTCAATGGTACTGAGCTTTACTTTTGCTGATTTTACATTCAACCCCAGTATCTCGGACTCGATGCGAAAGCGATAAATGTTGGAGCCAAGCACGTGTTTGTCGTATTGTTTGAACATGTAGTCTGTTGTTGGATGAAAAAGAAGCATGAGCCAAGGTTAGAAGAAGTACAGATACGATCGGATCGAGTGTGCATGTGTACAAAGTGAAGCAAAGCAAAAGAACAATCGTAGTTGGTGTTGAATGCTGCTCGTGAGCGTGGAGACGTGGTAAATTCCAATATATCAATTCCAGATCCAAGAAGAGAATAGAGATTGTGGCAAAAACAATAGCAACGTACAGGAGAGAAGTTCATACCATTATGTCATGTGAAGCCATTTTCTTCAGCAAAAGGGCTTTCTCCACCGAAAAGCTCCGTTGATCATCTCCGACTCCTGGCCACAGATGGTGCGTACGACTGTAACGGCCTTGGCGACGTTGAAGTGGTTAAGCCAATGAAAAATTGCAATTGAAAGAACTGTAAGCTAAGGTAACGGTTCTTTACAGTCATTAGTTTCAGTCGTCCTCAAACTGAACTGGAAACATGCTTCGATCTACCGATCAACAACTTGCATGAACCAAGTCATTGTATGATGAACCAAAGACGTGATTGTCTTGTAAACAACAGAGATGGATACGACAAACATTGGTAGCAATGTCCACAGACGTGGGTAGCAATGAAAATAACTGTGAGTTTTCGATCAAGAAGTCGCCAGTCTTCGTGCTGACCTTGATATCCTTTGGTAAAGTGGTTTCATAACGGTCATCTCGAGCATCTTGTTTTTGCATCTTCCTTCCTCTAAGACGGTTAACGGACTCGATGCCTTATATATTTTTCTCTATAAGTGTCAACTGCTTTTAAGAGATAGAACTAGGAAAGTAAGCAAAGCATCAGACGTACCTGAAAAAAAGGGTCACGAGAGACGCAGACTAGTCGATTTTACTGCTCATCAAGAAGGTACCGACGTCCTTTCATAACTTACTTGGTGCTATTCTCTTTCCAGCAATCTTATTCATCTTTTTCGTCATGTTTGTGCAGGTGTTGGCTGTTGGTAAGAAGATCTCACGAGTCTCATCTCGTTTGCTTTCGGTAGTTGTCTGTCTGTCTGTCTGTCACTCACAATTTGAGTTGACAAGTTCGTAGCAACTTGCTAAGTGAAGCGAAGGTTTGAGTCTTTTATCTGTAGTAAAACATGCTTAACATTCAGCTTCCTGACCACTCGATACTCAAAAGTGATAGTGGTTCTCCATCATCACCTTCATATGGTCCACAGACACATGAAGAGCAAGATTTCACTCCATTCCTTGAGATTGGATCGCCTTATGGCTTTAAACACGATATGCACATTTATTACAACTTTGAAGAGGCTAGATTTGAGGGTATTCCAGACAACTTTGCCGACTTTTTAGTCAGTAGAACTTTGGAACGGAGTCGTACAGATACTATCTCTGCAGCCGATACCACCATGTCTCTAGATTCAAAAAGCATATATCTGACCAAGCGAGCACGCACGAGCTCAGCTCTTTCGGGAAGTTTTAGCTTGTCCAGCATGATTGGAGGTCTGGACAATCGTATCGACCCCTTGCAGACGCTCAATCAGCACTTTAAGCTACCTTTCCAACACATTCCACGTGTTGCCGTTCCAGGCTATGATGAGCGAATACCAGCCGTACTTGTCATGCTACAGCAGCATTTTGTAGCTAAACAGGGCTATCTGACTCCTCATATATTTCGTGAATCACCTGGTAAGGCCGAACGCGATCAAGCTATGCTTGACATCAATTGCGGCGTTTTTCGAGGAGCTAAGCATGACGTTCGAGTACTGGCTGATCTGATTAAGCTTTGGTTCCGGGAACTTCCGCTACCTGTGCTGCATGAAATTCCGGCAGGTGAGATGGAACGTCTAGCGTCGTCTGAAAATGTTTACTTGGAAGTCCTGAGCATTTTGGGAGGACCAGAGCGTAGCATTGTGCTCTGGTTAGCTGATCTACTATCCTACGTGGCCGAGTACCAACCGCATAATCATATGGGTGTGGAACAGCTTGCTATCGTCATTGCCCCAAATCTCTTTCGTCTCGAGACTGAGAACCCAATGGTAGCCGTTACCATTTCGAAAGCCGTCGTTGACGTATTTCGAGGAGTTCTACAAGTACGATTTTATCACCGTCAGGAATTGAAAGTCGCTGGACTTGTTGACAATATCAACTAAGACTGTGCTGATCCAAGGGTAGTTAACTTCGTGGAAGTGAGTTTCAAGCATATCTGGCACCTTACTAAGCTCGAAGCTTTTGTACAGAACAACACGAATGAATCATAGTAGCGACTGCATGTGATTAACAATGATCATAATCTAATAGTGTAAGAAGAAATTGGTTGCAAAGGTGGTCATTTCCACCTAGTAGTCAAAGAGCGTCTATCTTTCGTTACGTGAGAAAACAGGACAAACTCGACAAAGCTACAGCATGTGAGGAACAAGGATGCTACTAACTTACAAAATAGGCGCCCCATACAGGTACTATATCTCTATTTATCCGAGCTGCTCAATGGCGCTATCAAGTTTTCTACGTGTGTCTTTCTAATACAGATAGGGCTTCAATTTCTCAATTCGAATCTCATCCTGACAAAGACTTTCTTCTAATGCGGTCATGGCGTTGAGGAAGTACACGCGATCCTTAAGAAACTTCGCACGCGACCGTCGACCCATCCGTTGTCGCTCCTCTATAGGTAGCAGCAAAATTTGTTCTACACCCCGCTCAATGTCGGCTACACTCACTTCTGCAAGTGGCATGAATAAATCACCTTTCGTCTGCCACCACCAAGCATGGGGTTCTCCTATCAGCACACCATTATTCTCGTCCACAAGCTCATTCATTGGCGGTACGTTTGTTGTCAGGATTAGTGCGCCGACACTTCGAGCCTCATTAATGTAATGACCAAATCCCTCAGTCTCGCTTGGACACAAATGGAGTCCAATCTGGTTTTGCAATCGGTCTTTTTCTTCAGTAGGCACCAATCCACATGCAAAATCCACGTTTTGAAGCCGCCAAGAGTCCTTGTCACCATATTGCTCCTCAATCCACTGGCATAATTCGTCCTGGATTACACGAATGATGACTAGCGGCCACTCTGGATGCAATGCCCACGCCTGGAGTATGACTCGTGTATTCTTGAACGGACTCCAGCCTGCAAGATGGAGAAATGACGACCAATCACGCTGTACATCAGGTTGATACAAGTCTCGACTCGTGTGCTTGGTGTAAAACACAGAGTACGAGAGTTGATGTCGATATCTGTATTCAAGCACTTTTTTCAGTCCTATGCGATTTTTAACAATCATTACCCCAACTCTAGGGTTGTCCAGTTCATGTCTGTCAAAGAACTCGACATTCACCATGATCCAAATGGTCTTCTCCTTGGGTGCATGAAAATCTGGATAGTATCTCTTGTCTACGGGATGTCGTTCCAAGTAAAAATCAATGACTGAAGTGGGTATGTCCAATCGCTTTGAGTTGTTGTTACTCGTGCTTTGGTGTTTTCCATTGCCTTTGTATGCATACACTGGTCGTGCAGATGGTAGTGCGTTCAAATACAGTTCCAAATCCACTAATAATCCAGGTGAGTCACTTGGCGTGATCACATTGATACAGTAAGCGGCCTTGGAATAAATCGCTTCATGTCCCTGTCCTTGTGTCTGTAAGAAAAAACCTGCAGGTAAATTCATCAACTGCTCGTTCTCTGCCACTTGTTCAATCCATTGCTTCGTATCGACCAACGTCTCGCCTTGAAACGTTTGCTCCATGTCTCCAATCCATTTTTCAAGCGGCCGTGTTGTTTTCTTCTCGTGCTCGATCACCATCTGATTCTGATTCTTCTGATCCCGACTTTTCTGATCCTCCAGATCATCTACTTTATTTCTTCTCCTTTCTTCTTCCTTTTGTTGTAATGCCAATTCACGTGGAGATACATATAACGATTGAAAAAAGAGTTTCATGGGCGGAGTGAGCTCAAAACTTGTCGGTCTTGGTACGACTAATGAATGTGACGCAAATGTGACGTTACAATACTCCATATGTAAATGAATTTGAGGTAATAATGTAAAGAAAACAAGTTGAATAAGACTTAAAATCAAGATGAGTAGACAGATACACGCATAGAGCAAGAAACGTGGACCTGAGGAAGACGTAGTCATTATAATAATCAGTCGTAGGCGTAGGAGAATGATGAGTATTATTATTATGAAACGTACACCAAATTAAAAGAATGATTCATAATCAAAATTAATAAACACAACAAGAGGGTTAAAGAATGTAGTGTGGACCACTTACAACCTACATGATAGAAACAGTTAGAATCAAATTTTAGGACGAAATATATCATGATAATGATTCGACCTAATGTGATACTCTTGTGCTTGTTTATTAATCTACTACTAGGTACTGAGGATGCAATCTGGATGGAAAAGGATATCATTATGCCACCTTCAGCTCGTGCTCATTGTCGTGTTTTTATAGTAGCAGCTAGAACGCACACGCGGGTATTAGCTCTACAAAATGCCTACGAGCAGGACGGAATGAATGTTTATGACCAATTTCCTGCATTGTCATCCATTTTGCAGGATAGTACTGATACTAGTCCGATCAATGCTCAGGACGAAATGAAACAAACGGTGGAGGCGTATCAGATCCTACGTCCTGCTTTTCAACAAACCGTCGAGTGGCTGAAACCTAGGGTAGATCCTGCGCGGTGTTTTGCACACTTTATTGTGGCCGAAGCAGCAATGATACCTGATACTAGGACGCAAAACGAAGCCACTCTTGCCATGTCACGTGTGACGAGGCGTTTGAGTCAATTGAGAGACCAGGCGAGAAGTGACAGGCACTTTCCCTTTGCACTCATTGCACCATCGTCAGTGCGTCAGGATGACAAAGACAGCGTCACATCAAGTGGCGATTTACACGTGGTGACGGCAGCCTGGCGTCGTTATTTCCACGTAGTGGGAACAAACTATTTTTCAGGACGTGTAGCTCCATCTCTCAGTCCTGGACAAGTTGAAGTGTTTGGCATAATGCATGTGGACGCAGGAAAAGAGACTGGCACATTTAGGTCCGAGTCGGACGCAAATGCCGCTGAAATGGTTTTTGACGTGCGTGAACGATGGAGACGCAGCAAACGACAACGACAGGTGAACGTGGCACTCAACTTGAGTGATTTCTATGGCCGCGAGTACGCGGGATTCGGGCGACTGCAGGTGCAGCAAGCCGTGATCAAATTGAAGCAGGACGAGAAGAATGATACAGAGGCAAACGTTTTGCAACATCCGTGCTTTTCTAGAGGGCACACGTCAGTGGTTGATGGCGTAAACATGACGTTGGAAGGCTCTGGGGATGCTGACACGTGTATGATTCTGCTCCGGTCGCACGTGACTGCCAGCAATGCCAATTGCCCAGTGGATGACTTTTGTTTTTTGGGTAGTGCACCGCAACCTCAAACGTCCGGATCGTTTTATGCATCAGGAGTGCTGAGACGAGCGGTGCTTGGTGCGATTCGCGTGTTGAATTACGTAAGCAACAATCAGGATAGGATAGCTGTGGGTCAGCTGCAACTGCCAAACCCAACGCTTTTGATGCTCCGAAATGCTGCGAAGAATCTGTGCGCTTTGCCATACAAAGACATTGCAGCTGGTGTTGCTCCTCGACATTTGCTTGCATCATCGGAGCCGACGACTGTAGCTTCTGCTATGGAGATGATTGAGCCACCTAGTGCTTTATGCTTTGATCTGTGCTACACTGTTGTTTTACTTGAGCAGATTGGCGTCCAGGATGATGAAGAGCGGGTTTACTTTGTGGATCGCTTTGAAAAGGAACCTACATTGTTAAGGCATGGATCTCTGGCGACTGAGGAGCACGGCAGTCCATCAGAACTGATCGCATGGCTCACCGGTGCCTTTTTGTACCTGGAAGTGCTTCAACGCAAGGTGGCATTCTTTATGGAGTCGGAGCTGTTAGCTGAACAGCTTAGCGCAGGATTACCTCTCGGTTGGAATATGAGCTTGATCGTATTCGTCGCAGCATGCGTCTTCTTGTACTTTACGACTGGTCGTGTGACTGTCATTGGACGTGGTGGTCGAAGTTCTGGTGCTTACCTGTCTGTCGTAGATGGCAGCAGTGCAAAGGCAAGATACAAGGACACGACACAGTCAATAGTATTTGTCGACGACGCTCAAGACTAAGGGACTAACGTGAAGATATTGCATGAAAAACACTAGACTCAAGTGTGTGGTGCTTTGCATTAAGCTCGTGGTCCATATAGATTGATGGTAGCGCGTTTTCAAGTTGATTACCAATCACTTAATCCATACTTTTCATCTTTCGATTGATTACGTAGTGAAGATTCATCGATATGCAGACGTATCAAGGCCCTATGATACACCTCTATATAATAATTTCTCGACATAATACACTTCATTCATTCGTTTATAGTCGTCTTACCCCTGCTCGCAATCAAAATCTCCTCTCCATTTAATTATAATTCAATGTCCAAACTCCTTATTATTCATTACATGATAAAATGCGTCGTTCAGCACGTGAATTCCTACGTGTTTTAACGATCCTCACTTTTATCTGTGGTATCTCCTTATTAGGCCTTACACTTCATCTAATACTATCTACGGGCTTTCAATCGATTACTCTAGCTCTCTTATCGCTCGGAATTTGCATCGTACTTGTCTCCGTCTTGGGATTTCAAGGCACAAAGCAAGACAAAAGCCGTCTTTTAGTGGTGTTTTTCTATCTTGATTTTCTACTGGCGATACTTGTCTTTATCTCTAGCTACACTTGTTTCTTCTTTCGCGAGATGATGAAGATTTGGGTCAAACATCATTGGACAGCCGATATATTACAGGACCTGAGACAGACGACATGCTGTACGACATATAGTGATACGATTCAGTATCTACAACATCGTCTATTGATTCTAGGAATCATTGAATTGATCTCCTTGTTGCTTCTACTTACTGCCATGTACTGCGTTATACGCATTATCAAGGTCCCAATTGTCATGCGCAGTATATTGGCAGTCATCAACACTATCTATATGCTGCTAGGCACGGGACTCTTTATCTTTGGAGTGCTACTTCAAGTATACGTTGAGATAACCTCAAGAATGAAATGGATTGGTGGGCATATAATTTCAACACTTGAATCCTATTGTGTTGTCTCGTGACAGTCTTAGTAATGATCTCTGGGTTCCTATGGTGTTGTAGGTGTTGTCTTTATTATTGTTGCCACGTTGATGCTTGCATTGCCAGTCTTGGGCATCATTGGATCGAAATCCAAGAGTCGATCACTGCTTTTGATTGTACGTTCAGTGACCTAGAAGCTTGTTGTTTCACGTCGATGAATTCTACTGATTGTGTCTGCCTGCTGCTTGTGTGCAAAAGTACATTACTGGTCTCGGCTGCTGCTTCATTGCACTCATGATTTGCTCGGTGAGCGCCTTGTCTTTCTCAAACAATCTGGCATCAACGTACAATGCGCACACGAGTTCCACGCTGGCGTGTGATATCGATCTACCGGGATGTACCAATTGCACTGACGTGGTCTCTGACATGATTCAATGTGAAGGTGTCACGCGCACATTCGACAAGTACTGGGTTTCGTGCAATGGTACTTCTTTATCTAGCAATGCAAATACTAGTAGCACAAATAGCGACTGTTTTGACGACATGACAGTCTTGAACGCTAAAGCTGACCAAGGATATGAACCAAACGACGTATGTAAAGTGAATTGCTGGTGATAAGTATGCACATTGTCGATTGAACTAACGTTCATTTGTGTTTTCGGTGCACTTTAGATTGCCAAGTGCGGCAAATGTCCAGAATGGTCAGCATCCGATGTCCAGGCGTACATCCGAAATACACTTCATCTTATTGGGCTCTTTGCTTTAGTGGTGTGCCTCTTTGTGATCGTAGGATTTATTGGTGCGTTAGTACTGCGACGAAGTTTAGTCGGCTATCAGACAGACTCCATTTAACAAACACCGAGCTGTGGGCATAGAGTGAACTAGTCATGAAGCAGTACGAAAAACAATTCAAATTAACCTCACGCTCCTACTTAGCCATGGATTCTTGCGTACGCATCTTCGGCCTACATCTTCTGACGTCTGTCTACTTTTCGAGCTCGCAAAGTTGATTCTTCAACTGTTGGTTTACATCGTCCGCAGAGTCACGAGCCGCAAACGCGACCTGTGCAGCGTATCTTGCTGCCTCCTCGCTGTCACGCGCTAACTGAACAGACTGCTCCAGCGTCTGCACCTCTTCGCGCAGGTTCATCAAATCAGCCATCAGACTTTTGTGCTGAGTAACCAATTCCTCCGCCTGGGCTTTCGCTGCCTTTGCTTCATTCACAGCAGATGACAACACGCTGTTTGTCTGCTGCAACCTGGCAAGCTCCGCACGCGTCTCAGCAGCATCTGCAGCGAGCAATTCCTGCTTCTTTTCTGCTGCCAAAATCTTGTCCTGTGCCCTCAGCTGCTCTTCCGCAAGTTGAGTCTTCAGAAGCTCAAGCTCTTGCTTCACTGCAATAAGTTCAATGTCTTTTGTCGTGACAGCACTCTCGGCTGTCTCCAACTGTTGCGTCAGGGTGTCATTCTCCGCCAACAAACGCTCATTTTCTTGCAAGATCACAGGAGACACTGACGCAACTTCTGCATCAGGAACAACAACCTCTACCTCGTGTCTCTCCGGCGTTTCATCCTCAAATGCTTCCTCGACTTCTACTTCAAAAGTCTCTTGAGTATCCGTTGCCACCTCGTCATGCATTTCAGGGGCCGTTTCATCGTCAATCGACTTTTCCATTGTAGCTGCAAGCTCTACTTCTAGATCGGATGCTTCGCTCTCAGTCTCCGCAACTTCCTCCTCGTCAAAAGCAGTTTCTTCATCAACACCAACAGGGTCCTCCTTTTTAGCAGATGTAGCTTCTTCGGCTTCCACTGCAGCATAATGCTCTTCTGCTTCTTCCACTTCCTCCTCTTCGTTTGACATTTCTTTCTTTAGCAATGTCGCACCACTAGGCTCAACAGCCTGCAAGAAAGCAAGCAGCTTCGTGCTCGAAACTGGCTTCTCCATTGTGTTGTTGTCAGCCTCAACATCTATGCTCGTCCTCTCCTTCGCAGCAGAAATCTCCTCTGCAATGGGTGCTGGTGGCTCTTCGACCATTTCATTGTCTTCAATCGCTGGCTCCGCATCCTCTTGCGTTGTAGCCTCCACAGCCAGCTCCAATGACTTCTTATCCTGAGAAGATGCATTTGAGACAGGTGCTGTCGTGTCCACACTGCTAAGGAACGCCGAGAGTTTCGACATGGACGTAGGGGCAGCCGAACACGGAGTGGAGAATGCAGACGGGATGCTCACTCGATTGCGTGGCGAGGCCGGTGGCGACGACGACGGAGTGTCACCACTGTCAAGGTCACCTGCCAATGGCGTCTTGGGTGCTGACAAATTAGATGACGACGAATGACTGCGTGAAAAAGCCGAGAGCTTACTGGACCACGAACGTGAGCGACATTCGCGACATTCTTCCTTGTTGCTAGATGCCGTGGATGACGCGTTGCTAATGACGCTACTTCGTGACGTGGCAGATGCAAGTGAGTTATTGTTGTTGTTGTTATTGTTGCTGCTACCCTTGAAAATCGATGGAATACGTAGTCGTGATTTACTGTTACTCGTGTTGATTTCATCACTCGGCACAGGTTCTTCAAATTCTCGTGGAGATGGATTGCTACTAGCGACACTGGACGTTAGAGACACGCGATTATGACTCGTCGGTGGTTTCGATTGCATATTTGTAGTAGTTACGACAGGTGCAGATGGAAACTTGTTGAGAAATGAACTCAGTCGATTGGCATTATTCGCACCAGAACTTCCAATGTTCGTTGTTGTACCATTATTGTTTAATACTAATGTCGTTGCTTGCATCGTCAATGTCTTGTTCTTATCCTTGTCCAACTGAAACGGAGACAAGAGATGCATGGACTTGAGATGTGGTCGTGTTTTCTTACGTAATGCGACAATCGTTTCGGACACGGCCGTTTCATTCACTTCATCCAATAATTGAACAGTCGTAAAGACTTGATGTTCTTCCAATTGAGCACGTGCTCGACACCATTTAATGAAAAACTGAATCCGTTCTAATGCATGGAATTTACTCAATTGTTTCAATGAACGTTGTAATTTCTTGGGTAATTCATCTCCTACTGCATCATCTGCATCAGCTTCTGCTTGACGTAAGACTTTATTGGTTAACAGACACAATGCACGACCGTCCGTTACAAACTCACACAAGGAATCAGTCTCAGGAAGTGATGGATGTAGTGTCTCGAGATCATCTTCTAACTCCTCACGAATCCACTGAATACACGCTACTACTGTCATCTTTTAGTAGTGTACTTTATAGTATAATGAAGAAGAAATAGGGGGAAGACGAGGATGATGAAGGAGAAGGGGGGAGACGGAGGAATACGCACTTGACTTGGCGCGTTCGGCACTGTGCTTTTTAGAAGACTTGAGACACTGGCATTTTGTTGTATACGTATAGGGATATCAGTATGTGACTTGTTTTTGTGTGGATAGGACTTAAAAGTATACGCTCTACTGACGATATGTATGAAAACGTAATGTAATTGCGACGATTCATATATTGTATAAGTTGACTAAGTATACAATAATCAGCTTGAGCTCTCTCTCTGCCATGTGGAAACACTACAACCATACGACGCGAGGTGGAAGGCTTTTTGGTTCAGTGATGCGTGTAATGAATGAATAACCCAATATCTTACTATGTAATGCATTACAACAGTGTGTTTGATAGCTTAGACCAATGAGAAAAGATTTATACACTTGACGAGGCTGTACCATAGACTTAATCGGCGCTGATTGCGTTATATATATACGAGTACAGAATAAAGTGCTGTAATTTATGGTAGAAACGTTTCATTCATGTATAGAAATCGAAAAATACAGTGGAATAAGATGAAAACGAGTGACTTTAATAAAAGACCCCCTTCCTAAACTTATATATCAAAATAGGACGAATGTTCTAGTCATCGCAATGCAATGGTTTGCATCTTTCAACCATGAATCTGATTCACATGGCAACTACACAACGTCACTAGCTTTGATCCAGTAATGTTAACAATAAAGTGTTGCCGAACAACAAAATCCTATACTCCCATTGCTAGGAGAAGGATCTGACAAATCTTCTGTAATCAAAGGTATCATCTAATATTTGCCATTAGGACAAAAAACGTTTGTGTTATACTAATATAATGAAAGTCAAATAGGTTACTGACAGTTTCGTCCTAGGACTTCTTATCTCTCATTACTCACAACAGTCATATTTGCTTGACTCCATCCATTCAAGCTTATGGCTCTTATCAACAGATGTCATGCAATTGTGTACTCATGCGCAATAGACGACGTGTTGTTAGAAAGCGATATCATTAAATAAAGGTGTACTAGCGGCTGGCTGGCCAAAGGCTAACAAGATATATGAATTCCGTAGGATAAACTTTCGTATAATGGACAAATGTGTAGGTCTATAACATTTAATATGTTAAGTAGACGTACAACTTGTTTTAATACTTATTCTGTAACATAATCTGTCTAATTTATTTATCAACACGAGCAATATCATAAGAAATAATCAAGCAGCCATTTCTCTTGGTCTGCACTAATCACACTACGTATTGCTAATCTTTTGTATAAGTTTAGGATTTACTTATTATTGTCCTAAAAGAACCCATTCGTAAATATTATTGTAAAATATGACCCAAAGACGTATTTCCTTCGTTTTGAGTCATGGGTATTTTACGACTTTTTAATTGGCTGAAATGATATAAAACCAAAGACCGTGACAATTCGTTTAAATCCGATCTAATCTTCTCCTTCTCCACTTCAGTCATTTTCGAATTATCTCTGTCCTAGATCGATCCAATAATCGATCCGTCCTTGAAAATCCTAAAGAATGAGTTGGGAGACTGTCGTTGAGACCACATTGGACAGTCAGGATCATGAATTAGGTCTAACGCCAGGTCTCGCTGTATCACAAGAAGACGCATGGGCTGTGATATCGAGTTATTTTGAAGAAAAAGGTCTTGTACGACAACAATTGGATTCCTTTGATGAATTTATACAGAATACAATGCAAGAACTGGTGGATGATTCACGCTCGATTCGTATTAATCCAGAGGCACAATACGCACCTGGACAAGCTAAAACCAATGCAGATACAATCTATAATATCTCATTTGGTCAGATTTATCTATCAAAACCAACAATGACGGAAGCCGATGGATCAACAAGTGTCATGTTTCCACATGAAGCACGATTGCGTAATCTCACGTACTCGGCACCACTTTATGTGGATGTTGTGTGTGAAAAGTATCAAGCACCAGCTTCAGGACCAGCAAATCTAGAAGATATGGAACCATATGATCACGTTGAGACTCCAAAGGAATTTATTGGTATGGTACCGATCATGTTACGATCACAATATTGTGTCTTAACGCACAAGACCGACAAGGAATTGACGGAATTGAATGAATGTGTTTATGATCAAGGAGGGTATTTTATTATCAATGGAAGTGAAAAGGTACTGATTGCGCAAGAACGTATGAGCAATAATCACGTCTATTGTTTTCGAAAGAATGCAGCATCAAAATACAGTTGGGTATGTGAAATACGATCTCACGTTGAACATGGTGCGCGACCGACTAGTACCATGTATGTGCAAATGTATCAGAAAGGTGGGGGCAAGAGTGCGATTACAGGTAATCAGATTCGAGCTGTGATCCCCTATATTCGTCAGGATATTCCGGTCGTTATTATTTTTCGTGCATTGGGGTTTGTTGCTGACCGAGAGATTTTGGAACATATTTGCTACGATTTTTCTGACGCTGAGCTTATGGAGAGATTCAAGTCGTCGTTAGAGGAAGCTTTTGTAATTCAGGAGCAAGAGGTTGCGTTGGATTTTATTGGGCGACGTGGTAGTGCTATTAATGTCAGCAAGTCGGATCGTATTCGATATGCACAGGATATTTTACAAAAGGAAATGCTGCCGCATGTTGGCGTAGAAGATCACAATGAGACCAAGAAGGCGTATTTTTTGGGTTACGTTGTGCACAAATTGCTCATGTGTTCACTTGGTCGCATTGGTGAGGATGATCGTGACCATTATGGCAACAAACGACTGGATCTGGCTGGACCGTTACTTGGGAGTTTGTTTCGTATCTTGTTCAAGAAACTTACAAAGGACGTCAAGTCGTTTTTGCAGAAATGTGTTGACAATGGCAAGGACTTTAACTTGACATTGGCTATCCGCTCGCGCACGATCACCAATGGTCTGCGATACTCACTGGCTACTGGTAACTGGGGCATGCAGAAGACTGCCTCGAAGGCTGGTGTCTCGCAAGTGCTTAATCGACTAACGTATGCTTCGTCGCTTTCTCACTTGCGTCGGTTGAACACACCTCTTGGCCGTGAGGGCAAGCAGGCTCAGCCTCGTCAGTTGCACAACACGCATTGGGGGAATGATTTGTCCCGCTGAAACGCCAGAGGGACAGGCTGTCGGTCTTGTGAAAAATCTGGCTTTGATGGCTTACATTTCTGTAGGTTCACCACAAGCTCCAATTCTAGAGTTTTTGGAAGAATGGGCGACTGAAAACTTGGAGGAAATCAAGCCACAAATCATCCCACACTCAACCAAGATTTTTGTGAACGGTAACTGGGTGGGTGTGCACCGTGAACCAAACGAATTGATTCGCACTTTGCGATCACTTCGTCGCTGCGTGGACATTGATGCCGAGGTGTCTGTTATTCGTGACCTAATGAACAAGGAGTTGCGCATTTACACGGATGCAGGTCGTGTGTGTCGTCCGTTGTTTATTGTAGAGGACAATCAACTGCTATTGCAGAAGGAGCAGGTGGTAAAGCTACAAAATCACAAGATTACAAATTACCGCTGGCATAATCTGTTGACGGACGGTGTAGTCGAGCTTATTGATACTGAGGAAGAAGAAGTATGTATGATTGCCATGGAGCCGAAAGATGTGGGCATGGGCTCACAGATCCACACACATTGTGAAATTCATCCGTCCATGATTCTGGGTATTTGTGCCAGTATCATTCCGTTCCCCGATCACAACCAGTCGCCGCGTAACACGTATCAATCTGCTATGGGTAAGCAGGCTATGGGTATTTATTGCTCGAATTTTCGTGCAAGAATGGACACCATGGCGAACGTGCTAAATTACCCGCAGAAGCCTTTGGTTACCACACGTGCCATGGAGTACTTGCATTTCCGTGAATTGCCATCGGGCATCAATGCTATCGTTGGCATCGCATCGTACACGGGGTACAATCAGGAAGATTCTTTGATCATGAATCAAAGTGCTATTGACCGTGGTTTTTTCCGCTCGACTTTCTATCGCTGTTACATCGACCAAGAACGTAACAAAAGCCCACACGGTGGTCCCGGCGGTGGTGCTGGTGGCGTCAACTGTGAGGAGTTTGAGAAGCCATCTCGCGAAAACTGCTTGGGTCTGCGTCATGGCAGCTATCACAAGCTGGATAATGATGGACTTGTTGCTCCAGGCACGCGTGTGAGTGGTAACGACATTATTATCGGCAAGACTTCTCCTTTGCCCCAATCTGAAGATTCCTCTTTGGAACAGCGCCACCAAAAGCGTGACGCGAGTACAGCTTTGCGCTTACACGAAAACGGTATTATTGATAGTGTGATGTTGACGACAAACGCTGACGGCTTTAAGTTTACGAAGGTACGGTTTCGCAACATTCGTGTTCCTCAGATTGGCGACAAGTTTGCATCCCGTCATGGACAGAAGGGTACGATTGGTATGACATACCGCCAAGAAGACATGCCGTTCACGGTGGAGGGTATTACGCCAGATATTGTTGTGAATCCCCACGCTATTCCGTCGCGTATGACAGTGGGGCATCTTGTCGAGTGTTTACTTGGCAAAGTATCGTCGCAGACAGGTGATGAAGGTGATGCTACTCCATTCACAGATGTGACTGTCCAAGCTATTGCCGACACACTGCACAATTTAGGGTACCAAAAGCACGGTAACGAAGTCATGTATAGCGGCCACACTGGTCGTCGTTTGACAGCACAGATCTTTATTGGACCGACGTTTTACCAGCGTCTCAAGCATATGGTGGACGACAAGATTCACTCGCGCTCGCGTGGTCCTGTGACGATGCTAACGCGTCAGCCTATGGAGGGTCGTGCTCGCGAGGGAGGATTGCGTATGGGTGAGATGGAGCGTGATTGTCTGATTTCTCACGGCTCAGCCAACTTTCTCATGGATCGCTTGTTTGCTAATTCGGACGCTTACCGTGTGCACGTGTGCGATATCTGCGGCATTATTGCCATTGCAAACCTGCGCAAAATGACGTTCGAGTGCCGCACGTGCCGCAACAAGACACAGATATCGCAAGTCCACATTCCATATTCGTGCAAGCTGCTGTTCCAGGAACTAATGTCCATGTCTATTGCACCGCGCTTGTTCACGCTTGGCAACCCCAACGCGCCGAAGTTTCGCCAAGCATAGTCATGGAACACATGAACGATCAGGTCGGATCAAGCAAAGGAGAAGACTGACTACCCGGATCAACAACAAAAGTTTAGATTGTCTAAGGTAATGCGGCAGGAGAAGGATAACAGTAGTAGAACAAGTGGTTGTCAGGTAAAGTGATGATTGCGAACATGGTGGTGTTGGCTTACATAATCCTATTGATGCATATCTCTCTCTCACCTGCTGTCAAAAGCTCTTCTTCATATGCACATACATGCATCCAAATGCCGTTTTTTATTGATCAGCTTGTTGTTGGCCTACTAGAAAAAAACAAGTCTAGCAACATACAACAATCAAAATGTATGTAGCAAGACTGACTGACTGACTGAATAGACTGAATAGACTGAACCACGTAAGCCCGTCCATCTAATGAGTCTTGATCCTTCCCGTAATCTTTTCCTTGACTTCGTCCGTAAGATTGTGCCGCTTAACACGTGAATAGGCCGTAATCTTATCATTCATGACATAATCAAACATGACCTTGATCCAGGACGTATGATATGGTAACTGGTCGTAAAATTCCGGTGCCATCGCACGTACTTGATGAAGTCTCGAGCCAGGAATGAATGGAAAATCATGATGTTCATTATGAAAGCCAACATTAAACGTCACGAGATTTAGAATCCCATAGTACGAATAAGTTTCATACCCGAGCAGGAATTCATAATGTTCTGCAATGAAATGACCCGCCACGGGATGAAGGCCACATCCAAAGATTGTACTCAAGAGTAAATAGCCGACCCCAGCAAGTCCACCGTAGCAATAAATGAGCACATTGTAGCACCCACAGACGAAAGAATTGAGATATTCCCATCCTCCAGGGACCTTTGGATTCACGAGGAAGGGACGTAAGCCGTAGAAAAAGAGCTGGAAAAGCACAAACACGAGTTTTCTCGTCTTGGTCGTAAAGAACTGAGCTTCAAGTTCCGTCGGGAGATCCACATCCAGTCCATCTTCTCCTTGATATCGATGATGGTCGAGATGATAGCGTTTAAACGAGATAGAAGATGGCACACAGAGTGGTAAATTCGCCACTAGACCGAGGAGTTTGTTATACAGCGGCTTTCGAAAGCCTAAATTATGTGCTGCTTCATGTATTCCCATGGTTAGCGCATGATTCGCAGTGCCACCAAGGAGATACATGATACAGATGTAGAGAGACCAGGACATGGTATGGGCTTGGAGAGCGATATACGTTTGAAGAGCAACAATTGCTCCTAAAATGTATTTTGTTTTCCAACAAGGACCAAAGAGAGTTTTGATTTCAGGATATTTGGCTAAGATTAATTTCCGACGCGTGGCATGAGGTTCATCCGTGGGTGTCCAATGAAAATCAGTCTGTCGTTCCGATGGTTGGATAAAAGCTGGTTTTTTTGACAAGGGAACAATAGGAGCCATGGGTTTAAATGAAGTTTTATCCACTTTACACATAATCGTGCGATTTTTAGGGTTCTTTCGATGAAAAAGATCCTGGTTTGGGGATATTATTGAGCTAGCTCGGATCTGTAAAATTTAAAAGTGATAAAGAGAGAGGACCTCCCTACCAACCGCTTTTTTTTTTCATGGCGTACGTATTATTAGGACAAGTAGAAAAAGGACAAGTAGGTTTAATAAGACAGAATGAGCTTGGTGTTTAAGTATACTATAGTAAAGATAAGTCTATGGTTAGACACGATTAGACAACGGAACAGAAACAGATGGGCGCGTAAAACGAACGGATACCCAGATCAGGACTGGCAGACGCTAATGTACTGAAATTTCCCGTAATGGTGACTAGTAGTAGTCGCTCTTATGGCACAATAAATACGACCACACTCGAGAAGAGGTTGGTATCTTTTTGTGTGTGTTTGCACTTGATCGAATGGATTTCGTACTAGTTTTCATAGTAACACCATATCTACTGATAGATCAGTTAACACAGTACATTTCGACACTCTCTGACTAAAGATAGCCATGCCTTTATATGTGGATAAAGAAATAGGGAATCATGGTAAGATATCAGTTGTAGCATTGTATACAGATGGATGATTAAGACCTAAAATTGCGTCTAGTGGTGGGCGACCCTGTCCTGTGGTAACAGACGTGGTTAATTCGATCAGATTAGGCACTTTTGTTCCCTTTTAAATGGATATTATCCAACTGTTTGTATAACAAGAAACTATCTTTGCAAAAGGTATTTTTTATCTGCATCTTTGCCAAAAAGGTATTGTCGTTGTCTCAGAATGAAGTATCTTGACCATGATGGGTCATGCTTGGAAAAGACTCGTGATAGCACGATAAATTGGTAAGTTACCAATAGCGCCGTGACACGAATGTGCAAATAGTTCTTACTAATCCCAACAACCTATCACTCAATATGGTCAGTATACTACATCATATATTTATAGTTTTATAAGATAATATCCTTTCATTTCACATAATTTCATTTACAATGAGAAATAAAAGATGTAGCGTACCATACATAAACTCAGGATAAGAAAATAGTGTGCATCACACACCTTTCATTCCTTTTTCGAGTCAGAGACGTTCTCCTGTCCAGATTAAATGGGAATTAGAACTCTCGTTATCATAATAGCACCTTTATCTATCAACTAGTCAGCATTCTATTTGTCCTTCCTATCCGTGTCTTAAATCCCCCGTCAAACCTGATCCTCTTGAATCCCTGTCCACCCACTTGCCAACATTTAAAAAACCTCATTCAACAATCTGATTCCATTTCCAACTCAGCATCGTCGTCCGTCCATTCCATCCATCCTCATATCAATCTCCTTCCTTCCTTCATCATGGCGTCTTCTTCGGCTGTATTACAGCAGAATTTAGGTGAATCCGAAGTATTTGATCTTGTATGTGATTATCTACGTACACGTCAATTCTTTCAAGCTGAACGTACGTTACGTTCTGAACGTGAAGCTACAAGTTCTCCCAAAGCTTTCGTCTCACCAATAGCTTCCAATCAGCACCAACAGCAGAATGACATACCCCCTTCTTCTTCTACTTCATTAGCTTCTCGTCTTGAATTCATGTTGGAACGTAGTTATGTCACCCAATTAGTATCTGGCACAGGAGGTCAAAGTGAACCTGAAAAGATTTTCATTCCACGTCATGAAATTGAATTGATGCCAAAACGAACACGACTTCATTTAGACGGTAATGAAGCACTGGAAATGGAGGAAAGGCATCGAAATGTATTGGAAAATGGACAAACCAATGACAATGAATTTCAACTTAGTACACGTCTTGTAAGCTTTGAAGCTTGTAAAGATGATCCCCATGGTTCTGCGACAATGCCTATTTATCAGACATCGACATTTGCACAACCTTCTGGTACAACCTTTGGAGCTTATGATTATACACGTTCAGGAAATCCAACTCGTGCTGCATTAGAACGTCAAATGGCTGAATTAGAATACGGTCATCGTGCATTTGCTTTTACTAGTGGTATGGCTGCATTATCTGCTGTCTCTCGTTTAGCACATTCTGGTGATGAAATTATACTTTCTGATGATTCCTATGGTGGCACATATCGTTTACTTAGTAAAATTGCAGCCAAGAATGGAATTCATGTCAAGTATGTGGATTTATCTGGTGAAAATGGACACAAGAATTTACTTGCAGCTCTTTCGGACAAGACGAAATTGGTTATGATGGAATCACCAACGAATCCCATGCAGCGGATTTGTGATATTAAACATCTTGCACAAGCTACACATACCGTTGGTGCATTGTTATCGGTAGATAATACAATGCTCAGTCCAATTTTGCAAAATCCATTGAAACTTGGTGCTGATATTGTCGTGCACTCGGCAACTAAGTTTATATGTGGACACAGTGATACGATGTCGGGCATTGTTATTGCAAAGGATCCAGAGCTTTGCCGTGATGTCTACTTTTATCAGAATGCTGAGGGCACGGGCCTTGCGCCGTTTGATTGCTGGCTACTGTTACGTGGTATCAAAACCATGAGTCTGCGTGTCCTTGCAGCTCAAAAGAATGCTATCAAGGTCGCCAACTTTTTGAACGACCACCCGTTAATCAAGACGGTACATTACACGAATTTACTGCCCAAGAACTCGTCGGATCGCCTGATCCACGACTCGCAGTCTCGTGGCTGTGGCTCTGTTGTGTGCTTTCGCACTGGCTCGCTTGCCTTCTCGCAACATTTGCTGACGGTGACTAAGCTTTTCAAGATTACAGTGAGCTTTGGTAGTGTAAACTCGCTGATCTCGTTGCCTGGTGCAATGTCTCACGCCAGTATTCCAGAAGAGGTACGCAAAGCGCGTTCGTTTCCCGAAGATTTGGTGCGTCTGTCCATTGGCGTTGAGGACGCGAACGATCTCATCAAGGATCTTTCACAGGCGCTGCAATCGTACGTGCCCTCTCAGGAGACGCAATAAGTAATGAATGCTCTCGAGTTGTCAGTTTTCGTGGGACCCTCTGAATTCGGGTGGGGGGCTGGTAAGAAGCCTAGTCATCCTTCATGGGGTCAGCGCATTACGAGAAGTTAGTGGTCTGCCAAGTGCTGTCATTGCAGACAGTTCTTCGTTGTGCCAAGGACATTTTTGTGGTGTGTTGGATCATTCAACCCGTAGCACACAACGTTGTGTTGCGCACTTTGAATCCACGCGTGAGTTGTCGAGATTGATCAAGTAGGTTTTGATCGACAAGTTGGTACAATATTAGTGTTGGAGGAAGCTTACGAGAGCGATCGACGACGATGCTCAGATGTTTATGATGACAATGGTAGCGCTTATGAATACTGTTGTCTTCCTTTTTTAGTGTTTCTAAGACTTGTTACGTAACGAGCTCTTTGTTTATACGAGTGCATGAAGGCGGGGATGGTGAAAACATCTATCGTGTGGATCGATGTTGTCCTGCTATGGTACCATTGGGTCTTCTCAGTCGTCTTGACTTGTCAACACCACCATAATTGCATTGCAATCTATTCCTTCTTCATCTTGTTGCCATCATAAGCATTGCCGTCGTTGCCTTGTCAAACTTTGCCATGTGACCATCTTCGTCTTGTACCAACCAATGATTAGTGTTGTGCCAATTTGTCATATGCTAGCTGCCCTCGACTATGATGATGTCAAGAAGAACAAAATACTTGTCATTTCATCACTTGTGCAATATAATTCCAGCACTTGTGGACGTTCCTGATGACATACACGCTCTTTATGACGTCAGTTACCTGCTTCTCAAGAAACAAACACACATGGTACAAACATGTTTGTATCGGATCAATGTCTTGAATGGTTGATTATGAAAGCTAGCTCGAAAGTGATGACTGTCAATGATAGCACAAACTTACTCGCTGTAGGCATCCACGTGCACACCAGCGATGGCACGACCCGACGGATCAGCTGCGTTCTTGAAGGCAGCGTCCCATTCGATAGCCGCTGGTGTACTGCACGCAATGCTAGGACCACCCGGCACAGTATGGGCGGCCACCTCGCGGTGAAAGTGATGCTGAAAGATACTGCGATAAAAGTAGGCTTCCTTGGATTGCGGCGTATTGTACGGAAAGAGTCGTTCAGCGTGCTTCATCTGACGCTCCGTGACCTTCTTCTCTGCCAAATCCTTAAGCGAGTCGATCCAGCCGTAGCCGACACCGTCCGAAAATTGCTCTTTCTGACGCCACAAAATGTGCTCCGGCAGGTACGGGTTCTCCTTGTCATCAAAAGCTTTGCGGATAATGTACTTTTCTAGCTTTTTTGCCTTAACGTCAATCATCTTCTCGCACGAGTCAATGTTCATGGCAATGTCCAAGAAATCGGCATCTAGGAACGGTACGCGGGCCTCAAGTCCCCACGCACTCGTCGACTTGTTGGCACGCAGACAGTCGTATTGATGCAACGACTGAAGCTTGGCGACCGTCTCCTTGTGAAATGCCTCGGCATTCGGAGCTTTATGGAAATACAAATATCCACCAAAAACTTCGTCAGCGCCTTCGCCTGAAAGTACCATCTTAATGCCCATGGCCTTGATCTTGCGTGACATAAGAAACATAGGGGTGGATGCCCGGATCGTGGTTACGTCGTACGTCTCCAAATGCTTAATGACTTCGGATATAGCATCTAATCCTTCCTGAATCGTGTATGTGTACGAGTGATGAATCGTACCAAGAAAATCAGCCACCTCCTTGGCTGCTTTAAGATCTGGTGAGTTTTCAAGACCAATGGTAAAAGAATGAATCTTATTAATCCATTCACCACCTTGAGCCACAAGTTTTTTCTTCTCTCGTACAGCAATCGATGCTACAAGAGATGAATCTAATCCACCCGAGAGTAAAACACCCCATGGTACATCTGACATCATCCGACGTTTAACTGATGCTTCAAAAGCATGACGAAGTACTGTAAGATCCAATGGTGTTTTTCCAATATGATTTTCCTTGTACCAATTTGGTGTATACCATGGTTTACATGTCTCTGTATCACTTGTAAAACTATAACCAGGTGGAAATACTTCAAAACGTACACAATTTTCTTCCAGTGCTTTCATTTCCGATGCAAACCAGACACTTCCATCGGCTCCATAGCCATAATACAATGGTGTAATACCCATATGATCTCTAGCTGCTAGAAAAAAGTCTTTTTCATAGTCATATAATACAAAACTAAACATTCCACGTAGTAAATGAACAAATTCGGGACCATATTCGAGATACAATGGAATGATAATTTCACAATCGGATTTTGTCAGAAAGGAATAGGGATGACGCAATCCCTTGGCAAGATCTTGATGATTGTATATCTCTCCATTTACACAACACGTAATCTTCTGTGTACGATCATTGCTTACAAGTGGTTGAGCACCTGATTCTGGATCAATAATAGCCAAACGTTCATGTTCGAGAGCGATTCCACGGTCTCCAAAGACACGAACACCATTCCAATCAGGTCCACGATGTTGAATTTTCTTACCAGAAGCTAATGCAGCTTCACGTAGCTCTGCTTCAGGCATTAGAGACCGTAGAATTGCAACAATTCCACACATTATCACGTGATTGAGTGAATGGACAGCGTGCGTTCGAGACGAGAAATGGAAAAATGAAGAGACCTGGAGACGAATTATTACGATAGAAACGTGAAATATCACCAAAGAACACAAGAATTTTCGTTTTCAGATGCAAGATGATACGAAATGATTATTGGACAGATTGTGTTTATCGCTCGCGAGTCTAAAAAAGTGAGGCAATCAATGTGATACAGTCTCTAGCCTATCATATATAATGCTACGCATTGATTGGCGGGATGCAGCCTATGACCTAGCCACAACCCGCATCATTGTAATGACATTCTAACAATAATTGTTTCCTGCCAGCATCATATGCAATAATAACATTATTTCTAGTGTGTTTAGACTTCCAATTTGCTATACTTTACTAATTAATTTTAGTTAGGACTGTTTTTATTTTGATAATTGTTTATATCTAATTGAAAAAATGTCCATGTCAAAATGTTTGACTCGAAATATTTATTGATAATTGGCTATACAATACACTATACAAGGCCTCGTTGGCTTTAATCGTGTATACTTTGTTAGAAGCTTGTTTTGTATTAACTGCGTATTAGCCGTTCTAGATTTGTGTCACAGATCAGTTGCCCTTCTGCCACTACCAAAAATGACTTCATCACAATGCAAGACATGTACAATCAGATCATGCATAGATACAAGATTTTGTACAGCCACGTTGTCTACTTCCTGTCACTAGAGGCATTCAAAAGCAGCGAGTAGCTCATTTGCATATAGCGTTCTTTGCCTCACAAAACTAATTCGTACGCTGTGTCTGTGTCTTATGGACTAAAAGTCTTGATCACATACGTGAACAGTGGACAAAACAAGCGTCGCGTATTCTACAGCAACGTTGCGTCCATTTATTCACTTGTTGTTGTAGTTCCGTTGCTTTAGAAGAATCGATAGTTTTTGATTGCATTGCTGCGACTTCATCACATCATTATCAAAAGTTGCAGACAAATTTTACATGTTATTTCGATTACGCTGGACTTGTTATATCTGTCATCCATGTTGTCGCTTCATTTCCAACGACGCGTCGAGACAATTCGATAGTCTTTCTACAAGTGTATACATTGTGTCTTACGATAAAAGAGGAAACATTGGACACGATGGACTGACACTAGTGAAACGAGATGGTGTGTATACCTCTTAGAGTTTTGGTATCTAATATTAGTGGTAGTAAGTGTATGACGCTTTTGTATCGCACTCTCGTCAGTTACTGCGCCTTTCCAATACCACACGTCAGTTGAGTAAAACCAGGACGATCGATAAGCTTTCTTCATAGGAAATTAATATTAAGTTTAGTTTATCAGTCGTTCCAATTTATTGTCAATAAGAATGTATGTAGTTTTGTTTGTCTGCGTTTTGTAAATAACTGTCTGCAATCATAAACTGTGATAAATCATACAAAAAGCAAGCTGTCGTGTTAAACAATCGCTACTGTCTCCACTTGCGTTTATCGATCAACTGGTGCCGAAGAAGCAAGCCATCTTGCCATTACTTCTGGCACCTTTGACACAGCTTTTCTAATCAATACGTACTCTCGATACCCAAAGACGGGGCGCAGACGCTATGTTGGTCCTTGAAGGTCCACAGCTGTTCACTGGCCTTTGTTGAGAGCAGTTCTAGGGAGAAATACGGAACAGTCGATTGCACATCAGGAGAGGCCGCCTGGGCTCTGCATTTGCAGCTGATTGCAGTCTACCAAGAGATGTCATAGAAAAGCTATTTACCGTCCATCATCACGCTCCACCACTCACAATGTTATTAGCTAACTAATCTTATGTTCATACGCCATTTTTTGTCTCCTATGCAATATGTTTATATTAACTTTTACAGGCTATCGTATATCGCGACTGTTCCGTCCCATTTCTGGTCATGATGTTTCATCCAATCATTTCTCGTTATTGAACTTATCCACCAATCCACGATGTCCATTACAGGAGATAGAACCCCTTCAGTTGTTATCTGACTCCTTTCCCCCTTTCCCACACAATTTACCATTGACTGACTCCCTTGCCATCATCATTACCAGGTCCGAGCTATAACGTCTTTGACCTTTTTCATCTCACCCTCCTTTCTCCACTTTTACGAGACTCTCGAAGCTTGCAAGGATCTCATTATCTTCCTAAGATCTTGTGCATTCCATTGTACTTGTTTTCATATCAATCGGACGTCTTCTCTTGGTTTTACAATCGGGCAAACGTTAGGCAAATGATGATCAATCAAGTCATGACAGCTACGATGCTATTACTGCTGATATTATTATCAAGCTCTAGTATTTCTACTAGTACAGATGCAAATACGTGTGACACAAAGGGAATGGTCGTACTTACAGCTAGTAGTAGTGAAGATAATGAAGCAATTGTGATTGATGCTGATTGTACTGAAAACACGATTGATGTCGTCAAGAGTTCGTTAATTGCAAGTAATATGGGCATTCAACAGGTCTCAAGTGTTCCTAATGTGAAGAGAATGTACGTGTGTTCTTGCCATTATGATGATTATCATTGCTTCTATTGTATAAAATCGATAGTAGAACAGTCAAGTGGACTAAACCTTGTTGCAATTCTTCTCTCCAGTGACTTGTCGCTCAACAATATTTCGTCACTATCACTTGTAGACGTGACGTTACTTGAAAAACTGTACGACGACAATGACATTTGAATTTTCTTGCTAGCTACTGCTTTAGCTAAAGGTTTATGTTTACTTGTGTGACATCAACTGACTTGGTGTTATTGTGATTTGGTCGTACAGGGTCTTGACATCCAACACGTTTACAAAGTTTGACCAGTTGATACTTCCTGATACTGTCATATTCCTAGACTTGAGCTGGAATGCCATTGCGTCATTGGATGGCATGAATCTTCCAACTAGCATGAAACAATTGTATCTAGGCGGGAACCCACTCACGTCTGTGGCAGATACCTCGTTTCCACCTTTGCTCACGTTGCTGTACATTCACGACTTGAAACTATCTGATTTAAATGGAGCGACATTTCCCGACACTATTCAGTATTTATCACTTGTGCAGTCAGGTCTTTCCAGTTTGGACGATGTCAAGTTTCCAGACAGCTTGCAGTTCATGTACGTGTCGATGCTTGCTCGATTCTGTAGATGGTTGTTACTTTGTGCTAATGAGAATTTTGATGTTGCTGCAGTGATTTTTCGCTCAACAGTATCACGTCCATGCCAACTGGGTTTCCTTCTACTTTGGTGCAGATTACAGCGACAAATAACCAAATTACAGCGCTGACTCGATACGCATTTCCGTCTAGCATCGCGTCGCTTAACTTGTCAGGCAACCCCATTGCACTAATTCACGGAGTCTCCTTCCCCTTAGCTCTGACGAAGCTAGATCTTGGCAGCAATGAGATCACTAACTTTGAGATCTCTCGTTCGGACTACTCGACGTTTAAGGACCTGGACGTGTTCAGCGCAGTAGTTGCACAGACTAGCTGCTCTACACCGGGCGCTGAACTGGTTGCGGTTTCAGGTTACAGCATTTGTGTCATTTCGGATGAATTGTTTGAAAGTACCTACGGCAACCCGTCTACAGCGCCTTACTCGAGTGCAGAGACCTCGGCTACACCGCCATCCAACAGCAACTCTATCATCCTTGTCGTGGTGATCTGCCTGGCAGCTGTGCTTGCTGTGGCGCTTGCGGCATTTGCGTTCAGGACGTATCGAGTAAAGCAAACAAAGGACAGTTTTCAAGGAGCGAGGGATGGAAACAACTTTTTTGCGAATAACACAATAAATGACACGGCTACGCACTCTGCAGAAAACCATCAGAATCACTCTCGCTCATTTAGTACGCTTTTCAATGGTGACAAGATGACTATGATGGGTGGAACGTCCATCGAGTCAGCTCTTGTTAAGTACCGTATACCTGCGAGTGAAGTGCAAGTCCAACGATCGATCGCAAAGGGTGGCTACGGTATCGTGTTCCTTGCGTTATACCAAGGTCGTTCAGTAGTGGTGAAGAAGATCTTACCGGAGAGGGCAGCGGACGACCGATGTCTAAGCGCATTTATCGAGGAGATTAAGCTCATTTCGTCATTATCTCATGCAAAAGTTGTGCGCTTTATCGGGGTGAGCTGGAGTATGCTGTCCGACATGGCGGTGCTCATGGAGTACATGCCTAACGGTGACCTTGACATGCTGCTGAAACAGCAGCACGAGCGACAAGAACGGTATCCGAAGGAATTTGACTGGTATCAGAACTCACCAGTATTGCCAGCGAAGGCTGCAATTGCTTTGGATGTGTTAGAGGGGATTGTATACCTGCATTCGTTTCCTTCACCTATTATTCATCGTGATCTCAAGTCGAAGAACGTGCTTCTCAGCTCGACTTACGAGGCCAAGCTGAGCGACTTTGGTGTGAGTCGGGAGTGGCAGGTGGATATGACAATGACTGCAGGGATTGGTACAATGGCTTGGATTGCGCCCGAGGTACTCCGTGGTGAGCGCTATACGGAGATGGCTGATATCTATTCGTTTGGCGTGATTCTGGCGGAGTTGGCGACGTGTATTAAGCCGTTTGACGGTATAACAAACGCGCTTATTGTCCTCAAGGTTACAAGTGAAGAGAAGCCAGACCTCGGGTCAAATTGTCCTGAAGATATCCGTGAGCTAGCAAGTCGGTGCCTTAGCTTTAATGCTAACGATCGTCCGACTGCTAGTGTGGCCCACTACGAGCTGCGAACACTGCTAAAGCTGCACTCGGCGTTTGAGCTGTAAGGCTCTAGATAGTAGTTTCTGGTAGTCGTTATGAATTGTAAATTTTGAAGCAAAGTTTGGCCGTGCGGGAAAAGAGAGACCCGTATTGCGTTGTTAAGTAAGCGAGGAGTCATTATTGCTGTCAAGTTTCTGCATTGTAGTCTCAGTCTTGCTGAGAGAGATGCTTAGTAGTTGCTAGGACGGTTAACACAAGGCTGACAAGTTGTTGACAATACCACGCAAACGATGTCAACCTTTTGATTGCTGTAAGACTTGGACAAGGTGGACACATTGGGACTGACTTGCTTACGATTAAATCTGTTGTCTAGAGCACAATTTCGACAAGAACAAGCCAAGACAATATCACGTGAACACTGTAAGCCACTGAACACTAACGATAAAGTAGAGCAAAGACATTTGTATGTTGTTAAATGCCCACAACCAAACTCTATGGTAATGTACGCAACACGTTTAAAAATCAACAACTCGTAGAGATTCTTCCCTGAAAAGTCAGTGTAGCCCGCTGACAGCATGAACCCATGGCATGCTTTCATAGTCGATCACTCTTTTTGGAGTAACAGGAATCAGGTTAAGAACCACCTTCTCTGTTCCGCGAAACTTCTCCGCCAATGCAGGTACGACAGTGTCGTCGGGATTAGCCTGTATAGTGTGTTTAAACAAATCATCTAGACGCTCGTCACTGTAAAATGCGACCAACATCGGTATCGCACGATTCTTTTCCGGAACAGTTTCAAAATACACCGCGTTGAATTCGTCTACAGCACGGAGCCAAGCACTTAGAATTGGAATTTTGAATTTGTCGTGTTGCACCAAACTTTTGTCAATACTTTCCAATACAAAAGTCGAAACGTTTGGTCGATTCGCTTGAATGTACAATTTCAACTTCAGTGCCTCAACTGAATCCGGTCGGGAGTTCTTAATCACATCTATAACTTGATAACCAAATTGTACGATCAGACATCGCATCATTCTTGCATACGGGTCATCATTGTCCTTGTACAACATTTCTACGTACAAGAACCAAGTGCGAATGGCCGCTCGTTTTTGAAAGATGTTGACATCCTTCTCCAGACTCAAGAGCTTCAAAGTCTTGAACTCATCTACACCTGTTTTCCGTCCAGTACTTCCACAACATTTTCTGCACACTGTTGGCAAGACTTGTCGTCTTCCCTGCTAATGCATCTACGATCTCCTCTGCCAGTTCGTTTTCAGTAGCGCTGTTTGTTTTGAGTATGTCAAACATTAACGATGCCGGATCCTTACCCTTCCTTTCCACGTAGGAAGCCCATTTGTCTATAACAGGGCTTTTCAAAGGTTTCGGTTCGTCATTAATCCCCAACATTAAGTAAACGATGCTTTCCGGAAAACCATTAGACATTTGATCATAGGCATCGAGCTTTGCGTCAAGAGCCTTATCAGCTGGTTCGTGCCACGTGAAAGCGTTGGCATCTTTTTTCGTATTCACTAGAAATTTCACTTGTTCTACTTCAGTCGAATGCTTTTTCAGGACACTGAACAGCACATCAAATGAATTTTTGTCTGGATAAGCGTATTTGACGTAGATATTCCAGCTATCAATAAATGGATTGTCCAAAATGGTATTTCCGTGAAAATCAAATTGAAGCCAGCTGAACACAGTTTCTGGAGTCTGACCACTTTTGCCCCAGGACATTGCCTGTGCCACGGCTAATGCCGAAGCCAATCGTTGCGTATCCGAATCTTGCTTTGCATTTTCAAACATGAAGAGCAGAGTATTATGCGTAAAGTGCTTTTCTAGCGCTTTGACCATTGCGTCATGAGCCGCAGCATGATTATTAAATGCTTTCACTACTGCAGTTTCCCAATCTTCAAGCTGAGGCAGACTAAAAAGTTCATGGTCTGAGACACCACTTAGCTGGTGCTTTTCAAAGAGATTATCAGCGACCGATTGCTTTAGAAGTAAACTTGATTTCAATTTATTCCACAAATCTCGCCCTGGCCCCCTCTCTTCCCCTTGTTTCGTCCTATGTGACGTATTAGTGATCTTAAAATCTTGCTCCGCGTCAATCTCCTTCAAATCAGCAATTACATTATCATTTAAATGCACGCGACCAATCGTGTCTTGAGCCACACTGCCTGATGTAAGTAGAAACATAGCACATAATAGTAAACCCCAATTCTTATGTCGGGCTTGAGGAGTCATTGCGTTGTTAATCTGGAAATGGAAAGACAAATTGTCCAACTTATAAGTGGGAAACTCAGCTCCACCAAAACCTAATTTGAACTAATATCCTATCTAAATTGCTATTACAGTGTGACCGTAAGACAGTTTTTATCGAGTGATATAGAATTTACTTTCTGATACCTTTTATTACCTAATTTTTTTTTCTATACATATGAAATTAAACAGGCAAGACTGTATCGTTTTTTTCACCCCTATTATTCTGCACCGTCTTTGCAAATCGACAAGCTAAAAGCTTTTTTTACTCTATACACTACTTCCCCCTTCCCCTCGATAGGCTTACACATGTCGCACGTGTCATGAGTCGCTCAACGACATCTTAGGTCAGTATGGTTGTCATCAGTACCACCATGAGGTTATTAGAAACATGATGGAAATATTCAATGGCGTGTCTCTTGCTTTCTATATGTTTGCTGTCAATTGTCAGTCCTATCCCCCCCATGACGCAGCTTTGTATCAAAGACACGATAAAAATCTGTCGTACAAGACGCTCGTAGCCACGTAACGGTCGTATCGCATCGTGTTTAGTGTGTAATTTCGTTTGGTTTCGTACCATGTGGTTAGATTGTATAAGCACCACCTACCGCCATCACCTGTTTCGGCTGCATACTTCTTGCTCCTGTCAGTGTGACCGACCCTCCTTCTCTCTCCCGACAATTTAATGCTGTAGCAGTTTAGTTTCTCTTTTCACTATCACTCTTTCTTCAAACGACTCAAGTCTTGACTTTTGACTTGTGTCAATCAAAAAATACTTCATGGGCTGCAAGCAATCCAAAACCGAGGACGTCATTTCCACGACTTTGCCAAAGACTGAGACGATAGCTGCTTTAATTGAGACAGAGCCTGTAGCAGCTTCGATCGAGACAGAGCCTGTAACTGCTCCGATTGAGACAGAGCCTGTAACTGCTGAGGAGGTAAATGTTACAGAGCCTGTAGTTATCAAGGAGCCTGTACCTGTTGTTGAGGAGTCAGTAGAGCCGAAGGCTGAGGTGACCACGTCCGAGGAACCTGTAAGAAAGCAGTTAGCGTACAAGATTACGGGTCACGAGATCAACGAGGTCGGTGTCGTCTTTTACACTGTTGAGGCTGTTAAAGGTGACATCAGCTTTAAAAAGCGCTTCAATGAGTTTAAGGCTCTGGTAACGGAGCTTGGAAATCCAAAGCACTTACCATCGCTGCCGGATTCTGGACTTGGGGTTAAACTGCGCGGTAAACACAATGCGGTCGTGATCAAGACGCGTGAGACGCAGCTTGCTGTTGTACTTAACGCTATTGCCAATGACATGGAGCTGATTGAGAAACCAGCGTTCAAGGAGTTTGCTCAGTAACGTTTGACCGTCGTTCACTTTCGACGGTCGTTTACTTGAACACCACACAAAGCTTGACTTTGTACCATTCATGCACTTACTACTAATACTGCACGAGTTAAAGCTAATTGGACATGTCAAAACCTTGAATGCTTTCTTATTGAAAGAAAAGCTCTCGTCATGTTTGTTATTCTTATGTAGTCATGACGATATGATCAGCACCTTGTCAAGAAGACTGGGTAGATAATGTAAATTCTCGCGATTCATCGTCAAGCTCCACGGATGAACTCTTGCTGAGGTTTAATGCACGTCGAGCCTCCTCCTGTACCTTGTACTCCTCCGAGAGCTTCCACTCACGACGACGAACAAAACCGTGATGTGGACGTGGCTTCTTCACTTTTTTCTTTTTGCTCTTTCCATTCGTGCTGCATCGGTTATCGGTAGTATTACTCACTCGTAGATCCTCCTCTTCCTCTTCTTCATTGTCAAATTTGGGAGGTGTTGAAGGGAAGAAGGCAAAATCATTCTCATACACCCAACCGTCATCATCGCACCCTGGCACGTCGAGATTAAGCTCTAAGCCAGCTAAAGGAATAACTTGAGCGCTTATCTTGCCTGAACGATCGCTCCAACGCTTCCGATCTGTTGGCAAAAGGTAGCCTGGAAACGAGCTGCCATATCCACAGAATGGCTGGTAGCGCTGGTTCTCGAAAAGTACCGGGTCGTCCGAATTTAAAATAATATTGCGGACATCCGCGTTAATTCTCTTTCGGCACTCTTGGCCGCTGTTGTTGTGCGTTCCAGTCAAAATCCAATTGACGATGTTGGCCGGCTGGTCAAACGCAAAACCCCTATACAATTTTGAACGGCCTTGAGCCGTATGTTTAACAGGCACACTATCACGCACGCGACGGTCCTGGTAGTCAATCATGCCAGCCAGCTCTGGGTTCAAATAATTGACCTGAGGAGGCTTAAACTCTGCCAGTTCCTCGCGCGAAATCGAGGACTTTTCGTCTTGCAACTCCTTCACTAAATCAATGTACTCTGGAACAAAACGACGACGGCATCCTTCATAAAAAAAATCCTTGAAAAGAATGGCAACCACGGCAAACACTTGGCCAAGCCAGAACTGAGCGCGGCCGAATTGCCACGGTAGTGAATCCGTGTCGTACGACCAGTTAATTTGATCGATGAGATACTGACAAAAATACACCATAAAGACCGAAAGAGCCATACTTCCGATCTCAAGAATGTCCCACGAGTTAACCATTAAGCAAAAACGCATATTTACAACAACGCATAAAATCGTCCAGCCGAGGGTCTGCATCGACAGATACTCGACTGTGTTGCCTCCATGTTCAATGTTCCAGCAAATTGCCATAATTGCAAAGTAAATTCCGACAGAATCGATAATGCCTAAAAATATCCATTTCCAGAACATCAAGTGTGAAAAAAAACTTTTCTTGCGCACCTCGGCATGATACAAAACTGGAAACTCCAGCACAGTCTTCTTTGACAAATCTCTGTCAGTGGCCGAGAAAACAACAATCGGCAGAGCCGTGAATAAAAGATTGTAGCCCTGCTGAATGAATGGAGAATAGATCATAGTCCCGGAGTACGCCGTTGGCCATAACGTGTGCCAGAACATGGAGACATTGTATGCAATATTCTTATAAAACGTGTACAGAACGAGTGCCGCAACGCGGTTGTAATTCCACCGCCCATGAACCAAGATCAAGTTACGCAGAAACCGGAATTGACCCAACGCGTAGTCGGAGCTGTTTACGGCTTGCAAACCCTCTTGTCCACTAATGCCAACTCCAATATGAGCACTTTGAATCATTGGGACGTCATTCGCACCGTCACCGATCGAGAGCGTATGTGATTCGGGAACATTCAGTTTTACCAATTCCACCAACTGTGCTTTTTGCTGAGGTGATACACGACAAGCAACCACAACCTTACACAATAGCGAGACACGAAGAAGATGTAAGTTGTGTAGTGGGTCTTCCAAGATCTTATTCAGCGACGCGCCGTCGATAACCAACGCATGCTCAACTTGACCAGATGGCGGCGATAAGACTGAATGGGCAGCTGTTGTTGATGATTGTGAGCCATCATCACAAGCGTCGAAAATCAAGTGGAAAATTTTGTCAAGTTTTCGTAAAATGGATCCCTTCGTCCGGTATTTTGCCGCACTGATCACGTGTCGCTTCATGTCATTGTTGAGCAAGCGGCATGCATAACAAATGTTGATGGCCGTTTCCTCCATGTCCCCTGTAAGCACCCATATACAGATCCCAGCTTTAGCTAAAGATTCCATGGTTTCAGGTACGCCATCCTGCAAGCGATCTTCAATAGCAGTAGCACCGAGCAGTTCTAGATTTGACTCCATCTGGTCCTGGAGCTTATCAATTGCGTTTAGTTCACCACGCGACTTCGCCTCAACTTCACTTAAGTCACCGCATGCTTGACGATACTTTGCGTAAAATTGTTTCCAAACTGGAGGATTGATTCTTTTTGCACAAATAACCAGTGTTCGGAGCCCGTCTTGTGCAAAAGCTTCCAAATGCTTCTCTGTTGATTCACGAATTTGTTCGTTGTTTGCAGACATTGAATCGAGGCGAGGAAACAGCATGCTATCAGCTCCCTTAGTGAGAAGCAGCACGTCATCCTCTTCGCCTTCCGACATTAAGCGGAGTTCATCGTCACGTTTCTGACGCTGCACTATAACAGACATGCGCTTTCGATTTGAATCGAACTCAAAGACTTCTAAAATATCGTACTCATCCACAGCACCATCAGGTTTCTTTATCGACACACTTCCCGGTTTGCGGTCAATAAACTCGTAGCCAAAATACTTGGCACCACAAACAAGAGCAAGCTCGTCCGGAGAAGAAGCCGAGTAGTGAACAGAAGGGCTCGTATCCTCTTCAGTTGGGTCAAGCCTCTCAATAAGAACACCATGGCACAACGCTAGCAAGGTCATAAACTCTTCAATCTTTGCACTTTGTGGGTCATCCTTGGCCTGCATATCCTGCCACATCCTATTGTCCTTAAAATTTACATTGGGCACCGATATTTCCATGAGACCACCTAAATCATTTGCAGATTCTTCGTCCACAACTCGATCTCCCTTAAAATCATTTCGCATGCGAGCAGCAATACCAATGGCCGTTGTTCCCTTGCCATAGCTCCGACCACCAACACTACACTTACGAAATTCCATTTTGTTACAAGTAAGAGTGCCCGTCTTATCCGAAAAGATGTGTGAAATGTGACCCAACTGCTCATTTAGCTGCATATTGCGAACCTTAACAAATGTACCACTTTCTTCATCATACATGTCAAGATCTTTTTCCATGAAAAATACTTGCAAAGCTTTCACAAGCGTAATCGACACATAGAGTGTAATTGGCACCATGGAAGCGAGCGTCGTGAAGAAGTAAACAAACATTATGATGAGACTGTCGCCCCAGTCTTCCAGTTGTAAATATGCTGGAAGGACATGAGTATCCATCCATATCCGGTCTGTAATGGCACCGACAAGCGACATTATAACCAAAATAACAACCACAACAATCACTTGCTTATTCGTCGTCTCATCAATAGATGAAATCTTTACAGGAAATTCGTCACCAGAACTCATCATAATCTTACTGTCGACACCAGTGTTCACCACCAAACCATAAACATAGCTCGTGTTACGCAGCTTACTACCACGAAGCAGCATGTTCTTCAATGTAAGAGGGATCCCCTCAAAGCTGGCCCCATCCAAGTTCTCTTCCAAATACATTGTACCCGAATACGTGTTAATATCACCATTCGGAAGTTCACTTTCCACATATCCCTGAATAATGTAACCTGCGTCTTCCTCGTTTACAAAAACGTTTCGAGTAGACAATGGCGCTTCCCGCAATTTAAGGTTGGTCTCGCCATCGAGATTCTTTGTTTCAACGTAACACACACCCGTGTTTCCCTCAATGCGTGCCCCTTCGGCAGGAACTACAGCCATTATCATGATATCTGCTGGCAAAATCTCGCGATTGGCCACCTTGACAAAATCTCCTACTTTGACCTCGCGCCATTCAACCTCTTCAAACTCACGCAATTGGCGATTAAACACCTGCGTCTTGGCCGAATTGGCAATGTCATCCGCAATATGTCGCTTGTAATCTTCGTAACCGGCAAAGATAGCATCAATAACGATTACAATCGCAAGAGGACCAAATTGTAAAGGAACTCCATTAGTTGGCGAAACGGATGGAACAAGCTGGAAAATACCAATGAGCAAAAAATACAAGTTGGCCGTCTTCTGGAATGTCAAGTACAAGAACACGGGCACAAAACTCCACCACGTGTACTGCGATGTCGTGACTTCATTCGACACAAATAGCTCTTCTTTGTCCTCATTTTTCTCATCTTCCTCTCCGTCTGTAGGTGCACTTGGCTCATGCTTGGGCACATTGATTCCGTCGTTAATCTTAATAATCTTGTACCGTTTGCGCGGTCCAGAGGGTGTACTCTGCGAGTCCGTGGACAGTAAACTACTCATTCGATTCAAATATTTGTCGCTCTGATTGGACGTCATAGTGTGCCCTTCAGCCAATGCCGACCCTGTCTGCGTATCTACGTGAATACGTGCCATCTCACGTTCAAAGTCAGTTCTCTCTCTCTCTAGCACAACTGGACTATTTTGATCGATTCCTTGGTCAAATCTTGCCTGTTCTTCCTGCTCACGTGCACGTAGTCGTGATCTCAATGAAGCAGCATTCGCTGGATCAATATATCTCGTCGTTGAGCGTGTATTTTGACGAAATCGTAGTGAACGTGGTAAATTACGATAAAACATGCGTACGTTTGCATTACGAAAGTAGCCATAGGAAGCTCGTGGCGTCTGATCTTCTTGATGATGTAAAAACTCGAGATTTCTCGAGTTTGGATTCACATTGTCATCTAAGATCACTCGTTGTCGATTATTAAGTAATTGACTGGATGTAAAGGTACGAAATAAAACCTCATGATTATAAGGTCGTGCTGTAATCAGATTCGATAATCCATACGGTTCGTCTTCTTCATGTGGTGGTAATATATCCACAGTCTGATGACGATGAAAATTGTGACATGATGATGGATTGAAAGGTACAGTTCCTTCGTGAGCTAAAGGCACAGTTTCATCTTGAGCTACTATGACTCGGGATGATGACGACGGTGAGACATTAGTAGTAGTAGTAGTAGATAGTAGTACATGAAAAGGTTCACTTGGTCTTCCTGCTACTGGTGATGGTTCATGACGATAATATTGGGTCTCACTTGAAAGAAGAAGAAAGTCATCATCATCCTCTACTGCTGCTGCTATTGTTGGTGTTGTTGTTGTATTGATCGTGTCATTTCTATGATGATCATCCATGACATGGAGTGTGAAGAATGAATGTCGTGACGAGTGTAGAGATACTTTGCAACTGACTTGACTATTATTATCACGATTAAATATCAAGGACTTGTCACTGAGTGTGAAAGATTGATGTGATGATGTAACGCTTTCTGTAAAAATAAATACCAGACTGAGAGTCGACTTGATACAGTCTTTTCAACACATGGTGGAAATTCCAAATGGGAGTAAACAACTATCGGGATAGAAACGTAATGGGTCTTGCTATCTACGATGTCGTAATCAGCACGCATGTCTTTCACACGATTATTAAATTAAAGACCAATAATAACGAAGACCATTGTCTGGCATAAATTGATCGTCAGGTCGTTGGGGCTACATGATCCAATCATTCAGTGTGCTACTGTCGAGTCTGGCTGCTTCTACTTTATAGAACAATAACCCTCAAGAATGTATATTTATTCAATTCTAATTTATGTCCAAAGTCAGTTTGTGGTATAAGACCGTGCAACCAATGATAGATAGATACCATAGACGTATCTATTTACAAACAAAAGTAGGTCCCTCATCAGTAAATGATGCATACCATAAACTGGCAGTACCATTTGTAGTATCATGATACCGCAAATACATCTGAGCGTACACTATTAATAATATTAAGTTTAAAGATCCGCGTCCAGTAACTGGCTTTCATACTATAGTGCTTTCAATATTTAATAGACCGCCATTGTTTTTAATTTACCGATTGCTGTATTTTTGGAAGATAAAAATTAGACTGTCCCAAACCTATTGTAAACGATAGTCAGCACACTACGTATATGCATAAAAAATGCCCAATTCGTCTGAAAACATTCCCAAATAAACACCTTCATAGAGAAAGAAGACCATATAATGTATTGACTTGAATTGCTGTCTGTACTTTAGCAACCTGCACTTTTGCAGGTATCCTATATCATTGCTTTATTGAGCTACGGCTCGTTAAACTCATCATGTGCCTTCTTCTACTTGCATCTGGTGAATACTCTTGTGACAGTGGCGCTGAATCGCAAGGCAAGACTTACATTTACGCGTTCGAAGGGACCTGCTGTATAACAGATTCATTTAATCAGTAAAAGAGGCACGAGGCTACACAATCACGCAATTACAGACAAATCGTACCTCGTCGCTTGATTTGGCTGCTTTAGAGTCTACGACAGTAGACACTGCTGCAGCTTCTCTCGGTGAGTCACTCCGCGTAAGCTCTGCTGGCGCTTCTTGGTACTCAACCCATTCCATGGACAAGTGCTTATTGGCAAACACGTTACCATGATTCATAGCAGCTTGGCCGGCATATCGATCCTGAAACTTGATGAACCCTTGGTCAGGAGCCGCCCCATCCATCACGACACGTTCCACGGCGCCAAAATTGCCAAAGTGCTGCGTCAGCACAATAGGATCGCGAGCCTCCTCAGGCAAGTTTACAACCTTCACGATCGTTGTGCGGTTGTCTAACGTGTGAGAACCACGACCGTAACCTCCTCGGCCGCGACCACCACGGCCTCCTCTATAGCCACGGCCCGAAGACCACCGGCCGCCACAACCCCCCGGGCCGCCTGATGCCTCGGCTTCAGCCTCTAGTGCACTAAGCTCAGCCTTCAGCCCGTTTAAGTTTTCACCACTTTCGCCAGTTTCGGCTGGCCGCATCGCAGCTGTTTTCGGCGAGACAACCGAAGGACGGGAGGTCAATGCTTTCAACTCGGCAGACAACGCTGTGATCTTGTTCAAAAGATCGCGCTTCTCCGCTATGGAAAACTGCGAGCTGTTTGCACTCATTCGCTCCAATAGCTCCTTTTGCTGGGATAATTGCCGCTTAAGCAGCTCCTCCTTTTGCTTCTTGAGTGTACGCTGCTTTTCCAACAGTTCGCGCTTTTGTTCCAAAACTAATCGACCCTTCTCTAGTGCTGCTGCGCGCAGCTCCTCCGTTGTCATATTATTCTCATGCATTGCATCAAAAGACTCTCCTTCGTCATCACCAGCGTTTTTCGTATTCTTTTCTGCCGTAGCGTCCTTGTTGGATACACCGTTTTCTACAGACGTTTTTTCCAATGCAGCGTCACTTTGGTCGACGGCTACTGTTTCTTCTGGACTATGGGCATCGTGTCTGGCCCATTTTACTGAAATAAAGCGGTTATTGCACACTGGAAGTGGTGAGTGGAAAGCCTTCTTTGCCTCATCTTCGGTAGCGTATTGAACAAAAGCACATTTAGCGGTAGGTCGCATCTGCACATTGACCACATTGCCAAACTTGGAAAAGTGCAGGCTTAGCATGGTCATGTTCACATACTTTGGGTCGACATGTCTAACGTAAAGCGTCGTCTTAGCGGTGGGTGCCTCGCTATTTTCTCCATCCTTGCCGCCTCGTCCTGCCAAGAAATTACCACGTCCGCCTCGGCCTCCGCGACCCCCAGGAGAAAAAAAATGACCGCGACCCCCCATCGGGTGTGGTATCATCATGTGGGGTGGCGGCATCATGCCACCATTCTCTCTCATGTACCCATTAAGTTCATAATCTGGCGGGTAGCTCGCACCTCGGAGAGGCGGCGGAAAATGCGGTGGCCACATACCTTGTGGAGGCATTCCCCATTCAAAGGGGAAATTGCGACGACGATCTCCACCCAAACCGTACGTTGCCGGTACATGTCCACCAATGAGGCCACCTCGCACGTTTCCGTCACGGGTTGGGTAAGGCTGCCGTCTACTAAAGTTCAAATCTCTCCTGGGACTGCCCTGATGCCGCTTAAAATCGCCGTCTCGCGGTTCATCATCCTCATAACGCCGCTTATTATACCGTCGCTGCTCATCCTCATTCTCAAAAGGAGTGCGGTAAGGTCGATGACTACTACTTGCGTCAAACCCATTAGTAATTCGGGACTGTTCGTCACTTGGTGCTCTGCGAACGACTTGACTGGCCTTGTACGAACCGTCGGCCATCGCTTTGAATAATTTTACCACAAATCCTGCCGTCTCTATACAATATAAACATAACATAAACATAAATCTCAATATTATTATCATCATAGAAACTAAAATTAAAAAAGCGCACCGTCGCCAAGAAATTCTTCAAGCTTCGAGATGCACGTATCTTGAAGGTCAAGCGTATGTGGATTATTCTGTACCAGTGCTAAGACATATTTACTTAACACCTCTGGATCAGCGTCGCTTCTGTAAAATGCAATAAAGAAATCAGGTATTTAATTGTTAATTCAGACGAAATCTAAATATGAATTTAATTTAATTAAAGATAATTAATTATAAAGATATGTACACTGGTTCAAGGTTCAAAATAAGCCATTCTCGTAAAAGCTCTTTGTCCTCGCTATCCATAACTGCAATGACGTAAAGACCAAGTGACTGGGGAGAGGTAAACAAAGCTACAGACCGACTGACTGACTGCCTTGACTGCCTGCTGTTATTAAGGATAACGAACTGATTGCGAAAAAGCGTCTGGCCAACCAATAAACAGAGGGCCGACATTTAACTTGGAAACTGTATTCAACCCATGAACCCACGGGTTTGCAAAAGGAGTCCATCAAATCAATACATTCTGTGTACTGAACACTAAATACCAAATCTGCTTAACAATGGAACAGCAAGTTCACGCGAGAACGAAGCAGCAGCGCAGGAGTTTGTAAAATGCGTTACCACTGAGAATAACGTCACACTTTTTATCAAAAGCTACTGTCCGTATTGTGATTTAGTACGTGGCTGAAATAAACCTATAATTGTGTTAACTAAGATACTAAAAATTAGACGTGTTTTCGTTCATGGATAATTTCGACCTTATCAGACTAAAAGTGTGCTGGACGAAGCTGGTGTGATGATGTATCACGTCGTTGAGCTAGATATGAAAAATGACGTACCTACTGGTGCAAATATTCAGAGCGTATTAGCTACAAATACCGGCGTGTGTGAATGACAGTTTGTTTTATACGTTAATTGCTGCGAAAAGGAATCAGCTTTATACGTTAATTGCTGCGAAAAGCTAATTCCTTTTCGCAGCCATTAACGTATAAAACAAACATCAAAAAATGATGGCAACATTAGAGGCAAGTGATTGTAAATTGTGACATGTTCGTTAAATATATGCTTTGGCCGCAAATTTGAAGGTGCACATAACTCCAATGCTTTTCTTTGCTGTGGCACATATAGGGCATAAAACATAGACATACATTTATACAGTTAATGGCGAAAAAAACAGCTTTTTTCCTTGGACCTCTATAAGATTATTCATTAACTGAGCTTTTTACTGAAAAAAAAACTTGATTACGCCATTTCGTTCAACCGATTTGTAGATCTTAGTGTGAAATTATCAGTTTGTGAACACTAGTAAGGTACATTCCACAAACATGGAACAACGTTATCATGTCATTGTATACGGCGCTACGGGCTTTACTGGTTCCTTGGTGACCCGTTACTTAATTACTGAGTCTGAGTCAGCCCTTACAAACCCAAAAGCATTGAAATGGGCTATAGCCGCTCGTAGTGAAGCTAAATTAAGCAAGATCAAAGAAATTCTCAAGACAAAACTTCCTACTGTCGCTCCTCAATTAATTGATTCCATTCCTGTAATTGTAGCAAACAGTAAGGACAAAGAATCCTTAGTGGAGATGGTACAGCAGACTAAGGTCCTTGTGTCACTTGTGGGACCGTATAAACTCTATGGAGAACTACTAATTAAAGCTTGCGTTGATAATGGAGTGCACTATTGTGATCTAACAGGTGAGATTGTATGGATTGAAGAGATGACAGCTAAATACGCGGCCATTGCTGCCAAGACGGGTGCTGTCGTTGTTAATTGTTGTGGGTTTGAGAGTATCCCATCCGACATTACGACGTATTTGATTTGTGATCGAATCCAGCAAAAGCTTAACTCTTATACAAGCAAAGTAGATATTTACTATACCAAGCTAAAGGGTGAACCAAGTGGTGGAACATTGGCGTCGATTTTTGCAATCATGGAAACGTCTTCCACCAAACAGCTATTGGCCTCGCAGAATCCATTCTTTCTCACAGACGAAAAGACAATTGAGGAAAAAAAAAGCGTCTGGTCTTATTAAACCCAATACGACCAGCTATGCAATTCATTATGACAAGACAATGAGTTTATGGCACTCCATGTTCATCGGTGCCATCGTGAATCAAGCAGTCGTACACCGCAGTAATTACCGTCTACGGAACAAGTACGGTTACAATTTTGTGTACCACGAACGAATGGCCATCGGTGGTTTCTGGATGCAATTGGTTGCTAGCTTTGGATTGATCGTGGTGAGCATCATGTTGTTCTTCAGCTGGACTCGAGCACTAATCAAGCGGCTGGTGCGCTCCCCCGGCCAAGGTCCATCAGAAGAGTCCATGCTGCAAGGTTACTTTGTTGCAGAGGCCGCGGGGTACTCAGAAGACGGCAAATTGGCGATAAAAGCGAATGTACTGGGATCAGGAGATCCGGGCTATAGTCTTACGTCTCGTCTCGTGTCGGAATGTGCCTTTTGTCTGGCTAACGACGAGTTCGGTGAGTCCACAAGACTTGAAGGCGGCTTTTACACGCCGGCCAGTGCATTTGGCCACAAGCTGGCCAACCGCATTCAGACTAAAAAGCTGATCACGATCGAGCTTAAGGACACGGCCTAAGCCATGACAGGCGGTAGTAACGTACTTGGTTGTCCATGTTGGTTCTTTACGAAGGTCTAAGGTATTAATGCAGTTTCGTCCAAGACAAGCAGTGGACGTATCACGTTTTGAAAAGATGAGATGCATCAACTCATTGACCTTTTTAGCTGTTTAATCTGAATGACGGTATACAACTGTAACGGACACACAAAGGTATGTATTGCACACGCACCTGCGGGTAGGTTGATGTGACCGTCATGTGGTCACTATCCTTAGTTTAAGTATAATGAATGTACAAGTTTACATATTAGGTGGCTTGAGATGGATAAATAGTGACTAGCACTAAGCATAGAGTAAGTGCTTCTATAGTTAGTGCTAGAAGATAAACATAAATAAATCAGTTTCAAGCCTGTTCTCAATAGCATACGTGCTTGAGCGTTCTATTCCTTTTGTAAGGTACTGGTCTCTTGAAGACGTGGTTTCTTGCTACCAAAAGGCATAAGCTTGTGAAGCTAGACTTGGGAGGGATAAGAACCCTAAGACATACAAGCTCTTTGAGCTTGTCTTTCTCTACACGTAGTGCATAAGTAGCTTGGCTACAGTAGCTCGGCTACACCTGGTAGCACATGTAGTCAATCCCGGATCTGGGTCTCAAGGTCCGGTCGGTCCTTCGATCCTTTGTTGTTTTTTGGTGCAGTCAATGGCGATCAGACTTTCAGTGCCTCAATCTTAGCTTGAACTTTCTCATCTTTTTGGGGCTCGCGCTGATATTCCGCGTCTTCCAAACACCCGGGCCACAAACCATTGTAGTGAAGTGGGTTTTCAAAACTGCGTAATAAGACTCCAAGCTACTCTCTGCGCCGGTCTGCCAACTGTCGGAGAGGGTACCACGATGCCGCGTATAGACGTTCTCTCACCTTGTGTACCCGTTGGCTGGCGGGTTGCACTCTTCGAACGACTTGGCTGAGATGTGATGTCGGCCTTGATATAGGTCGACCTTGGGGTACCTCGAGTGAATATACTTCAATCGGTAGGCGAGTAGGTGGCCACTCGGTCGACTAGGTCGAGGGTGGACTTATTATCAAATTCTTCAGGGGAGATTGTCAACCCTGGCCTTTTCCTTGATATATCAAGGGTTGTTAACCGCCTAGCCTTTACTTGCTACCGAACCACTAGGGTAGAGAGACCGCTTCCGATAGCAGATCGATTGGGGGGGTGCTACTCAGACGAACCCACAGACCAAAAATATCCTGGGGTTCTATTCGCACTTAGGTTTTACCACACAAGTGTCTTCGACGAGGGGCCAAAATGTATCCCTTTCCGGAACAAGTGGGTAGACCTATATAGGCTCCTTATTATCAGATGAAAACGTGCTACGTGAATCGCAAATAAAGTAGTATTTAATATGGTCCTATCTCTTAACTCTTTTACTCTATCTTTACCCCGAAACCTGATTCTTGATTTTGCTTGGCTAGGGTATATCGACCGAGGGGCCGAGAGGCCGAGAGCCCAAGGACCGAGGGGCTGAGAGACCGAGAGTTCGGGGACCGAAGGGCCAACGCCTATTGACTGAGGACCGAGGTCCATTTGATGAAAGACTAAGGTCGACCTTTAGGGACCGGAGCCGAGGGTGTACCGACCGAAGGTCCAAGGTCTACCTTTATGAAAGACCGAGGTCTACCAATGATAATGTTCGGGTCGACCTTGAAGGACCGGGATCCACCTTGAGGAACCGCGGTCCATCGGGCTAACCGCGTTTGATTCCTCTAAATGGCGGCTAGCTAGCACGCTTTGACCGTCCATTCTTCTCATCCAACGGTCGTTACCCGTCCCTTTTAGCGCCCCGTCGCTTTGTCCCTTACCCAGCCGTCGCTCCTCCTGAGCGGGTCCCCCCTTCTATATGACCCAACGGTCCCATGACCTACCAATTCTTGAATTGCTTCACCACAAAATTGTATCTTTATTACTAGTCTCTCAAAGACACGGTTTTTACAGCCAAAAGGCATAAGCTTGCAAGCAAGCCTTGGGATGTTAAGGACTCTTAGACGTGTAAGCTCTATGAGCTTGTCTTCCCATGCACGTAGTGCATAAGTAGCTTGGCTACAGTAGCTCGGCTACATCAATTGACGTAGCACTATTCTGCACCGTGTCGACAGGCTCGGCCGGTAGCACCCGACTGCGTAGTCGCCCGCGCACATGTCTGGAAAGTCTGGAAGCTTTGACGCCACCATTTCCATGTCAAGATTTTGCTTAAATTGCTTATTTTAGTAGGAACTCATCATGAGAAGAAATATCGAGACCTTCGTCATCATCTTCCTCGGGTAAGTCATTAATGTCACCTCCTCGAATAAAATCGAAAAAAGTTTGCAGCCACGTGTTTACTCTTCCACTGTCATAGCGATCACTGTAATTGATGTCTTCATTTATTTTAACGTCGGACACGAAACCTGTCTTGTGCTCCGTCGAAAAACAAATGTCACAGCCGAGAACATCTTCATGATAACCGATCAGACCTCTATTGCGGCATTTCACCATAAGCTATTTCCTCTTGGACTTTGGCACGTGAAAAAACGACAGGGACCTAAAAGCATGATGTGATGTAAGTCTGGCTTGGCCCAAAACATTATTTCATACAGAGTGCGGCCCGCACCCTTGCAATAAACACGGTTATTCGCGTAAACTGCAGTTTTAACAGCATTCGTCTAGAACGATTTAGGTAAACCCGACTGATGCATCATAGTCTCAGCCATATCAATCAGCGTCTGATGCGTCCTCTCCACAAGATTAAATTGGGATGCACTCGGTCCAAACTTTGTATGTACAATTACATTTTGCACGTACCAATTTTTCCATAATACCATAAAAAATTCTTGATCCTTGTCTGTGAGCACCTGCTTTACTGGCTCAGCGCCTTCATCGTGGTCCTCTGTATCGTAGTCGCGATAAGTAACCTCATTAATTTGACTTCCACGTTGACGCGCTGCCCATGCAATATATTGCTTCTGTAACGGGGTCGTATCGTTACACGCCGTATCAAGTACGTTATGGCAATAATAACGGTCCCATTATTATGCATAATTAGGTAGATAATATTGAGAATATTACATAAAGTAGGAAAAGGAAAAGATACGAATATCGTATCGTTTAGGGTCACTATGTGATGGATGAAAGTACGGTTTTGCCCCATTTCACCTAATTAATATTTAACACGTATTTAGGTGGTTCATAGAAGATTTAGGACTTTAATTATAACCTTATAATAATAAACAGAGTTTAATTTGGTCTTAAGAACATAAGTAAATTGCGTACTTCTTACGCTTCCTCTTAAGACCTTTAGTGTAGGCTACGTAACGGAGCTCTCGCCCCATTTTAGCTTCACATACATGTTCACCTCGCCTTCCGTCTTCGGCCTAAGTAGGTAAAACTTAACAAAGCGCGAAAACGTTTTTATAACAATCAAACCGGCAGACAATTTGTAGCCATAGCTTGCCCCTGGTATTAGAAGATCTGCATACGCCGTGTCGTTTACTTTTTCAATTGGCCAATCAAGCGACTTTCTGAATGTCTTGCGCCGCTGTTTTACCAAATTGGCAGTCAGCACAGCTCACCTTTCCTCGACGCTTGAGCATGATCCCTCAGCCGTACCACGGTCAGCCATTAGTCGAATGTACTCGAAACAGGTATGCCCTAGTCGCTCATGCCACACGTCGATGTCCTCGACACCGTTTGTAATTGCAAAATTTGCAAATACTTGCTGTTTTGTAGTTATCTTGGTGTTCTTTGAGATATTGCACCCAATATTGTGAGCAGTAAACGTTCATAGGTGACGTTTCATACGTCGTGTGAATGACCTCTATATTATCTTTTGTCATCCCGAACATTCTTGTGTTGAGGTCCCAGGGTAATTTGATTCCTTGATCCAAAGCCAGACCTGGCAAGAACAAGTTACATTCCGCACTTGGCACGTACAACACCTCCACAAGCACAAATGTCATTTGTTCATCAACCATAACCGCTAGCATGATTGTTCTAAAACCTTCCGCCTTTGCTTCCATCCCATTAGCAAAACCCGGAATTTGGGGGTTCCAACCGCAATGATCCATGCTCTGCAACGTAGAGAAAAACGTCTTGCAAGCCGTGATGTGTGCATTAGTAACAGTATCAAAATACCAGCGTGAAAAGTCAAAAGTCTTAGAGACTTGTTTCACAAATTCTCCAATTCCACATTGCGCTTTTCCATAGTGTCATTCACCTGAGCAACTTAACAAATTTTCGATTTGGGATGTCTACACTCTTTTTCCAATCGCGCGTACTTGGCTTGTGCCCTTCTTTTGCGTGGTTTTTCCTCTAAGTCCGTACAATCGCGTTTGCAGTGATCGGTACCACCACAAACAAAACACCTTCCACGGTTAGACTTTTCGACTTTCTTTTGATGACCATCGGGGTACCCCCTCCGACAGTCGTCATTTCAGCTTAGTGAGTAGCTTGAGGTCTAATTACGCAGTTTGAGAACCCACTCGACGACAATGGTGCGCATGCCCGTGTCTTCGGAAGACGCGGAAATCAGCGCGAGCCCCGAAAAGATGAGAAAGTTCAAGCTAAGATTGAGGAAAAGACCGAAGAGTCACTAAAAGTCCGATCGCCATTGACTACATAAGAAAACAACAAAGGATCGAAGGACCGACCGGACCTTGGGAGGGGCCCGGTCAATATAGTCAAGGTTGAACTTATAGAAAAGAAACCGAAACACTCTCTCTATGTCCCTGTCGAGGACACCTTGGGTCATGATATCTATCATGCCCCAGAGGACAACCAGTCGAAGATGCAAACCGGTAAACTATTGTCCCCAAAAACTAAGAACATACAAAAACTACAAAAAATACGATTGGTATGTCCAAGCCGACCAAGCTCCAGATGAAGGCACCAGGTGACACCACGTCGGTAGACCCCACTACCTCAGGACCCTTGACCTGGCCGAATGCTGACGTGAGCGTGTCCTACCATCGACTCAAGCTTGAGGCGTTCTTGGAGAGCGACCCGTCACCAAAGCCCTCGAGATTTGACTGCTGGGTCAGCTCAGTGGACCTGTGTCGACCCTTCCCGAGCTGAGGACGGTGACAGACGCGATCACCGCCCGTGTGACCCTTCTTCTTGAGGCGGGTATGGTTGCAGGAAGGTTCGAGCCTGAAGACTTGCTTTACCTGGGGTTCAACAGTATCAAGACCACGTTAGGGATTCTACACAAACGTCTGGCGATCCTTGTGAGAATAGCTCCAATACTACTCGACTCACCTCCTGAGACCGCCGCAAAAGCACCGTCTGACGACAGCCAGGTGACCCTCCAATACATTCAAGGTCCAGCCTCGAGATCAACGGTCGACCAAGGACCCATGGTCCATGAGAGGTCTATCAGACCACTTGTCTCAGGGTCCTCAGGTCCCTGCAAGGCAATCATCGCGAGTGTCGCCCGTCGCTAGTCACGTGGACCGACTGGCATGCCGCTGCAGCAGGCTCGAGCGGAGAGCGCGGACGACGAGAAGCGAGCTCACGAAATGGCAACGTGTGTACAGCCAAGGGAAGCCGGGCTTCTGATAGGTCGAATTTTCGACCAATCAGAAATAAGCCAAGACCAGTACCGAAATACACCTCGTCACGTGACGAAGTTGCCCGGAAAGGAGTGCCTACCGACCCGGTAGGTAATTTACAGGCATACTTCGATGCGGCGTTGGCGAAATTCTTACAAGAAACACCAAGTACCGCAAGCACATATCGATGGACGTGCGACCAGAGGACGACAGAGGGCGCAGAGGTCAACGGACCAGCTGGGCTAAAGTGCAGTTGTGCAAGTTGCAAAAGACCAAGGGATGACCGACGTGGAGATCGACCCTCTGGTCGGTTCATGTGAATACGACCCAGACGACATGGATCTCGATGGACCTCTGGCGAGAATGGCCAATGCCACCCTGGGACAGGTGCCCAACTTGGTCCCTCGTACCAAGCTCTCAGCGACCTCGGATCTAAAGGAATTTCATGGTAAAGACCAAGATGAGAACCGAGCACGCAGCTGGGTGACCACTTTGAAGACCGCGTTCAAAAAGGACCAAGCGCCAGATGGGGAAAAGTGTCTCGCTTTTGGAGGGTTATTGACTGGATCTGCGCAGAACTGGTATCGTCAACTAGGTCGCTCGGTTCGTGAAAATTGGAAGGATTTATTACAGGAATTCAGATGCAGTTCTGTGGTTCGGGGGTGTCAGTGGCCCGCCAATATTACCACGCGAAGAATAGGGCAGACAAATCCCCGCTGGACTACCTATACCGTCTGAATGTCATTAGACTTTGAGCAAAAATCAATATCAAGGATGGGCCGCCCAAGATTCAAAAGGAACACGTCGAACACTACATCGAGACCTTGGACGACCCGGACCTGGCGAACCAGTTGATCGTGTTACGTTTGGCTGATGCGGAAAACCTGGAGGATGTGCTGAGGGCGCGTCAACGGACGAAGCCGACGAGGCAAGATGTTGTTCAAGTCGAGCAATTTTTGCCAGAAAGCACTGATTCCCCCTGATCAGCCAAGAGAGTTGAAACGCCGCTCTGTTCATGCAGTTCAGCGACCCAGGAGGGATCAAGCTCCGAAGACTCCAGTTTGGACAGTTCTGATAGTGGCGGTGACCTACGGAAGGCCTACCTCATCGCTACGGAGGCGGATAAGGACCTAGGGCAAGGACCCCGAGGGACCTACCTATCAGGGAGGTCGACCAGTCCCGACCCTCGACCAAGAATCTTGGACCCCGCATGGCGTCGGCAACCCCAAGTGCCAGATGTGACCATTGTGGGTCCAGGAAGCATGGAGACTTGGGTTGTTGGAAGAGTCTGACCGGCGATCGCTGTGAAAGAAGGGCCATCCATCAGATCGTTTCCTGTTTGTGTGTCGAGGCTGCGGAGAAACCCACTAGGTTGGAAAGTGTCCGATGGAAGAGTGTTATAACTCGACCCGGCAGTGGTACAACCCGACCAAGCACGATAGGATGTTGCCAGAAAGGTCGAGCAGATGCTAAATTAGGATGCGCGCCAGGTTTGAATCTGGTACGAGCCAAGCGTTCTAATTGTTGCATTTTTGCATATGTGGAAAAGCGACCCAAGGGAAGAAGGGACATTCAGGATAACGCGATGAAAAATATATTGAAGTTTGAATCTACCTTAGGGTCCATGTTGCTTCTTTCGGTGCGTCTGACGATTTTGTTCGAGAAAGTGCAGTGATGGAGTTGGACCTACTGCTGGGCGAGTCGAGGGGGTATTGGAAATACCATGCTCCTACGAAATGGCTTGGACAAGCCAAGGTCTCTGGGAAGATTAACAACGATCGAGCTAACTTGTTGTTCAATACTAGCGCCGAAATATCTATTTGGATGTCGCCTTTGCTCGTAAGGTAGGCTGCCAGATTGATGAAAGTGAGCACCAAGAATGTGTTGGCATCGGGGAATCCGTGTATACTACGGAAGGACGCACCCGCACCAAGGTCACTCTGAACGGGAACTTGGTATACATTTTTAAGGTGTGGGTGGGCTCGATGGTGGTTCAGGATGCAATTTTAGGCATGGACTTCATGGTCCTAGCCGGTATTCGACTAGACCTGGCGGATGGGACACCATGTCTTCGCGATGAGGTTCGAGTCAAGTTAGCGGGACGAAAGACCCTTTACGATAACCGGGTATCGGATGTGAAGTTGGGTCAATACGTGCAGATACCGGCCGGAGGGTACGAGGAAATGCTCCTGAAAAAGGTCGACCTCGCACCAATGGAAGTCGTGGGTCACAAGGGGAGAACGGTGGATCACGAACGTGAACCAAGGGGTAGGAAGTCGGAATTTCCTGAAGGTAACCAATGTCAGTGCCCAACCACTGATATTGCACGAGGAAACCAAGATAGGTATGTGGCTGACGAAGGAACAAGTACCAAGGGCGCAGAATTTTGTGTCGATAGGGTCTCGAAGATACGCCGAGTGGTTAAACCTGGTGTATGAATCTACCACCGACCAGGTCGACTATTAGGAAGACCTGACGGAGAAGAATGAAGGGCCATTGGTGAAGGGACCACAGTACAGTACTCCATCTAGAATACTTCAACGACCAAAAAATACTTGTTCCAGTAATGACTATGGCATTCCAGCCAAAGGTTGATCAAATAGAACCCCAGGTTAATTCGGTAGACCATCAGGTCGATCAGGTAGACCCTCAGGTCGATCCGGTAGACCCTCAAGTCGATTGATTCAACCCTCAGGTCGACCAGGTTGACCCTCAGGTCGACCAGGCCAATCGGGTCAACCAGGTCGACCAGGTAGACCAGATGGAAGAAGGTGAGGGGCCGCTGGTAGAGTCGCCACCAGCGGATGACCAAGTATGCACGTTCGAAAGTGGGGAACTCTGGGCGAGGATGTAAGCCAAGGGTGGAATATCATACCCGAGGTAGACCTTTCACCCACGAGTATCAAGTTGGAAGATATACAGATTCCTGACCCTGACGGAAACACCCCAGAGAGGTGGACCGCTTGAGACAAATTATATGGAGAAGATGACATCTACTCATGGGAAAGGGTAACGCCTTACCACCGGCTGCTCGAGGAGCTATCTGTGACATTGATGTGGGTAATGCCAGGCGGATTGCACAACGTGTACGGAAGTTGTCCCCCCAATTCAAAGAAAAGTTGGCCGATCTGATCAAGGGTTTATTATCTGCGAAGATCATCCAGCCCTCTACCTCGCCATGGGTCAGCTTGATCATCATTATTGTGATGAAAAAGGGGGGGGATACCAGGCTGTGCATTGATTATTGGTTGGTGAACGACTTGACCCAAGCTTATGGTCTACCCTATGCCTCTGATCGACGAATTGTTGGAGGACCTTAACGGAGCATTGTGGTACTGCTCCCTGGACATGGCAAGTGGTTTTTGGGTCGTTGGCATGCCCGAAAGGGCGAGAAGGATCTCGGCTCTTTCACCCCACTGGGGTTGTTTGACTGGATGCGCATTCCATTTTGACTCAAAAGTGCGCCTCAGATATACCAGAGACTCTTGGATAATGCTTTGTATGGGTCTTACGTATCG